TCAGCTTAGATATTTTTCTACCAAAATCGCCTTTAAGTATTCATTTTCTTTTCTTTAACATTTTTTTTATTTTTTTATTTTGTTTCACATTTCTTATTTTTCATCTTTTCTCTTCTTTCATTTTTTTTCATTTTTTCACTTTTTTCACTTTTTTCACTTTTTTCACTTTTTTCATTTTTCATTTTTTTATTTTTTCTTTTTTTATCTAGTATTAATATCTCCGACATATTAATCTCTAAAACACAAGAACATAGCACGATTCCCTTGCTCCATCATAAGCATGTCTTAATCCAATATATGATCATTCAATTTAAGCATTCACATTTGATCAAAATGGACTTTTAAGAATTATAATGTAGGCTATGATAAGGGGTCATGAAAGAAATGGATAAAATAGACTTAAAACATATGTTTAAAAGAGTTCAAACCAAAGGATTATTTTTAATTATGTGATGCAACTTGACACTTTGCCTCATTCCACATTATTTCACTACCTTTTTTTTTCATTCATCTTATTTCTGACAAAAAGATTCTCATTATTTTGCCCCAAATCATTTGTGGCATTCATTTTTCTTTTTTTTTTGTAAAGGGTTTTTTTTTTTACTCTTTATTTTTTAGGCTTTTGTAATCTTTCTTTGTTTTCCTTTTTCAAATAATTCTTTCCAAAATTTAACCCAGTATGAAGGGTGATCCTTGGTTGAGATTTTTTAGAAAAAAAAATCATAATAGGCACAAAGGGATTGCAATGATGGTTTTATGAATGGTAAAAAAAAGACGATCATTTTTTATCTCAAATATGAATATTTTCTTTGAAAATTATTTATTGAACAGAGATAAACTCATGGATTATTATAAAAGATTGCATATCTTCAAGACATATCTACTTTATATCTGCTCATAATTACTTTTTTTACTCAAATAGTCTTCATAGATCAATATGAATGAGTTTCCAAAATTAAATCCTAGAATTATTATTTTTATTATCTAAACATTCATCATTTAAAATTTAAGAATGGGAATAAAAGGACATGAAAAAAAAAAAGCATGGAATAATGGTTTGGATGAAAGAAAAAATGTAATGAAATGCATAAACTTGCTTTTATTGAAATGATAAAAAAAAAAATTTTATTATATAAAAAAAATCCTAACATTATTCTAAAAGAAATCTAAAAAATGATAAGCAACATCCAACCAGTTTAACATCCTTGTCATTCCAAAATTATGTCTTCGTCGGATTAAAGAAGGGTTTTTATTAAGATCCGACCCCTTAATTCATCAAAGCTTACCAAGCCTTTTTGAATCAAAATTTGCATCTTGTGTTTGAAAACAAGGCAAGTTTCAATAAAATTGACCCACGTTTTTGTTATGGTAATCGTATGTGACATTAGTATCGTACCATTTAGGATATGGTGGCTTAAATAGTTATAGAATAACTAGAGATACCAAGTTCGTTCTTGACTAGTTCTGATAATATCTTAGTGTAAGTCATAGGGATAAAATCAATATGGGCTTTTTCTTGGTTATTTTGAGATCTTTTCAAACCACTTACTTGATTTTTAGCCTTTGAAGCTGATATAATGATATGACTAAACCCATATGCAGATATTTGAAAGGTTGGTTAATAGATTGGTGAGTAATCTGGTTATGGAATAGGTTGGTAAGGGGCTTGCACAATACCATTAACTATGGGGTGGTAAACAGAATGAACAGGTGGTGGATATGGAGCATAGCTTTTGAATTGTTACCATCGAAATTCACAACTTGGGCTTTGAATTTTTCTTTTTGGGTATCCCACTTTTTTGAACTAGCTCGTTTTCTTTAAGCTTGTCACTTTTTATATGTATTGTTAATAATTTCTCCTGAAATCACCATATCAGCGAAGTTCTTGATGGCATTTTTTATCATTTTCCCATAGTAGGGTGCCTTCAAAGTATTGACGAACAATATCATGGTATTTTTTTAGTCAGAGGTGATTAGACTTGAGCAGCCATATCTCTCTACCTTTGGGCATATTCTTTGAAAGATTTTGTGACCTTCTTCTCCATGCTTTTATGAAGAAAAACTGTTTGAAGCCAAGTCTATGATATACCGATATTGGATAATGAATGCTTTTGTCAATTCCTTCTACGAGGTAATGTGAGTTATATTCAATTGGGCGTATCATCTAGCAATAGAACAAATAAGGCTTTCTTGAAACACTTGCATCAATAATTTCTTATTACTTGTGTAAATAGTTTTTTTTTTTTACAGTACATAGTAACATGAGATATCAAACATTTTATATCATCGTATTTTTCAAACTTTGAGACCTTGAATTTTGGTGGAATCACTATATATGAAACTAAGCAAAGGTCGACTGCATCCACTGAGTCATAAAAATCCATCCCCAACTGCTTGCAATCTTCATCCAATAAGTTCATCTTTTGTTCAACTTTTGAGCCCTCTATAGTCTCAACCACCTTCGCCTTAACTTTTTTTTCTTTTTAGATCATCTAAGTTGGAGGCTTGTACTGATTTTTTTATCTTTTTCATAAACACAAGATTGACATAACTCTGAAAATACCCTAAGTTTACGCAAAAGACATTCTAGGGTAGGTATATCTTGTCGGGGATGAGAATTGCTACGAAGGAATGCCTTAGGTAAACTAAGCCTGATATGGACTATAACCATAAAGATAAAAAGGATTAACAATATACTATGATGGATGGTCTTGTTGGTTAATATCTTTTTCTACACTCTTTCCCTTATTCAATTTATTCAAGGCTTCTAAATCTTACTCAACTCCCCTTCAAGCTTCTTTTAGGCTTTTTCTATCTTCTCAAGATAATAGCATTATCCTGTTTCATTTGTCTAGCTCTAGCTCTGGTGTTGTATTAATGGTGAATGGGTTGAACTAGATTATTAAATAGTGAAGACATCTTTGAACCTTGTATACCTTTATTAGTATGCTAATGTTATTAATCTAACATTTTTTAAGAATCCTATATGCATAAATGAATGAATGCAGAAACAATGTATGAATGCATGTACTAACGTGTCACATTATGATGCATGAATGAATATATATGTTAGTGATGCTAGAATAAGAATACAACATACAACAACTTAATCAATAAAGATCAAATAACATTTGTCAGGAAGATGATATGAATGAAGCTTAAAAGGTCTATGCATATGTCCTAATTAGCGTTACATTCTAGTGATGGGTAGATATAGCTCTAACCAAAGGTTGGCTTATTATGCTTTACTACATGTAGTTTAGGTTAAATCTAAAGCTTCTCAAATTGTTCTCACATTATTATCCATTACAAACTAGTAAGACACTCCAATCATCGACCATCATAGGCTACAAACAAAAGAATTCAAACAAAAAAAGTGATTAAGAGGATAAAAGGTTGGAAGTTGAAATGGCTTGTTTGCTAGAAACTAGAGTAAAGCAAAATAATATACAGCAAGTGGTAAGTACTTATTTTACAGGATGGCCCAATTTTCATGATTACTTATTTGCCAATAATGGTAGGATTTGGTTGATGTGGAAGTTTGAACTAAAATTGAACTTGTGGAAGCAATAGATCAAAGCATAATGTGTAGTGTACTACATGGTACTCAAAAGGTTTATCTTTCAACTATATATGGAAATAATAATAAGGGTGAAAAAAAGATGTTTTGGGCACACTTACTTTCGCTATAAAGTAGGATAACTAGTTGGCCATGGATCTTGGTTAGTGATTTTAATATTGTAGCTCATCCTACAAAAAGCTCAAATTATAATGGTTTCCAAGTAGCTAGATCAAGTGTAATTGACTTTCAGGAACACTTGAATAAACTAGCTATCATAGATCGTCCTTTCACAGGACCCTTATTCACATAAAGTAATCATACTATTTTTAGGAAACTTGATAGAGTTTTAATAAATGATTCTTGGTTTACTCAATTGTCAAATTCATAAGTGGAGTTTCTACCAACAGAAGTATCTGATCATTGCTTAGCCATGATCAATATAAATATGCTAAAGTAGTCCTCACCAAAGCCATTCAAGTTTTTCAATTTATAGACAAAGCACCAAGATTTTTTGAAGCTAATTTATCAATCCTAGAAGGCACCAGTAAATGGTAAGCTAATGGTCATTTTATACAAGAAGCTAAAATGGTTGAAGATAGTCCTAAATAACTTTAATTTTTTTTCAATATAGAGTTATTGAGAAAAAAGTCAAAGCAAAGACAGAGGAGTTAGCATCAATGCAAATAGCAAATTTAATCAATTCAGCTATAGTAAATGCTAAAAAATAAAAGGCACTTTCATTGGAACTATAAGAATTATTGACAGTAGAAGAAAGCTTATAGAGTCAAAAGTCCAAAATAAGGTAGATACAATAGGGGGTCAAAACATAAGGTTTTTTCATAAAACAGTGGCTATCAAACAAAAAAAAGTCCATAAAAGTACTATATGATAGTGCAGGCAATCAGTTAGAAACATTTACACAAATTATAAATGAGGCAGTGAAATTTTTTAAAAAGTTATTGGGTGCAGTTGACACAAAGGTGGAAAGATGTTCTTAAGAGATGCTGGCTAGCATACTTTAAGTCTCTCTAATTGAAGAGCAATAATCTATGTTATCACAAAATGTCATTGAAAAAGAAATACGTAAGGCCATATTATTGCAAAATAGTGAGAAAGCACTAGGGCCTAATGGGTACAATGCTCTTTTTTTAAAAAAACTACTTGGAGTGTAGTCGAAAAATATGTCATTATAGCTATAGCAAAAATTTTTCAAAGTGGTGAGTTGTTTTCTGTGTTTAACTCAACAACTATTGCTTTGGTGCCTAAAAGCCAATCTTCAACCAATATCTTAGAATTTAGACCAATATCATTTGGTTCAGTTATTTGTAAGGTCATCATTAAAACCCTTGCTAGTTGGATTCAGTAGGTGTTGCCACTTCTGATTAGCAATAGTTAAAATGCCTTTATCAAAAGAAGAAGTATAACCGACAATGTTTTAATGGCACAAGAGTTAGTAAAAGGACATGATAAAACCACCCTTTCATCTAGATGTGCTATAAAAATTGATCTAAAGAAAGCCTTTGACGTTATGAATTGGGCATTCTTGATATTAGTTCTAAAGATATTGGGGTTTTCTGAAAAGTATATTGGTTGGATAAAAAGTTGCCTTATTACACCAAAGTACTTGTTGTTTATTAATGGTGGCTTAGTTAGGTATTTTGAGGGAGCGAGAGAGTCATGCAAAGAGACCAATGTCTCTTACTTGTTTGTCATTATAATGAATTTGCTATCTAGACTTCTGGATTTTACTGCCACTCATGGTGTTTTCTCCTATCACTTAAAGTGTAAAAAGGCTAGATTGACACATTTAAGCTCATTGGTAACCTATTTATCTGCACAAAAGGGAATTTGAACTCAAATGTCGGCATCCAAAACATATTAAAACTGTGACACCTTTAATCCTACATTGAAAGAATGTATGGATATAATATGATATATATGTAGACATCCAAAGCTAAATCTGTGAGGCACCTTTTGTGTGATAAAACTATGAGACCTTCTAGTTAAAGCGAATAATACCTCACAGGTTAGGTATAGGTCTCCACAAATGGTATCAGAGCGGTCACCAATCGATAAAAACTAAGTGCTATATTGTGAGAGTCATTAAGTGCTACATAGTGAGGTCGTGAGAGTCACTAATTGCTATACAGTGGAGAGCTATCTCTAAAATCCTAACGTCTAGTGTGATCTTGATCTTATTGTTGGACTCAACTTGACCGAAACATCAAGCTTTAAAAGTGAAGAGATTGTGATGCCTCTAATCAATCCTATATTAGAAAAATGTATGAATATAGTATAATATATATGTAGAGATCTAAATTCAAATCTGTGAGGTACCTTTTGTATGATAAAACTGTGAGATTTTTGGATCAAAATGGATAATACCTGGCATGTTAGGTGTGGGTCTTCACATTTGAGGTATTATCCGCACCCAACCTGCGAGGTATTATCCATTTTGACTCTAAGGCCTTATGGTTTTATTCCACAAAAGGTGCCTCACAAGTTTAGGTTTTAGATCTTTACATATATATCATACCATATCCACACATTCTTCTAATGTGAGATTTATGAAGACTCGTACCTAACCTACAAAATATTATTTACTTTGTCTCGAAAGTCTCACGATTTTATCTCACAAAAAATGCTTCATAGGTATAGGTTTATATCTCTACATATATATTATACCATATCCACACATTCTTAAAATGTGAGATTGGGATCTTCACAAAAACTATTTTATTCATACTCTGGATTACAGTTGAATTGTGCAAAAAGTGAAATATTTTGCATAAGAGTAACAAGTGCTGAACTAGGAGAGATACAGAGGGTAATAGGGTTCAAGTTGGGAAAACTTCCTATTAGGTACCTTGCCACTGGTCGCCTATAGGCTCTCCAACAAAGATTATACACCATTAATTGAAAAAATTATAGTAAGAATGCAAAGTTAGATGATAAAGAACCTATCATATGTTGAGAGGCTACAACTAGTTAAGTCTATTATATTTAGCCTACATATTGGTGTAGGCACTTCATCCTACCTAAGCAAATAATCAAAGAGATCACATAGTTATGCTTAATATTTTTCTAGAAGGGCCAAACAGGCAAAACGAGAAGGGCTTGGGTAAGTTGGCACATCATCTATAGACTGAAGTTTGAAAAAGGGTTAGACTTAAAAGGACATAGAAAGTTGGAATCAAACTTGTATTCTTAGGCTTCTTTGGTCCATCTACACACAAACTAGATCTCTATGGATAGCATGGATAAGAAGCTTGGTGCTTAAAAGGCATCACATATGAGAGATCTTATTAAATTTTAAACTCGATGTAATAACACAATATAAAAATAATACGAATAAAAAATATAAAAATAATATAATTTAAAATTTTAAAAAATCATAAATAAATTTAATAAAATTAAAAAATTATATTATATATTTTTATATTAACACAGACTATAAATAAAAATTTTTATAAAATACGATATAAATAAAATATTTTATATGATACAGTGTCATAATTGTGAAATCTAGTTGAAATGTCATCAAATAGATGCACATGCGCTGACTTGAGGTCCAATCGGCAATAATCAATCATGCACGGAATTTGGCAATGACATAGGTAGTACTTCATTTGCTGCAGTGAAATTCTTAAACGCCTGTCGGGAACACAGTAACTTAAATTGTAAAATTTATTTGATTAAAAAATTTTAAAAATTCATTTTATAAAAATTATTTTATAAATATATTTAAATTTATATATACCATATTAAATCTTCACAAAATTTACAATATTAAATTAGAAGAATAAAAATAAAAACTTTTGTACAATAAAAACTAATATATCACAAAATAAAAGTAAATTAGATCATGATTTAAGGATTGAAAACAAATTATAAATATTAAAATTTAAACACAAACCTATATAAATATTTTTTTTTAAATAATTATATTAATAAATTAAATTACAAAATTCAATTTCTTATTCAATCTTAAAACTTTTATGAAAAATATTAGCAAATATGGATGTGAAAGAGAGCCAAAATCTTTGTACTTCAGAAGATCACATCCAATTATTTTAAATATAATTTTATTGTTATTTCATTTTAATGAAAAACTTCATGAAACTGAATCATACCCTGCCGTCTCAGCAGAAACAAGAGCCATATATAAAAAGCATCTAGAAATTCGTCTTCTAGAGCTATTACAATTTCTATCTATATATATAGAGAGACAGAGAGAGCCTAGTTGGCCTTTACGTACTATTAGCCTTTTTAACCTAGCTATATATAGCTACGATTATTGTCAAAATGATTCCATTCTTTTAATAGTACAAATCAATCATTTTATCATTCCATTCACTTAGTAATTTTTTTTTATAAAAAAAATGTAACTTAAAAAATTAAAAAATATATAAATATGGAAGATTGAAACTTAATTTTATGAGAATATATTTTTTTTATAAAAAATAAATGAACTCTTTGCATTAAACTTTGAATTCATAATGAAATTTAAATTTATTTGAGATATTACTTCAATATATTGTATTTTTTTCTTCTTCCAAAAAAATTGCTATAAAAATTTGTATTTGTCTTTGAAATCAAGTAGCAATCCAAACAATTTTAAAAGCAGTATCAAACTAAGAGAATAAGTGGAATTGAACGTTGGTTGATTTTTGGAAATGTAAAGGCATCTCATTGTCCTATGAAATTAGACCTAGCTAGCAAGCCATATGAAGGGGGAAGCTGTTTTTCTCATAATCTTTGGTTAGGCTAACTATTCTTTTTTACCGACATGTTTGCAGAGGAAAGGGTTGTACTCGAGAAATGTGATGGGACATTTGATATGGCTAGCATCTCCAATTATTAATGGATATTTGAAGTTCATGCATATAATATCCTACCTGAACTTATTATTGCGTTTATGACAGTTTTGGCATTTTTTTTAATAAAATTATCTATCGATTTTTTAAATCAATTAATATATTATTGAAAGAATTCGAAAGTATTTATAAATATAATATTTTTAAAAATTAAATTAATTTTTTAATCAAATAAATAATAAGATAAAAATTTTAAAAGTAGATTAAAAAATTTTTTCTAATAAACTTCTTTAATTATAAACCTATGCAATAATGTAAACTAATTTGACATGAATTTAGAAACATAATGGATTGAAGTTAATGTATATTATTCTAGCTTAGCTTAATTATTGGGTTTTCCTTTTGCAATTTTGACATTATAAGTAAGGCCGTAAATGAATCAAATATAAACGAATAAATATATACTTGTAATTTATTTGTTTATTTTTAGAGGTGTTCGGACTTAATTCATATTCGATAAGAAAATTATTTTGTTAATTAAAATTTGATTTATTTAAATGATAAAATATTCATGTTCAGTTTACATTCGGTTCAATTAAGTTAAATAAATTTATTCATGAACATTAAGTGAATATATTCATGAACATATAAAAACGAATATGTTCATAAATAATAAATAAATTATAACCAAATAAAATTAAACAAATATAAACAAATCCTAAACAAATATAAACAAATCCAAACACTATAAACGAACCTTAAAATATGATTAGGATAAAGGATAAAAATATAATGTTATTAGTATTATTATAAATGAATAGCAAACGAACAACAAACGAATAATAAACGAACGAATTTGAAATAAATTTTAAACGAATTTATCCACAAATATAAATAAATTGAATAAATTTTTGTTCGTGTTAAATTCGTTTAATAAACGAACATAAAAATACTATTCAAAATCATTTGTTAAGTTTTATAAACGAATATAAACGAATAAAAACTAAATATATTTATGAACAATTCATTGAAAATTCTATTCATTTATACTCTTAATTATAAGAATAAAATTTTGATATTAGAATTAAAATTTTACTACTTTATCAACAAATTACGCTATTATTAGTGGATATGCAATTTACATGGGTATGCATATAAGGGATAAATCAACTTAGATTGATAGAAAACGTGTTAATATGAAAGACTAATATTAATATAAAAATTAATAATTAAAATCTTGAGATTTAACCTAATTTATTCATATAAAAAATAATATTTAATAAATTTAAAATTCAAAAATTTTATACAATCTCTTTATTTAACCCAATCTTAGAAAAAAAATTAATAATTAGTTTAATTTCACCAAAAGAAACATGACTTAATAAAAGTGAGAATATCATCAGCAACCCCATGAGTAAAAATCCACAGATGGACTGGCCAAATAAAGCCTTTAACCAATCAAATTGCAAGGAATTGCCACGTCAGGAAAGAACTTGAACAATTAAAGCTTTTCAACCTGGCAATGCACCCCTTTCTACGTGCCATCAAATGCTGTGATCCTTCCGTACAGTGACGCCAACTTTCTCAATTTTACAATTTTTTTCCAAAAAAAATATAATAAATAAAATTTTGATAATTTTAATCATGAAAAAAAAGTGTGATACTCTAGAGAAAGAAGAGAGAGAGATCTGTTCATCAGTTTTGCTTTAATGTATGTGTTTTTTTTCTCTATTTTGATTTTCAAAGACATGTATGGATAATGCATGAACCAATTTTAGATTTAATCTTTTTTTCTTTATCTATATCCATGTTCTAATCTCTTCTTTCTTGTTTTAATTTCAAATTTTTTTTGTTATTTCTAGATTTTTGTATTCATTTTTATTGATATAGGTTAAGGGAAAAAAGTGAATTGAAAATTTTGTTGCTAGATTAATCTTTTGACATTTATGGGTTATAGTTATTAGATAAATTAAATTAAAAAAACAGTTTTTTGCAGATGGAAAATATGGGTGAAAATGGAGCAAATGGGAGTGATGATATCCAAGAGGATAACTATGAGGAACAATTCAACAATGGTGGTTTTGATAACATTGAGAATAGAGTTGAAGCAATGGAACAGTGAGTTCTTAATTTGAATTTAGAAGAGAAAAAAAAATCCCACTTCTTTTTCTTTTCTTTTTCATAGGAAATTAATCTTTTGTTTTGATTTTTTTTTTTTTTGCTAATAATTTTTTTTAAAGATATGGTTAGAGCCTAATTTCTTTTTTTTTTTTTGGTGATTTTGATAAGTTCTATGGAGCCCTTACCAGCAGCTTCTAGGGATGAAATTGAGGTTGATGATAACCAGCTAGGGTTAAATCATCCTCCTGAAATGAATCCAGAGGTAAATTTTCATATAGTTCATTATTCCAGGTGATATATCTATAATTTTCTCTTGAAATTATAACTTAAATATAGTTTGATTTGATTTGATTTCCTCAATAGTACAAATGAAACAATACAAAGAAACCCTAGATTTTCAATCCCATTTCATTATGATGAACAAGATAAATAAATGAGGAACAAGGTTATCATTTCTAAACATAATCCATGAAATTAAAAACCCTAATTTTTAAACTCCATTTCATGATGATGAAAACAAGTAAACGATAAATAAGGCCATTTTGCTCTAATTATCTTAATCACTTTCTTGTTTTTCATTGTTTTTAATGTGTCACTTTTTTTTGTGTGTGTGTGTTTGTGTCAAATTTAAATTCAGGAGGATAACGATGATATTTCGCAAAGTAATGAAGATGTTGGTTCCCCATCATTGTATAATCCTCAATCTCCAACAAATTCACCAGGTTCAGAATCATCCACAAATGTTAGAACAGATCATGTGCAGCGAGCAAGCGATCTTCTCATGGCAGTCTCGGTTGGTGCTGAACTAAACAAGAACAAAATCATTGAGCAAGCTATGGAAGCTATGGAAGAGCTAATCCAAATGGCCTCAAAGGGCGAACCTCTATGGCAACGCAAAGGAAATAGCACAATCGAGACTCTAAATGGGCTTCAATACTTGAGGGGATTTGTAAGTTTTGATCCAACAATGGAGGAGATAATAAGAATGGTTGAAATTGGTGAACCTCAATGCTTTCCAAGCTTTGATTTCAACAACGAGTTCCCTCAAGATATGCAAACATCCTCTTCAAAACTTGAATTCGAACCATTGCATATCGAAGCTTCGCGAGAGATTGGATTTGTTAATATGAATCCTATCGACATTGTTGAATTGCTCATGGATTCGGTAAGTTTTCTTTTACAACTTAATTTTGTAAGTTTATTTTAATTTATGAAGTTTTTTTTTTTTTTTAAATGTCTTCAATAATGTATTTTATCTTCTTATGATTAGAAGCAATGGTCGACAATATTTTCCAATATTGTCTCGACAACCACACTTCTAGGAGTTATATTAGATGGTACTGACGGAAGCTATAACGGAATGCTTCAAGTGGTAAACCTCAAAATCAGCTTTATTTATCTCTTTTATTTGAAATTTAATAATCAAATAATCATTTGATTTATTGCCCTATTGATCTCTTTAATATTGCATGTATGGAAATGATTCATGACAAGTGGAGACACGTTCAAAACATTCGAATTTTTAAAAATAGTACATAAATACTTAAATATTGTTTTTTTTAGAGTAAATTTTATTAGATGATAAAGGGATACAAAATTACAACCACGCTATCAAGTCAATAGATTGGTTCACAACCATCTTAGCTAGAGAGTCAGCAAAGTGATTTTCATCTCTAAGCACATGGACAAACGAAATATTTTTAACAACGGCTAAAAGATTATAGAGGCGATTGATCACATTGTTAAATATTGATCATATTATAGAATATTGTTTTATGAGATATTTTGTTATAGATTCTTTCTTCAATAGATCAGTCGTATCATAGATTCTTTTAATAGATTGATCATATTATAGAATATTTCTTAAATAAACTAGCCGTATTAATTCATATGTATGTAAAGGTAAAAAATAACATTGTTAACTAATGTTACCTCCAAATCATGATGAAGCAACATTACTATGCAACCATGATTAATATCCTTAATGTGTTGAATTCATTTGGGATTTTAGTGAAGTTTTATAATTGATTTTTAAACTAATGTGTAATGGTTGAATTCATTTTGCTATCGTTCTTGTCAGTTTGCTAAGTTGCCATTTTTCATTCAAATTGTACAATAGTCATAGGTTTCTGAAGAATATATTCCATAGTCCACGGTACTAATCATGCTATTCCAATCCATTTTTCTTATAGATGACAGCAGAATTTCATCAGGCTACACCACTAATTCCTGCTCGACAAAGCTATTTTGCAAGGTATTGTAGAAAGCTAAATTATGGAACATGGGGAGTTGTTGATGTGTCCTTGGAAAATTTATTCCCTTATCCGCAAGTACAGTTCCGAAGAAGGCCATCAGGATGTTTAATCCAAGAAATGCCAAATGGAAGCTCTAAGGTGACTAGAATTGCTCAAATTTAACCAATTGTAGTAATTTCAAATCTCAAATTTTATTGTTGCATTTCCTCAGGTTACATGGGTGGAACATGTAGAAGTCGATAATAGATCACTTCATCCTATTTTTCTTCCAATTGTTAGCTCAGGTTTTGCATTTAGTGCGAAGCGATGGATTGCAATGATCAATAGACATTGCCAATGGCTTGCAACTTCAATGGCAACAAGTACTCCAACGGATGCTGGTGGTAATTTTTTTTCCACTTCTTATTAGATGCCTGTTGATGTTCAAATCTGTTACCGATTTGACAATCGGAGCGCCTTCTAAAGTACCAATCCGTGCTCTTTGACTGTTTTTGTCTTGTCGGTATTTCAGCTGGACAACACTGTGAACAACCGCAACAGATTTGGACATCAACAATGAAAGCTAATACATTTATATATGTTTATGTAATTTGTATAGTTAATTTATGTAACTTCTTTGCTCAGTGTTAATACCACAATCAGGAAGGGAGAGTCTGCTGAAGTTGGCTGAGAGGATGACAAGAAATTTTTTCATGAACATTAGTTCTTGTACACAGAATATATGGATGCAACTACCTAAAAATATTGGTGGTGAAGATATTAGGTTCAGGTTTGGAAATACCTTAGCTGTTCCAAGAAAGCCTCCTAGCAGCACAATAATCTTTACAACTTCACTTCGGCTCCCAATACCGACAAAGATTCTATTTGATTTTCTTCGTCATGAACATTCAAGAAACAAGGTACGTAAAACAAGGGAAATTTTTTTCTAAGCTTTGGTCCTCGCCATGTTGGTTTTCTTTGGGGTACATCCTCCATCCCTGTTTGACACTATAAAAGTGTTACAGTGGCTGCCTTGACCATGGAACAGCAAATTGCAGAGAACAACGGAAGAACTGTTCATTTACTAACTTTCATAGTTGAATTGTGTGGTTAAATATGCAGTGGGATTTACTTTCAAATGAACGATTCGTCCGAGAACTTGCATATGTCATAAATGGTGAAAATCCTGAAAATCGTGTTTCTGTTATGCAAGTAAATGTGAGTAATTTGCTAATCATTTCCATTTTTTATGATGCGTCATTTATCATCCTAATAACAATTTCTCCCATGCACTAACTATTATAATTACTAAATTTGCAGTCTTCTCCAAACAAAATTGAGATATTGTACTTACAAGAAAGTTTCACAGACGAGACAGGCTCATATGTGATATATGCACCAATTGATATCTTTGCCATGTCCATGATCTTGAATGGTGGAAATCCCAAATTTGCAGCCGTTTTGCCATCAGGGTTTGCCATTCTACCTGATAAGCCACCGGGGCAAGGAGAGGAACCTGTTGGAAGTATCTTAACAATAGCATTTCACACAGCTGACAGGTCATCGACAGAGGAATATATACCTCCCGCGACGCTTAGAACCATTGATGCTGTCTTAACAACAACAGCTGCTTCAATCAAGGATGCTATTATAGCTGATTGGTCTGAAATGCAATTTGTCAAAACTTGACATGCAGCTTCTAATTAATGGTAAGTCTCTAGACACATTTTTATTTTTTTGGTATATTCAGAAGATGCATAGATGTTCATGATTCTATGTTTCAAAATCAAGTGTTGCAGGTTTCTTGGCAGCTGAGACATGAATTGGTCCTTTGACAGAAGGGAAATTTCGTGTTGTGTATCATCGTTTATCTTTTTATGTTGTCAGATATGTAACTAAGGAGTTTGGAACTTGAAGTTCGTGTTAGTATAGGTTTGTCTCCTGTATATTGGGAATTTAACACAATAAAAGAAAAAATAAGTTCTTGCCCAATATATATATATAGATACATAAGAAGCAGCATTAGCAGTCTTTGAAGGTTATTACAGGTCTCAAAAACTTCAAAGAACAAAGTCCAAAAGGATTTGATAGAAACAGTAATTTATGTATTCATATAATATAAAATATTAATAATTTGTGTACTCATGACATATTTTACATGAAAATTATATTATAATTTATGTAAAAACACGAAATATTTTACACAAAATATAATTTTTAATTTTAGTTAAGCACATGATTTTTATTAAAATTTTAACCTATGTTACATTTATATTATTATTTTTTTATTATGTTATCGTGTTTTGAGTTGTCATTTTAAGATTTGGGCTATCTTACGAAACTCCAACGAATTATCATGATTTTGCACTTTGCTGCAATAACATTCCATTTTAATGGTGCTGATTACAGCGTAAATAGGGAACTGGGCATTTTTCGACCGTGTAAAAGGGTTTTTCTGTGTGGGAATATTAACACGAAAAAGAGGAACAGTTCTAGGAGCATGGCATGAACAAATTATACACATCATAGATTTCTTATATTTAATAATTTGTTACAAAATAAATATTTATGATTTATTAGGATATTCATCAATACATGATTCCTTTATCCATTTGTTTAAAATGTTTGTACATTCACCCATTTGGACGCTCTAGGTATGCAAAACAATCAACTAGGAAGAATAATAGACCATTTATGTTCTAGATACCGGAACTTTCATCAGTCTAATGCACTCTAATGTGCCAACAGTAAAATCCATAATCAGACGAAAAAAGAATGATAAATATCTAAACTGGAAACTCCGATAAAATTAGGAACTCCAGAGATGTCTTCCTAGAGAATAGGATTGTTGCTATCAGTCTTCTCGGAAGAATATCTGAGAATGAAAATTCGTGGAAGGGTGGACCTGCATCAGAAGCAATGAAGTTAACAGAAGATTGTAATGGAGGGGTGAACCTATTGATTTCACCTGTTCAAAAGCAGAAAAAACTGTATCCTGATCTTTTTTTGGCAGAAGAGGGAAAAAGCCCGAAAGGGTTAAGGGAAGTGGCAAGGTCTCTTACCTTCTTGTTCACCAAGAATGTAAAACGGAATATGTGCAATCATTTTTGTGCCTCCTTCATTCCAGTTGACAGTGCCTGGATGGTGCATGTGTCCATGTGAAGGTCGGTAAGGCCCCAGGACAGACAAACAAATAGCAGGCTCATCCATTAACCCCAAATAATCATGAGCTCACCTCCAAACCCTTGAATCTGATATTCGAGATTGAGCAACCTTAAATGAGAATAGAAAATTGTTAGGCAACATGCCTAAGTTAAAGAATTTATTTCCTTTTTAACAAATATTTGATCAAAATAAATGTAAAGAATTGAAGAACTCAATACAACCTTGCCCAAGGCTACACGTGCCCTTGGCAATAGTTCACGGTGATGTGTGGCAAGCTTTGCAATAGCTGTGATAACAAAACATAGAAGCCTTGATTGTGATAACTTTCTGAAGTTCCTATTGTCAGAATTGACAGCAGACTCCTGCCAGAGGCCTAGACGACTTCCAAGACCAAGATAAAAGTCAGCTTGTTCTAACCAACATTAGAAAGAAATTTTTTGAGAAGACAGAAAAAGGGAGTTATCAACATATTACCTAGATGAAAGATTTTCATACAAAAGTAGCTCTAGACTTTCAAAAAGTTCCCTAGCTGCATCTTTGTGGGATCCACCACCCCCACCATGCTCTCCAACAGCCCAACACAATTGTAATGCCAATTCTGTCTATATAAGGAAAATGATATGAAATTAGATCCTTAACTTAAGCATGGCACCTGTTTACCTGAAAAAATAGGATGTAATTATTGGACCTTTTCTGGGCTGTCATATGCTTCCCCAAGTCTGTCAATTATAGGCTTCTGCAGAAGGTTAAATTGGACCAAGACTATATAAAATAATAACATTTGTCTGAAATAAAGTTTCAGCATAATTATGAAAAAGGACACAGGACTCATAATCCTTTAAGACATCAATTTCACTATTGACACAAGATAAAATACATGTATAAAACTTGTATGACAAATACCTTCAAGAGTGCAATAAAATCTGGAGAACGCTGAAATGCAGCAAGCATGAATTCTAGGAGTCTTTTGCGAGCCTGCAAAAATATAACTTCTCAGAAACACAAGCCATTCTATCTCAGCATCTAAATTGTTGTACCATATCAAGGACATTTACACGCAAAATGTTTGAATTCGAAAAAAAAAAAGAAAAAAGAATGATGCTACCATTTTGTTTATCGAACATAAGAATATTGGTATGGACCCAAATAATTAATATAAGCCCTCTTCAGATAACACCAAAACCACTAGGCAGTGATCCAACAAGAAATGCAATGAAAGAACTTTAATTTTTTGAAAATATATACACACCTCATACATATAGTTCTTGTCAGGAAATAACGTGGAATTTCTTGCCATCAGAATGGGAATTAATGGACAGATTAATGCTGAAGAAGAGAGGCAAGAACACAAAGTAACAATAAGATACACAGCACATTATCAACTCTTTAAATAAATGCTCTGTAGACAAAGTTATATATACACTAAAAAGGATACCAAACGGATTCAAAGTGACAATAAACATACAGTTATTTGCATCACGCAACGCTATAGTAAAATACATATCAAGAAGCCGAGGTGCCATATTAAGTATCTGCTTCAATCTATCAGACTGAGGGCTATTCATTGCAGCCTGTAGGACTGCAGCAACCCCAGGAGAAGTCCAGTGGCGTTCCTGAAACAATCAATCAGGTGTCAACTTATTTCAAACATCCCGAAAAAATGGAAATTAGTGATCTAAAATTACAGTAGTTTTAATGTAGGCATAAACACAATACATAGCTTGAAACTATGATATCGCATTGTTGAAAGAGTGAGGTAACATTATAATGCTAAAGACAACAGTAAACTAACCTTAATTTAGAGAAGATGCAAAGTGTTGCTTTTACTTGCATTGATAGAAATTAAAAATATTTTATATAGAGCAAATAACAATTAAAAAAAAAAAAGTCTACAAGAGCATATAGACACAAATTCTTAAGACAGAAAAAAGCCTGCAATAGTTAGACAACTATATTTGCCTCCAGTAATACCAGGTTTATACGTGCATTTGTCTAATTATAAAATGGAGTTTTAGAAATGGAAAACATACAGCAAGGCCATCATTTTCATCCTTGAGAAGTTCAAGAAACAGAGGATCAGCCATGTCCATTGTACTGCTATCATCAGACTCAGAGTCTCCCCCTCTGTCCCCAATGGTAGAACCAGTGTAAGCCTCATCCATGAGTGCAAGTAGCATCTGTGTCATATAAAGTGAGCTTTATTTGCACTACATAATGAGTTTTTACTTAGAACATACATAATTTATAAAGTCCCACATACAACCTCAGGAGCCGTACTCTTCTGGATCGAAGCTATACCACTTCCTATTAGCGACCCTGAGCTTTGTTCTACCTTTTCCAATGCCACAACCAAGACTAACATAGATAAACAAAAGTCATACAGAACAATTAGTTTATGAAGAAACAAGAAAAATACACTTCATCATTCAACACCAGCTGAATTCACATAGAACAAGAAACAAAACAAGGAAAGAATTGTAAATAAGGTTTTAAAATGCAAAACTAGGTAAAAGGGTGTATGAAAAAAGTGCAGACAACAGGACAATGTAGTCAGCTGAGAAGCCCAGACTACAAACTCACTTGGTAAGTCCAATAAAGATGGAAACAGTGGGACAAATGACCCAGGTGACACCAATCCCAGAAAAACCTTGAGAAATTGCTTTTCTAATCTGCAAAGCAGACACACGACAGTTAGTGGCTCATATCTACTTCAATAACTCTTCAAAACAAATTCTTTGTGACATCCTCTATGTTTAAATGTTTTTATTCTGTAAACCACATCACAGGGATATAATAATCCCCATTAAATTCTTATCTCATTTATTAGAATCAGTTTAGCCAGTTTATTACTGATAAAAGTTCATCAAGAAGTGGAGAAAGACCAAACAAAAAGCAGACTATCGCCAGTCAGGGAATAGACCATATCACCAGACACCAAAGACTAAGGCCTATAAAATTGAAATAAAACTTAGATAGGAGAACTTACTTTTGCCCGTTCCATGCAATCAGCTTCAGAAGCAAAGGGAAAAACTACAAAGACATTAAGAATATTAGCAGGAGATTCACATAAATAAATACTTGATTTCATCTTCTGTCTACTTTTCAACTTGAAGGCTTCAGTTTCAAAAGTAAGAAAAATAAATAATTGAGCAAAGGAAATATGAGCTATAACAAATGAAATCACAGAGGGAAATGAATAGCTTATAAACATAGAACCTTTGAGTTTCAAAACATAATTTCCAAATCAAGTCAAGAAGGATTACTTAAAAAAGTAGTTCCATAGAACAAGCATGTTTAGTTTTAACTTCACCACTATATGATTATTTATGATCAATATGAATGACTTAACTGATGTTTGAAAGAAACAAAGTATACAGAGCGTATTCATGCAGTGACTCAGATCTCAGAATGGCATATGAACCTATATTTCTATTCTGTAGGCTCTGTAACTTTTAATCTTTTATTGCACAACACATAAGACCAACAAATAGGTTATAATAGGATATACATCTAAAGCCATATCACAATAATAACACCATTTTATAAACTTAAACAACATTCTCCAAAAGGAAATGTAAATTGTTCAGATATTCAGCATCTTTAATGCCTTAAAAAGCATCATGTTATCAACAGAAACTGTTCTGAATCATAATTCATAGCATCATACCTGAGGTAGTAAGTTGGGGAAAGAAATAAGAAGTTTGGTCTTGTTTCATTTAGAAAATCAAGAGTTGCCGCTGCAACAACAGGATCTGCAAACTCACTGTTTGCAAATTTAGAATAGTGCTAATCATAAAATTTAAGAGAAACAGAATGTTGAAATTTGTAAAAAATGCATACTGATATAAGAATATAAGCAAGATAAAATGAATGCTAGAAGAAAAGCCCCACATAAAGCACTAAACAGATTAAATGCTGATCCATCAGTAGGGTTATGCTTAAATTTTATCCACATAACCATAAAAAAAGTACTGATACAATACTATATATCATTACCGGCTCAAACATGAACGGAAAAATGTCTTGAGACTGGGATCAGCATCATGCAGAACCACTTCTCCAAAATCAAGGAAAAATTGAAGAATGACCTGATCCATAAATCCAAAACAACAAAAAAGAAAAAAAAAAAAAAAGATATAAACAATACTGCTAAACTACAATGCTATGGCACACAAACACTTTAACTATGGCCATCTAATCAATGAAGTAATATTTGAATTTTGAGCCATGCCATTTTTGCCCTCATATCTCGAACCAGCCTTTACAAAAGCAAAACTTTTAGGGTCTGTTTGGCTGTCTCTTTGCTACTTGTTTCTTTTGCTTAACAAAAAAATTGCTTTTGAAGACTTAAACATTAAAAATGTAGTTTTTTTTTTTTTTTAAATCATGATTTTACTTTCCCGTGGACAATTCATCTTCGAAAAAAGTGGTAAATTTTAAATTTTTATCAATTTCTTTAAAAAAAATAACTTCGATTTTTAGAAAAAAAAAATCAAAAGAGAAATATACATCAGCTAAACACTAAGTTACTAACATATCAAACTTCAATACGTAATAAAAAAATCATAAAAAAAAATTCAATCAAAGCATTAATTACACTTTAAATACGTTTAATCAAAATTCTAAACCAAATATTCAAGTAATTCTAACATTTTCAATAATTAAAATAAAAAATCAGGAAAATAGAAAAAATTGGAACCTGTAAGAGAATTCCGTTGGAAGAGGTAGATTGAGAGAGAGAAGCAATGGATCGTTGGAAGAGCTTATTGATATGAGGGTAAACCCTAGCGACCAAATCCTCAGAGTATTTCTCTTCTTGCTTACAAAAATCGCATAGCTTTTTCACGGCGTGAAGAAGAGAAGGATCGGAAGCTGAGTCGTTAGCGAAATTCGAGTCTCTGGCGCTGTTCGATACGGTTCGGAGATAGAAATCCCAATCTCGTTCTCGATCGCTCATTTTCCTTTCTTTTCTTTTCTTTTCTCTTCTTTCTTCGAAGAAAATTTCCCGCAATGGCCTCTTTCTTGAGACGATGAACGAGAACTTTAAAACGCACCGTATTAATTTCTTGAATTACTAATTGACCCCTTCATTTTTTGTTTTTGCATTTTGTTCTAAATAATTGGAGTCAGTAATTTTGGAAGACTTGTATGCTAGGAATGGCAACAGAACGAATTATTATTATTATTTTTGTGATTTTTATATTCGAATTCATTTAATATTTATAATATTTAAATTTATTTAAATATTTTTTAAATTTAATATTATTATTTAAATTCGAATTTATTTAAATATTTGAATTTGTTAAAATATCCATTTATTTAAATTTTTTATTAAAATATAAAATAAACAAAAATTTAATTTAAAATTAAAATTCACTTTTAATTAATAATAAATAAGAGTTATTTTTTAAAGTTTAAAATCTTTTACAAACATAAAGTTTACATATATTTTATATATGTAAACGAGTAATTGATTCGAATAAAAATTCGAATATCAATTAATACTCATTAAAATTTAAACAGATTTGAATATTGGATATTCAAAATATATTATTCGTGTTTGTTTTAAATCTATCACGAATAATAAATATTTTATTTAAATCTATTAATTATCCATTTATCATTATTCGAATTCGATATAAATGAATCGAATAATAATAGATATTTATTTATTTATTATCCATTGCCATTCTAATGCAAACCAACTTAAAATAAATATATTTTCAAATAAGTGTTCATTTCTAATATTAATTAGTAATTATTAATTTTTTATGATAATTAGTATTTTTACAAATACATTTTAGGTCTTAAAAATAAAGAAAAAAATTGTATGTATTAGAATTTAAACTTAAACCTCGTAAATGATAAAGTGAAAATGAAAAATAAGAAATAAACTTTAACAAAAATCATTAATAAAAAGAAGCATAAAAGAAGAAATATATAGAATAAGGCTAAAATATGAAGAAGATAGATGATGAAAAATTCAATCATAAAACATTAATTTTTTTTATGATTTAATCATAGAACATCATTATTGGCCAAAAAAAAAAAATCATAGAACATCATTGATACATTGTTCATCAGCAAATTGGAGTCCACCAATCCCAGCATCATAAATGATGCGCTTATTTTGTTGATGCCATGCTCCTAGCACAGTCCCGAAGTTTCCCGTTATTATTGCTACGCAGAAATAACCACGGCCGAAGTAATGCCCATATTGCCCATCTACGGTGTAGTCAGCTCCATTAAAATGGAATGTTATTGATGCAAAATCATGATAATTAGTTGGATATTCATAACACACCCCAAAGTTTGGATCTGCAGTTGTTCTTCGAAGTCCTCCGGACCCGCAATAAGCTTCAAACACTGTTACCACTGCTTGATAAGCATTGACCCCAATGGTGTCAGAATCAATCACAGAGAACAAAGCTCCAGAGTCTATGAAGCAACCACCTAAGCCATTTGGCCTGGTTCTGAAAGTATATGGATGAAATCCTAGACGATGGTTTGCAACACTTATGTCCAACAAATCCAAGTCGTAATAATTGGATCCTGGTTTTGGCAGGAACATCGTTGTTTGAACATGTTGTGGGGGCAGCTGGGGAATGTCCTCTCCGAACCTTAGGACAAGTGGACGAGGTATTGCATCAATAAAAGGGACCAAACAATATGAAAATCGAGCGTGAATTAAAGGAGAAAATTGGCTTGCCATTGAATCCCGAGCCATGCTTAATCCGAAGATGCCTGAAATATCAGTATTCTTAAAAAAAATGTCACGGTTGTCATCGGAGCAACCAAAGATGACATTATTAAAAGTTTTTATATTAGAACGATCGATAAGGAAATGGAATGCTTCCAAGGATGCAACGCCCCTGGTGGAGGCTCCACCACCATATCGAACGTCGTAGACACATACGCCATTCACACAATTGTAGATTCTACCATCACCATCGCAGAAAGGATGATCGCATGGCAGTATGCCATAACCGCGGGAAACTCTAGGATCATAAATTCCAAGATTTCGTGGGAAACAATTTTTGCAAGGTTGACATTGTGTCCAAATTAGACCACCTCCACTGTCCATCAACAACTTCACTGGGTGTCGTTGGCTTCCTATTGTAAATCCTACTACATAGAAGAGACCATCTCGGAATATTCCTATTCGGATATTATCAGAACCACCCTTGCATTCGGAAGCGAAACCAGATCCAAATAATTGGCTCTAGCGTAGGTAACTTTGATCAATTTTTCTACTCTTTCAGCACTAGTGAGGTTTTCAATATGGTATAGAGGAGACTCTGGGGAATCATCGAGGACAGCCCTTAGGCTTAGTCCTGTAGGATTTGAAGAAGAAAATGCAAAATGAAGTTGGGATAATGTTACTAAGAGGCAACTGAACAATTTAGCATTGAGAAAATGAAGGGTTAAAGACATTTTGAAGTGAAAAGTTAGGCTATAATTCAATGGTGTTAGTAGTTCTTATATAAAGATATACTACAGTAAGCATCTTTTTGGCACAAATTTGTAACACTCCCTTGAAATTGAATATTCTTCTACTTTTGGTAGGGTAGTGAATAAGAACGAATCCTTTACTTTTGATTAGCTGGCTTTCTTCTTTCTGCCATTTCTTTTATTATTTGTCATTCTTCATTTATTTTCTTAGTCTGTTTACAGAAAAGGAAGGATCATTCATTATGCATTAATGAACCAATAAATTAATATCCTTATTTGGCACTAAATTGGGCCTCTGCATTTATTTCCCTACTGTAGGTTAATTTCTCTGCAGGATTGAAATCTTTGAATATTCTACTTGTTGTGATTTTATGAAATAGCTGACCTCCTTTTCACAAATGATTTTGTGATTTCTTAGGCACTTGACCTCGTCTTTATTGAAAGGGAGAACCCGATTCTGAAGCATGCTGTAAATGTCTTAGGCTAAATGTCTTCTGTTATATTATTATATCGTCTCCAAAAGTATGAGTAAGGGATATCAAAAAAGAAAAGAAATTTATCTCTTTAATCTGTCAATATACACAAAAGGTGTCAAAGCCTTATTCACTGTACACTTTTTTGTGTGTGTCTGAATGAGTGATATCTATTTTTTGTAGATAAATGTATTTCTGGAATGCATCAATTCCCAATAGAACATTTATGGGTATTGGAGAACAATTTAAGCTAGCCCTGATCTGCACATTTACATAAATCATGTAGGAAGGCATTAGACAAGGCAGAGAAACGCAAAACAGAAAATAAAAAAAGAGAACAAAGAAGAATTGTATCATGGCATATCATCAGAACATGTTTCGTTAGTATGCTCTTTTTCGAAGTTGTTAAAGTATTAAAATTTTCATCTCAAGCTTTGATGCACAATGTCACTTAGAAACACATGCTAAGTGGTATGCTCTGGCTTTTGAAAATTGTATCAATCTTTTGATTCTTTCAACTTGAATGAGGTTTCCAGGGCATAGAGGAGACTGCTTGGGACCTCTTGGGTTGAGCCTCATACTTAGACCACTAGATTTTGAAGGAGGCTATCAGGCAGACTAATAGTATAGCCTTGGGAAAAGATAGCATTCCAGCCATTTTAGAGGTTCAGACTGAGGGCAAATTGCAATGTTGCTAGCAATAGTTATACAGGTTCCAAGAATTTCAGTCCACATTTATAGCACCATCTGGCAATTAGTAAAAATGAAAGATTCCAAATAGAGTGCATTGCTGCGTTGTGGCCTTGGACAATTTGATTAATGGTTCAACTTTTCATCTCTAATTGCTGGCACTGAATTGAGCCCTTCAGGCAAAATCAGGTGAAGAAATAAACTAACTGAAAATGACAGATTGTTTGCTATTATTGCAGTGACCAAGGCAATTTCATTAAGATGAAATTAAGCTAAACAAACCCTCCACTGAATGATATAAATGAAGAAACTCAATCATGGAGTGTGACCATTAGCACAAGTCTCGGTGACCCATTGGAGTCCACCAACGTTCATATTATAAATGATACGCATATTTTGTTGTTGCCATGACCCTAGTATAGTTTTTGATGATGGATTCAATGCCACACAAAAATACCCTTCCTCGCTAAAGTAGTGCATATATTTCCCATCTATATGATAGTCAGCTCCATTAAAATGTAAGGTCATTGTCAGATAATCTTGAAAACCAGGCTTGCTACGGTAACATAGGTTCAATGATTCAATCACTTTGCCCATTCTTTGGAAGTTACGCGAGTCGTAATAAGCCTTAAAGACTGCCATCACTTCCTTATATGCATTCCTTCCTGTGGTGTTTTGATCAATAGTACTAATTAAAAATCCTGAGTCTATAAGGCAACCACCGGTGCCATCTTGCCTAACTCTGAAAATATCAGGTTGTAGTTGAAATCCTAAACGATGCCATCCGACACTTATATCTAGCAATTCCATGTGATAATGGTAGTGTCCGGCGTTTACTAGGAATTCAGTTGTTTGAAGATTTCCTACAGGTTGGGGAATATCATCTCCAAACCTTAGGACACTAGGTCGAACCAATTCATCATCAAAAGGGACCAAGCAATATGAGAATCGATTAAGAATGATGCCTTTCCTAGCTAACTGGCTTGCTAGTGCATCTGGAGCCAAGCTTAATCCTAGAATTCCTGAAACCTGACCATTCGAAAAATCAAAATTTTGGTTATCAAAGGAGCATCCGAAAATCATATCTTCAATGATTCTAGTCTGGACATTATCAACAGGAAATTGGAATGATTCAAATGATGCAATACCTCTCGTTCTAGGTGAATTAGAACGAGAATCAACACCATATCGAATGTTGTATAAACATTTGTTGTGGTAACACCTGTAGCGTCTGTTGTCTCCTTGACAAAGTTCGTGAGTGCAAGGAAGCTTGTGATAGCTGGTGGAAGCTCGAGAATCATAAATGGGAACCTTCTGTCTGAAGCATTTTACGCAAGGCTTACACTGCGTCCAAATCAGGCCACTTCCGGTATCCATTAGCAATTTCACGGGGTGGAGCTGGCTTCCAATTTTAATCTCTACCACATACAAGTAAGTCTCAGGAACCCGACCTATTGGTAAATGGACATTATCAAGATCTGCTGATTTATTGGGACTCAAATCAGAATCCAAATAGTGAGCTCTAGCTTCTGAAAGTTGTATCAATCTTTTGATCCTTTCGGCTCCAGTGAAGTTTCCAGGGTACAGGGAGTCCGTTCGGATGAGCCTCATGCTTAAACCAGTACGTTTGGAAGTTGCAAAAGAGACTTGAAAAAGGGCTATGAAGAAGAGAAATGGTATAGCCTTGGGAAAAAGTGGGATTCCAGCCATTTTAGAGGTTAAGAATGAGATCTGCAAGTCTATCTGCCTTGTTGCTAGTTATAGTTATACATTGATTGCAAGTGCAATTTTTAGGCCATATTTATGCAAATTTATGGCAGACCCTGGAAGAAGAAAATTCTTATGGCACATAGTAACTACTTTTCTAATCCATTTCTTGTACTGCATTTATTACATGGAATAGGCTGGTAAACAATAATTAAGTGACAATTAAGACTGAAACTCCACTTGGTAAATGATAGATTAGCCACACTGGAAAAGGACCTTTTTTTTTTTTTTCATTTGGCTATTTTGACAGTGCAGAATGGGTTTAAACATGCGTTGGTGTCTGGCTTCAAGCTGAGTACTATTGCTTTTGCAAGTCCCCAAAAATAATCTAAAAATATTATACAATCTTGATTGTCTTTTATTCTGCCTAAAAAATTGAGGCAAAGACAGTGAACTCCTTTATAACATAACCGTAAGGAAGATCATGATGAAACTTTTTAGAATCACAGAAGTGAACTTCAAAATAATGTGTATTAGCAAAGTAGATGAACTGATTATTGAATCATATGTTTGGATACAAAAATTTTTAAATTTCACATGTAAGGTCAGTAGGGTGATTATATAGATATAGTAAATATACATATGTATCCAAAATGTGAAATCTGAACCTCATAATAGAACTGAACACTTCTCCCGATGAGACTTTGATGCTTGGGTTCCAGAGCTGGCATTTAAGTAAAGACCGAAAATCCAATGAACCAGGTACCAGATTCATCCACTTCCAACTTCTACAGGCTATCATTTAAAGGTGAAAAAACATTGTAGAATTGGTAACTTTTCAAGTATCTCAGAATATTCCTCCCACCGCATCAACTTCTTTAGGTTTTTTTCATGGCTAAGCAAAGTGAGAATGAAGGATGAAGACAGGATTAGTAATTTACCTGATACAATTTTATGTCACATCTTGTCATTCCTTTCTACAAAAGAAGTGGTTGGAAGCGCCATTTTATCTACCAGGTGGAGATATCTTTTTGCTTCAGTTTCAAATCTAGAGTATTTCGTGACAGCCTTTTGAAACGCAGCAAAAGGTGTCAAACTTTGACTATTAAGAGTTTTGTGGGCTTTGTGGGCTTTGTGAATAGAGTGTTGTTTTTCTATAATACTAGTACTAGTATGGACAAATTTCGTCTGAGATGTTGTCAAGCTGTAGATTCTTCCAATGTTTACGGCTGGATATCTGCTGCACCCTGGCGTGGGGTTCAACATCTTGATTTAACCATCTCCTTTGGCAAGGATAAGTTTATGGCCACTCTGCCAGGTGTTATGTTCAATTGCGTGACATTGGTGACTTTGAAACTGGATATTGATTTCGTTTTGGAAGTTTCAAAACATGTCTGTTTTCAAATCTCAAAACTCTTCATCTGAAGTCAATTGAGTTTTTGGATGATGTATCAGTTGAAAGACTTTTCTCCAGCTGCGTTAGTCTTGAAGATATGGTCATGGAGAAATGTAACTTGGGAACATAAGTGAGTTTAACATTTCAAATCCCATGCTCAAGAGATCGACTATTCTTCACTCCAATTTTAATGGCTTAATTACCAATTATCGGATAGTAATTGATGCCCCATCTCTGGTGTACTTCAAATGCACAGACAATGTAGCAGCGGGTTATTCATTGGAGAATATGCAATCTGTTGTCCACGCTGACATTGATTTTTGTTCTACATGGAGATGACCCGAGAAGTAACTACCATCATCGAGTTGTTGCAACAGAAATTTTTAGAGAGATCCGTAATGTTAAATCACTTAAATCTGTCAGACACTTCTCTGAAGGTTTGTATCTTGACTCACAACTCTATCAATCTATCAATTTAGATTTTTTTATTGATGTTTTTATTTTCTCGTTTCTACTACGAACTTTGCCTTTGGAACTTCATGTTAGTTTTATCCGTTGTAAACATACCCTTTTAAAAACTTCTTTAGAAGTCCTTTCTTGTTAGTTTTTCATGGTTTTTTTTTTTTTTTATTCTACTGACAATATTTGTCATTATCATAGCTCCTTCTAAGTTGTGAACCGATTCCTTTTTTGCGAAACATGGTCAAACTGAAAATATGTTATCATTATCAGCCATGGTCAATGCACGATTATGAGGAAAAAGGTCTTGAAACTTTACTGAGAAGTTCGCCTGAACTAAAAAAATTGCCATTTATGAGGTATAATAAATTTATCTTCAAGTAAAAGCTGTGAGTTGATTAAGCTGCAAACTCTTACTGACTCCCTTTTAATTCTGGTTGTAGGCAATTCTCAGCCATCTGCCTGAAAAAGTGCCTTATTGTCTGTTGTTTAAAATCAAGGAGATCGAAACTTCAGATTTTATATTAGTGAAAGAATGTATTGAAAGGCCAAGTATTTCATAACGAACGCAGGAGTTCTACGGAAGTTGATAATACGTACGTACCTTAATGAAAACGAAAAATTGAAGGTCACCTAAGAATTGCTGGCTTCACCAAAGAAATCAAAGCAATGCTGCATCTTAATTCTTTGATATTGTTTGTGTTTCTTTTGAAACATTTTTCAGTCTTTCTAGTGCATGAAATTAGATTCTTAGCCTCTCTCTAGTCGCTATATATATACACACATGTCTTGTGCCTTTTAATGAATTTTTTTTTTTTCTGATTTGAAAGATTTTAGTTATGTCTTGTTTTTCTGTTGAAAAGTTCATTACATCCGATCTATGTATTTTTGTTGATCCTTAGGATGAAGGGGGATTCGAGTTTTTTGATACAGGAAATCTCTATAATTGAGAAGTGGCTCCTGTGAAAGTTCAAAGTGCTTTATATTCTATAATGGATGATTATAACGTAATGGGTGAAAAAAGCCATTATTTTAATATATTTATTTCCCAATATATTTATTTAATATTATTTACCAAAATGTTTTGTTATTTGATAATAACAGCATTAAGAAAAGATGTTAACTTGATAACAAAGGAAGCCCAAACTAGAATTCTGACTTTCTTGTCTATTATTTGATAATAATAGCATTAATACCAATCTATTCTTGAACCAATGTCATAAACAAGCTAGGCTTCTTGTTCTTGATACACAGTAAAAAAAAACAGGGTTTCTCTTTGTTAGTAGGAAACTATACATACATGCATACCCCAATAAATCTGATATAAAATATAAGAAAAAACAAGGTTTTGCCTCAAGTTTTTGCTGAAGTTTAGTGATGGCTAAGTTGGCTAAGCGAGCTAGACTTGGCAAAGTAGACAGGATTAGTGGTTTACCTGACGAAATTCTTTGTCACGTAATGTCATTCCTTCCATTGAAAGAAGCAATACGAACTTCCATTCTTTCAACAAGGTGGAGTAAGGTTTTTACTTTGATGTCTAATCTTAACTTTGAAGATTGTTTAAAAACACAAAAATCGGAGAGTTTTAGGTTCATGAATTTTGTGGATCGAGTTCTGTTTTATCATACTGGGGTTGTGGATAAATTACATCTCAAGTGTGGAGAATTTATTGATTCTTACAGGGTTGATGGGTGGATGCGATATGCACTAAAGAACAAAGTTAGAGAGCTTGATTTATGCCTTAACTGTAAAGACTTTAGGAAACTGCCTCTTGGAGTTTTTACTTGCAAGACATTGGTGTCATTGAGATTGGATAAACACAGCAAGTGCAAGCTTGCGTTAGAACTGCCGGTAAAGATTTGTTTTCCAAGTCTCAAGAGTCTCCATCTTTCCGGTATTGGATTACCGGATGATGGTTCAATTCAAAGATTCTTTTCCAGCTGCTCAGTGCTTGAGGAATTGGTTGTAGATAGATGCTTCTTAAAAAAACAATGCAAATTTAATGTTTCTAGCCCTACACTGAAGAGACTGACCATATCCTATACAGGGGGATTTTACGAAGATTATGAGATTTTGATTGATGCCCCTAGTCTTGTCTTCTTCAAATGCTGCTACTACTTACCAAAACGCTTCTTGCTGAAAAATCTGAACTCTCTTGTCAAAGCATATATCGATTTTGGGGCAGTTTTTAATTCTTATAACACTTTTGTCGCCAGTAATTATATAGCTACAACTGATCTATTCAAAGGCATTAGTAATGTTCAGTCACTTCATTTAACTGATATTTATGCACAGGCTACTGTTCTTCAACCCCAAAATTTATTTATATTCTTAATGGATTTTTCTAGTAAGAAATTGCACTAACAAGTAACAACACGTGTTTTTTTTCCAGCTTTTCCTAGAAGGTAGTAGCGTAATGCCTGAGTTGCCTAAGATGACTTATTTGAATCTTGATGGCTACTTCTTTGTTGGGAGGGAGCTAGTGTTACCACATTTACTTGCAAGTTTTCCATGCCTAGAAGCTCTTGTTTTAAAGGTATGAAACAAATACAATATAATATAATTTGTAGTAATTCCATTTAATCAGTGTAGAGGGGCAACTGTGAATTCATATATTTGTTTGTTGTTTAGGTCAAACTCAAGAAGCAGTTTTCGAGCGATATCAACACAGTTATGTCTAAATACAAGAGATTTCCTTCCTTTCTGTGGTCTCAACTCAAGACACTTGAAATTTTATCTTTCAAAGGTAAAAAAAAAAAAGAGCAGCAAATGGTTAAGTATTTTCTGAAGAATGCGGAAGTGCTGGAGAATTTGACTGTACAGACTCTAGCAAAAGGAATGCATCTGCCAGCAAATAGGATGTCAAAGATCACTAAGCAGTTGTTGAATTTACCAAAAGTCTCAAAGAAATGTAAAGTCTTGGTTGTCTAAAGTTTTCCAAACTTTCTTATGAATTGACTTAGGCTGCAAATAGTGATGGTTGTAAGATTTTTTTCACAAAATATTGTTATCAATGACCAGATATTTCCAGTTAACCATTGTAATTATAAGGCAAGTGATGATTTTGTTGCTAATTATGTGAATTTTAGTCATCCATGGCTTCACTTACTAACATGATGTTTCCAGTGTCAAGTTTGCCTATCTATTACTTTTGGCTCCTGTCAGCCAAGCCAAATTTTTAGAATTGCTGTTTAGTCATAATGCAATTTGATACTGTTGTAATCAGATCAATTGACTGTCTTAATAATTTGGAAATCAAACTTGGTTAGAATTTAAATATGAATTCTTTTCTTTTCAGTATCAACTAATCAGATAAATTTTCTTTTATTAATGCATCTATCTTAAGGGGAACTGTTTAGCACAAATATAGAAAACTCTCTTGGAGATATATCAAGATTTAGGGATTGTGAAACACAAAAAATCAAGCAGGAAAGTGTTTGAGCATGTTTGATGATGAATTTAACATGCTGGTTTCACAAACGTTGCCCCCTTGTTTGATATCTCGCAGCGAGACTATTAAATTTCTGTTATTTCGAGGGAAGAAATCTGAAGTGCAAATAGTATTTTCTGAAGCATGCATAAGTTCTGAAGAATTTGATCCTACGTATGATCGCAAAAAGGAACCGGCGATTAAAAATCACTGAAGAACTGTTGAAGTTTCCAAGTGCTTCAGGTTGTAATTGTCGAATTGATTTTTCTCAATGTTTCTTGTAGATTGAATTAGCAGTTACTATCAACTCTCTAGGATTGCTGTGTGGTAGTCATGGTTAACAATTTGTCAGAGAAGATTACATTCAAAATGTTATTAATGACTATATATGGTTAATATTCCTGTTTGACTTCAAAATTTTTATGGCTAATGATCTTGTTTTGGTGGTTTCTGAAGTAAAATGTTATCCATGAATTGGCTTGATACTGGGTTGTGTCTTTGATCATTCTGCTCATATACATTTTTGAGCTAGCTGTTAAATAATCTGACTTGTTATACAATGGAAAGAAATTGTTAGTTAAGAAGATGATTTTTAAACTTGATAATTTTATCAGGCTCTATAATCGTAGAGACGCTGATAAAGAATCTGATAGCCAAAAGTGCAAAATCCCCTTCAAGCTGACAGTAAATTAAGCCTGGACTTCACTTTTTCTGGTAGGATATATAATTATCCAACCCTTCAGCTAACAGCCTCCATTGTCAGGATCAATGTTTATCTTGATTGAACTTTCAGGACAGAACCAACAGAGATGCTTGACGCTCTGGCAGTGTTAAATGATGGTTCCTTCCAATTGTAAATGAACTTCAAATTTTTCTGTTTCTTTTTCCCCGTTGTTCATGTTGTAGCCTGTAGGAAGATCAGAATTCGTAACAAAATCACTGCACTTTTGTTCCTGAACACGAAGGATGTGTTAAAACTGACAACGTTCATTAACTACCCGGAACATGTCCCATCCCATCAAACATGGAACTGCAGAGGAGGTGACATATTTGTTAAGCACAATGGTCCAGGGACTTTGTTGGTTGGTTCAGGACTATAATTTTTTTTTTTAAAACTACTTTTGACAGAATTTAAGTCCGTCAGGATTTTAGTAAGGGTGACATTGAAATTTACGGAATTTCACATGGCAATAAGTTAATAGAGAATCTAACAACAGCAATTAAGCCAAAACCAATGCAAGAGTTTTACTTTTTAACTCCAATCAAGTTATAACCATAAAGGACTTTTATTTAAAAAAAAAAAAAAACTGCGTTTTCAAGGCTGTCAAGCCGAAGAAAACTAGGGTTTACATATTTACCAAATTTCTTTTTATTTGATAATAATAACATTAAGAAAAGAAGTTAACTTGATCACAAAGGAAACCCAAACTAGGGTTTTACCAATCTATCCTTGAAACCAATGTCCTAAACAAACTAGGCTTCTTGTTCTTGATGCACAATTTAAAAAAGAAAAAAAACAGGGTTTCTCTTTTTTAATAGAAAACATATATATGTGTGTGTACGTTCATCCCACTAAATCTGATATAAAATATAGGAAAAACAAGGTTTTGTCTCAAGTTTTTGCTGAAGTTTAGGGATGGCTAAGATGACTAAGCGAGCTAGACTTAGCAAAGTAGACAGGATCAGTGGTTTACCTGACGAAATTCTTTGTCACATTATGTCATTCCTTCCATTGAAAGAAGCAGTACGCACATCCATTCTTTCAACAAGGTGGAGTAAGGTTTTTACTTTGATGTCTAATCTTAACTTTGAGGATTGTTTTAAAATACGAAAATCGGAGAGTTTTAGGTTCATGAATTTCGTGGATCGAGTTCTGTTTTACCATACTGGGGTTGTGGATAAATTACATCTCAAGTGTGGAGAATTTATTGATTCTTACCGGGTTGATGGGTGGATACGATATGCACTAAAGAACAGCGTTAGAGAGCTTGATTTATGCCTTAACTGTAAAGAGTTTAAGATGCTGCCTGTTGGAGTTTTTACTTGCAAGACATTGGTGTCATTGAGATTGGATATACACAGCAAGTGCAAGTTTGCATTAGAACTGCCTGTTAAGATTTGTTTTCCAAGTCTCAAAAGTCTCCATCTTTCCGGTATTGGATTTCCGGATGATGATTCAGTTCAAAGATTCTTTTCAAGCTGCTCGGTGCTTGAGGAATTGGTTGTAGATAGATGCTTCTTGAAAAAACAATGCAAATTCAATGTTTCTAGCCCTACACTGAAGAGACTGACCATATCCTATACAGGGGGATTTTACGAAGACTATGAGATTTTGATTGATGCCCCTAGTCTTCTCTTCTTCAAATGCTGTTACCTACCAAAACGCTTCTCGCTGAAAAATCTGAACTCTCTTGTCAAAGCATATATCGATTTTGGAACTGTTTTTGATTCTTATGACTCTTTTGTCGCCCATAATACAGCTGCTACTGATCTATTCAAAGGCATTAGTAATGTTCAGTCACTTCATTTATCTGGTATTTTTGCGCAGGTTAGTGTTCTTCAACCCCAAAATTTATATATATTCTTGATGGATTTTTCTAGTCGAAAACTTTACTAACACGTAACAACAATTGTTTTTTTTTTTTTAGCTTTTCCTAGAAGGTAGTAGCATAATGCCTGAGTTGCCTAAGTTGACTTATTTGAATCTTGATGGCCACTTCTTTGTTGGGTGGGAAATAGTGTTACCACATTTACTCGCATGTTTTCCGGGCCTAGAAGCTCTTGTTTTGAAGGTATGAAACAAATAGAATTTAATATAATTTGTAGTAATTCCATATACTTAGTGTAGAGTGGCAAGTGTTTATACATATATTTGTTTGTTGTTTAGGTCAAACTCAATCACCAGTTTTCGAGCGACATCAGCACAGTTATGTCACAAAACAAGAGATTTCCTTCCTTTCTGTGGTCTCAACTCAAGACAATTGAAATTTTATCTTTTGAGGGTAGAAAAAATGAGCTGCAAATGGTTGAGTATTTTTTGAAGAATGCCAAAGCACTGGAGAATTTCTCTGTACAGACTCTAGCAAAAGGAAAACATCTGCCTGCAAAATGGATGTCAAAGATCACTAAGCGGTTGTTGAATTTACCCAAAGTCTCAGAGAAATGTAAAGTCTTGGTTGTCTAAAGTTTCTCAAACTTTCTTATGAATTTACCAAAAGTTTCTCAAAGAAATGGAGATGCTTGACGCTCTGGCAGTGTTATATGATGGTTCCTTCCAATCGTAAATGAACTTCAAATTTTTCTGTTTCTTTTTCCCTGTTGTTTGTGTTGTAGCCTGTAGGAAGATCAGAATTCATAACAAAATCACTGCACTTTTATTCCTGAACAAGAAGGATGGGTTCAAAATGACAAGGTTCAATAACTACTCTAAACATGTGCCATCAAACATGGAACTGCAGAGCAGGTGACACACACTTGTTAAGCACAATGGTCCAGGGACTTTGTTGGTTGGTTCAGGACTAGAATTTTTTTTTTTTTTTGTTGAAACTACTTTTGACACAATTTGAGGCTGTCAGCATTTTAGTAAGGGTCAGATTGAAATTTAACAAATTTCACATGGCAATAAGTTAATAGAGAATCCAACAGCAATCAAGCCAAAACCAATGCAAGTGTAATCAAGTTATAACAATACAGGACTTCTATTAAAAAAAAAAACTGCATTTTCAAGGTTGTCAAGCCAAAGAAAAGTAGGGTCTGCTAGAAAACTCCTTATGTTATACAAAACAAAGTAAGGTCTCAATGGCTCAGCAAGCCAGCTACGGAAATAGCAAAGGCATTGGCAGGCTCAGTAGTTTACCAGATGATATTATTTGTCACATCATCTCATATCTTCCAATACAAGAAACAATCTGGACATCTATTCTATCAAGACGGTGGAGGTATCTTTTCGCTTGGACTAATAGTCTTACCATTGATGATAATAGCAAAAGTCAAGCGTATTTTGATTATGGTTACATGAATATTGGGAAGAAAGTGTTGTTTCTCGTAATAGGCCTACCATAGATAAACTCTTTCTTAAATTCAGAAAATATGTTGGTGCAAGCCAGGTTGATGTGTGGTTTCATTACGCACTTTGGCATGGTGTTCAAGAGCTTGAATTATGCATATCGGGATATTTCCTGTACTTCAATGGGCTGAATAGTGCTAGTTGGTCATTTTACTGCAAGACATTGGTTAGATTGAAATCAGAATTCAGAGACGATTTTATCCTGGAAGATCCTGATACAGCTTGTATGCCAAATCTCAAGTATCTCCATCATGGGTAGATTGAATTTTCAGACAATGGATCGGTTCAAAGGCTCTTCTCTCGGTGCTGCATGCTTGAGGAATTGGTCGTACAATGTTGTAGATTGGAAGATACAAGAAAATTCGGTGTTTCTGATTAACGCACCAAGTCTTGTCTACTTTGAGAACTTTGATTTGGTAGCAAAACACTATTCATTGGTAAGCCTGCAGTCTCTTACTGAAGCCCTAATTGATATTGGACCAAAAATTTTTTCCTTCTTCCATCACACTGCTGCAGCAGATCTGCTGAGAGGAGTTAGTACCATTCAGTCACTACATTTTGGTAGTAGGTTTTCGATGTTATGTGTTTTTGCATTGTTTTGATCTTCTCATTTTCAAAACATGAAATAAGATTTATTGATATTGCATAAAATTCTCCTTCTCATTTGCAGGCTTATGGACTTCATCAAGTTCCCAAGTTCCCTAACTTGACTTATCTAAAGTTAAATACTTCCTACTTTTGTGACTGGGAAAGCATACCTGGTAGTTCTCCCTGTCTAGAGACCCTTGTCATTGAGCTGGTATGTAACTATATTTGAATTGCATCTAAGTCCTAATCTATGCATAGTGTCAACTGTGATCTACCATTGCTATATATATATATATATTGCTTTTCTGGTCTGGAACTTCCTTGGCTAGCTGATGCATTCATCCTGCCGAAGCAAGCACCACCATGTTTGTTGTCTCACCACAAGGCAATCAAATTCTTTTCATTCCATGGAGAAAAGATGAGCTGCAATTGGTTGAGTATTTTTTGATGAATGCACAGGTTCTACAGAATTTGACAGTCCATATTGGCAAAGAGAAGAGAATGCAGTCAGAGATCACTGAAGCTTTAGTAGAATTAACAAGAGTCTCAAAGAAATGCCATGTCACGATTGTCTAACCTTCTCAATCTTTTATTTTTTCTAGATTAATCAGCTTGGAAGTATCTCTCTCCTTGCTTTCAAGAAAGAACCATAAATCAAACAAGGAAAGTACTGCCCCCTTGTTTGTTATCTCACATTAAGGCTCTTAAATTCTGTTATTCTGAGGGAAAAAATCAGAACAGCAAAATAGTTAAAGTATTTTTTGATGCATGCTGAAGTCCTAGGGAAGTAGGTGTTAGGTTTATCGCTCCAAAGAGCCGGCAGCTCAAGATAACTAAAGAACTGTTGATGTTACTGAAAACTTTGAATAAACACCAACTTGTAGTTGTCCAAATTTCTCAATCTTTCTTTTAGATTCAGTTATCAGTTACTATTATTTCTCTAATGTTGAGTTGTGTGGTAGTCATAGTTATCAATTGTCAAAGGAACTATGTTGTAACTATTTATGACTCTAGTCAACTAATAATGTTCCAGCTTAATTTCTGATATTATTTACTTCAGTTTAAATGGTCTTTCTTTCTAGAAATCGATTTTCTCAAACGTATTTACAGGCAAAGTCTTACATGATCAACTTAGCTTTTGTTAATATCATAGAGTGGAAATTGATAGGTCAAGAAGATGAACTTAAACTTAAGAATTGTATCACTGTCTGATATTTTAAGAACAGTGAAAACAAAACTTTTGGCCAACGATGCAAAATACAGTTAAATTTCCTTCAAACACATAGGAAAACCCAGAATTATTCCTTTTTTTTTTTTCTCTTTTTACTCAATATTATCATAATTTTCTTGTTCTTTCAAACACTTGTTCAGCTTTTGTTTTGCAGAATCATTTGACAAAGCATTTTTGAAGTTTCTTTATGTATGATATGGACTTATAGTTACCTGAGAGAATGAATTTTGCTTCCTCGTGGTTTTCTGTTTCACCTCAAGGCCACATGAGCTAAGCCTTTCAGAGCCAAGAAAATGTATGATCATTTATGCTTATGTAAGATAATTAAAGTGCATAAATTCTGCATGAGTTGTGGATAACAACTTAATTGTCTTTAGAAGCAGAGTTGGAATCATCAATTTCTTGGTTTGCTAGAGCTCACAATCTCCACTTTCAGGATTAGCATTCATCCTATTTGCACAATCAGGAGATCTGAACCAACCCAGAAGTTTGACATCCTGAGAATGTTCATATATATATAATGGTGCCTATAGAAAAGGAGCATTAATTTCATTTTCTGTTTCTTACCCTTGTTTATGCTATAGGAAGTTCAGAACAACATCAGAATATTTTCAATCCTGAAGTAGAGAGGAATTGGAAACTCATTTTACTTTTATGTAATGGGAGCTTGGTTTAGCTTTTATCTTGACAGATTGATGATATTCTGCCAGCTAGAAAGTGTAAAGTGTGTGACCTAATGCTCTTCATTTTCGCTTTGCCAAGAGTCTCAAAGAAATGGCAGGACATTTTTCATTTTTTTTCTAGATTGAATCACCTTGGAATATATCTTTCTTGTGCTCCTGGTAGCCTTCATGATTATCAGTTTGTCATTGGAACTATATAGTACTGCCATGGATAACTCCAGCTGGTTTCCAAGTTCAAATTCTGTTTTACAAGCAATCATTTGTTTTCTGGTGTAAACTCTTATCATAGCTTGGCTTATTCACTAGGAAAAAATAGTAATTCTCTCCACAGGATATCAGTTCAAAGCTTTTGATCTGACAATTCTTTATTCACTGTTTTATTTATTTATTTATTTTTGGTTCAATTCCCAGACAGCTAGATTCAAATGGGATTATGTATCTTGGTTTGTTCTTCACATAAACCTCCCATCCCTGATGAAAACAGCACTGAACAACCCCAAATCTTCGGTGCAATCAACCAAGGACTATATCTTAGCTGAGTTAGCTGACACATTTGACGGTTTCTATATTCTATTCTGATACTTATAGAAATTTCTAATCTTCTTTCTCTGACCAGACCAAAATGTTTCGTTTAAACAATTTAGAAGTCAGAATTATTTTTGACTATGAACAACATTAACATAGATTTAATATGACTTCTTGCTATCTTTTTTTATTAAAAATTTTATATCTTAAGAAAATGGGAAGCTTCATAATACTAACAATTTCTATTTGTTATCTCTTTGTTAACATTAATCTTTAAATATCTTTTAAAAAATCATTAATATAAATATAACCAACAAATGTTTGACAAAAACCAGTTCTTCAATTTGGGTGGGTAGTTGGCACATTTGAAGCAAACCTTGGATCTAACAGCAAACACCACACCCACTCCTCCAAACCCAACCACTTGACATGTCATTATATAATTGGCCAAAATTAGTCACAACAATATAAAAAGCGTACACTGCGTCACACTTAAAGCAAACCTTCCCACAAAACCAACTTTTCCAACAGGGAAAGTGAATCCAATCACTTTAATACAGAGGAGCGCTGAGGGCTGTTCACATGAAATAAAAAGGGTTTTGGACTGAGATTTCAGAGCTTATGAAACTTTCTAGTTGGGTTATTTTGTTCAACGTTTTCACCGCCTTGTTGTCCTCTTTAACCTCCAACAAAAACTCTCCAAAAACACCCAAAAAAAATCTCTTTTTTCTTAATTTTGCTTGATCATTTTCTTTATATTGCCTTGATCATTAATAGAATCAGCAAGAAAAGTTGTGGATAACTAGGTGTTTTCGTAGTTGACGGTAAACTTGTTTCAAAGTTTTTATTTTTATTTGTTTTTTCTTGATCCTTGATAACTTGTTCAAGTTATTAAGAAATGCCCAATTTCAGTTTTCATTAGAATTCCCCATAGGTTTGAATTTTTCTTTCAAAGAACCGATCTTGATCCTGGATTCAAGAAATACCCAGTTTGTGTTTTGATTAGAAAGTTTGAAAAAAAATGAGTTTGAGCGTTAAGCAATCAGCTTTATCTGCATGCATGGATGTCTCAAATTCAGTTGTTCACAGAAGATCGCCATCAACAATTTGTAGATCTTCGTTTTCACCATCTTTGAACCTTCAAAACAAACCCAAAAGAACCAATCTTTCAGTGTCAAAGCCATTGCATGTCTCATCTATCGAGAGTTTTTTTAAAGAGAAAAAACCAGTGATCCAATGCAAGGCTTATGAAGCTGACAAGTCACAGCCAATTGAAGCAGCTGGGGAAGTGCAATCAGAAACTGCAAAAAGGGTGAAAATTGGGATTTATTTTGCTACTTGGTGGGCTTTGAATGTGGTTTTCAATATATATAACAAGAAGGTTTTGAATGCTTACCCTTACCCTTGGTTGACTTCAACCTTATCCCTTGCTTGTGGTTCTTTGATGATGTTGATTTCATGGGCTACAAGGATTGCTGAGGCCCCAAAAACAGATTTTGAGTTTTGGAAGTCTTTGTTTCCGGTGAGTTTTTTTTCCTTTTTTGTTTGGTTGGTGAGAAAGTGAGGGAAAGTGAAAGAAAATGATAGAAAGTTTTGTTGTTGGATTTTTTGGTTTTTTAAGGTTTTGATGTTGCTGAATATTTTTTATAGGATCATGTGTTTTTATGTCGTTTGGACTGTAGGGAGGAAAAAGATAAAAGTGCAGATGGTCTGTGTTTCAGTTTTAAGAAAATTACAGTTTGTCTGATTGCAGAGAAAATAAAGGAATTGAAAAGGAGACGAAATTTGGTATTATGTGTCTTATCTTAGACTTAAAGAACAAAATTGATGGAAAAAAATAAAATGAGAATTTGATGTATGTTTTTATTTTTGCAAAACTAAGGTTAAGATGTCAATTCATTAATTGTTTCTGTCTTGGCTTCACAGCCTAAGACCATGAATTACAATCTTACTGAATTTTGGGGTTTTTTTTCTCTTCTTTTTTCCTAGGTTGCTGTGGCACATACAATTGGACATGTAGCAGCAACTGTGAGTATGTCTAAGGTTGCAGTTTCATTCACTCACATCATCAAAAGTGGTGAACCTGCCTTCAGTGTGCTGGTTTCTAGGTTCTTGCTTGGAGAGACCTTCCCTCCATCAGTTTACCTGTCCCTTGTTCCAATCATTGGCGGTTGTGCTCTTGCTGCTGTAACTGAACTCAACTTCAATATGACTGGTAAGAACAATAGTCTCTTTCATATGGATTTTGAATTTTTACTTTAATGTTTTAGTCCTCATTATAGCTGTTGTTTGTGCTGTTCATTCTTTTTGGATTTTTATTTGTATATGTTGGTGAGAAATTGTAGAATTAGGAAAAAGATATGTAGATAAATTCTCAAATTAATATTTTCCTTATTTTCAGGGATTCTGGAAATCCCTCTCTAAATGTGTGCTTTATGAGGTGAATGTCCCTTTATTTGAAACTGAGGTCACCGAGCACACTCCTTTTCTATAAAATTCTTTTTGTGTTGCCTCAGTTTTCTTAACAACCAACCAAAAAAGGTTCGATATTTGGCCCTCATTTCCCCTTCATAATTTCCCCTTCATATGATTTTTCAAGTGTGTTTTAGTTACCATGGTCATGTTTTCAGCTTGTAATGTGGGTGAGTATTTTGGATATTTATTTGGCTTGAGGATCTTAGCTGAGGTTGAGATTGTAATGTAAATCAATTTGCTTTTAGGGTTTATGGTCAGAGTGCTGAACTTGGTTGTTCACTGCGTGTTTCAGGTTTTATGGGAGCTATGATATCAAACCTGGCATTTGTCTTCCGTAACATATTCTCAAAGAAGGGCATGAAGGGGAAATCTGTTAGCGGGATGAACTACTATGCTTGTCTATCTATGTTGTCCCTCCTAATTCTCACCCCTTTTGCAATTGCTGTAGAGGGACCACAAATGTGGGTGGCAGGATGGGAAAAGGCCTTATCTGAAATTGGACCGCAGATCATCTGGTAATAACAAGACAATACTAAGTCTTAATTGCTTATTCTGTTTCCTTCTGCTTAATATTGTCTGGATTTTTTCGTTTGACTCTGGTAGATACTTTAACGGCATTAGATAGCTCTGTTAGAATTTGTTGCATTTATTAGGTTTATACTAAAAAGAATAACTTAGATAACCCATCACCTATTTGACTGAGAAATAAAATACTGGAAGTATTCAAGTCTCTGAATTTTGCTTTGTGATTTCAATTATGAATCTTTATTCTGAACCAGAAATATATGATGTAATGTCATCTTAAAAGGATTTTATTTGTGGGTCTTGAATTAAATTTTCTTTTTGAAGAGTTGATCCAATTGGATGATTTATTCATTCCTTATGATAATGTTTACCGAGTTTTATATAATATACCTCAGGATCCACATATAGCCTGAACTGAACTGTTAATAATTACGTAGAGTTCCTTTGAAGATTCAGATAGTCACCACCTGTAACATGAATATTAGATGGTATCGGTGTCATCACCATGCAGGTTTTGGTACTTGTGTTTACCTTAAATTTAGTTTTCTCTTTTTAATTTTTTGTTTTTCTTAGTACCACAATGTTTTAAATGTTTATCTTGAAAATTGAAAACCACATTGTTTCTTTTCTTCTCCGAAATTTGAATCATTAGATATTCTCTTTGGACATAAATCTAATTGTAATGATAAATGATATTTTTACTTGTTCCTGTTTGCTAACAAAATTTTTGTGTATTTTATTGTATTTGATAGGTGGGTGGCAGCCCAAAGTATTTTCTATCATCTCTACAATCAGGTCTCATATATGTCCCTTGATCAGATCTCTCCCTTGACATTTAGTGTTGGCAACACCATGAAACGTATATCTGTTATTGTCTCCTCCATCATCATCTTCCACACGCCTGTCCAGCCCATCAATGCTCTCGGAGCTGCCATTGCTATCCTTGGAACATTCTTGTATTCCCAGGTGAGTGATCACGTAAATTATGAGCAGTGCATTCAATAATTTCATAAAATCTTTATGTTCTGACTGCTATGCCTGTAGGACTGTTATTGATCTAAATTAGCTCACTAGATATATGGACAAATATTATTTGTCTGGATTGTTCACATATGACTTTTACGTTTGCCTTTGGAGGATATTTTCCGTAATGATAAGGTCTATAGCATATCGTAGTAAGGAGTGCATGTAAGATTTTGGAACTTTGTTGTAGCTCTAACAAGTGACAATTTCTTAGCCAAAAAAAGGAACGAACACACAATAAAGGAATACTGAATCGATGATTTAGCTACTAATTGTATAGTCCTCTAGGTTGGTTCCCTTGGTCTAGGATATATTAATGCCGTGTCTCTGCTACTGGTCTAACTCTTGAATAACACTGGTACCTTCCATAATGATAAGGTCTATAGCATATCGTAGTAAGAACGACTGCATGTAAGATTTTGGAACTTTGTCGGAGCTCTAACAAGTGACAATATCTAAGTGAAAAAATGGAACGAACACACAATAAAGGAGAATTGAATCGATGACTTGGCTACTAATTGTGTAGTCTTCTGGTTGGTTCCCTTGGTCTAGGATATATTAATGCTGTGTCTCTGCTACTGTTTCAACTCTTGAATAAATTTGGTGTTTGGTACGTTTGATCGGTTTGTTGGACCATACTTTAAAACCTACTCAGTTTCTCCTGCAAGATTTTGGTGGTAGATGTATCTTTTGGATCTGTGATAGTTGAGTTCCTCCTTCCTAGATAGATGAATGACTTGCCATTCTTGTGAGTGGTCAAGGGGTTGCTATAGTTAGTGGAGAATTAGAATCCATAGATGTTGACACTGGGGCAGTCCCGTACTAGCTGCCAATATGACAGGTGACATCTTCGGTGGTAGGTGGTTTCAATGAACCAACCAGTTGAACTATCTGCACCAGTGTCTACCTAACCACAGGCATCTAACAGGATCATGCGATAGTTTATTCCATGTGCCTTAGTCAAAGATGCTTTCGATAGATTCCATATTTCATTCTAAATAATTTGAGAATATGCTTGGTTTCTCCTCCTATACACAGTGGTCTTAAATGTACTGGAAATGATTGGTTTCCATTTTCCCTAATCGCGTGCGTTCTCTTTCTCTTTTGCAGGCAAAAGCATGAGAAAACCGGGTTCGAGAATTTTGATTCATCATATAACTTAGATGATGAAAGAGAAAATGGTATCTGGAAGAATTTAGCTCAGATGAGTTTGTAGTTTACTGTCTTTAGGGATCCATGATCGCTGGATTTTGGTCACATAGACCAGCAGCTTGTCATATTGTAGATACTAATAATAATGATCATTATAAACAATGTCATATAGTGGATTAGACCAGGTTTTTTATATTTTAATGCGGCTGAGGTCCAATCTGTTTGAATAAACAAGGATTAATGTTGTGAGCCTTGTCCATGGCAACAGACATGAATAAGAACTGAGGACAATGTTATTTGTTTAAACTATGGATCTTATTTTGAGAAGAGTGGATGGTAGGGTCGGTATAGATGCTTAGCTTACGGTGTACATTGAAAATCTGTGGTCCAAAGGCATTTGGAAAAGCTACCAGCAAGTTGGCTTAAACCTTCATAAACATGTGAGCTTGTCTCTTCATGCATTGAAAGATTTTGGAAGCATTGGAAGAAGATAATTGGCTTGTTCCATTAAAATCTCCGTTTCCATGTGACCATGCCTTTTCTTGGCTTGAAAGGACAAATTCTCTTGTTTCTAGCATCCTTCATAGAAACTTGGGAAAAAAAAAGTGGTACTTCAATATTAGCCGTTCATCACAATAAAAATATCTTTGAGACCAAATAATTAATGAAAGGGCATCTCATATTTATCCATAACCATAACCCTTCTTTGCTTCAGCTATTCACACTTTCTGACTAATCCTCAGTAGGTAGGGTCCCTTTTAGAGTGCAGCTTAACCGTTGAGTAAGACCCTGGTCATGGGCAATGTGATGAAAACAAGGCACCATTTAGGCATTACCGGCAAAGAATAAAAGGATAAAAGACAGCCCCCGCTGCCGCCCGAGGGTGGCCGCTGGCCAGCTGAGATTGGGAGGGTATATTAGAACAGCCAGCTGTTCTCCACTTATGTCTTGTTAACCTGATTAACAAATGCCATTTTGAACCCAAACAGTGCTCAAGTACGGAGAGAAGCAATCCCCACCACACTGGAACTCATTACTGAACAGGAACTGTCTAAAGTTTGTCCCCGTACGAAAGTAAAACAAAGTAATACATATAAAGAAACACTGAGAAAAACTACGAAAACATTCTGCGAACGATGGGAAAATCGCTTAATTTTCATGGGCCGAAAAAAAAATTATTGGCAACACAAAACTACAAAGAATTACACCTGCAAATGCTTAATTGCTGTATAAACATCTTTATCACCTCTGCCACTGCAGTTAACCACAACTTTGGTACCATTTGGTAGAGTTGGACACAGTTTCTCCAAATAAGCAAGTGCATGAGATGTCTCCAAAGCTGGGATTATGCCCTCCAGTCGAGATAATCTCTTGAAAGCTGCAGATCTCAAATGGTTTAGTAAGATATGCGCTCCAGACAGGTTGTAAGGTTGAAGATGCAGTAAAGAACACAGTGCAAAAAAAAAAGGTGAATGGTAATAATGTGCCTCCATGAACAATTTCTTTTGCAAGAATAAGCAACAGGCAGTAATCATGATCAGATGTGATAGGACTGAAGCCTTGAAAACATTTGGTAGTTTCATACCTTCCAACGCTTCTTCATCTGTGACACTGTGGTACTCAGCACGCCCTTCATCTTTCAGAAAACTGTGCTCAGGTCCAACCCCAGGATAATCCAAGCTGTATAGCCACAACAAAAAGTTGCCAAGTTATTCAAAGCATAATAACAAGCCACCAAAAATGAACAAATTCATTATGAAATCTCTACCCTGCGCTAATGGAATGAGGTTCAATGATTTGTCCATCATCATCCTGTAATAAGTAGCTCATAGCTCCATGCAACACTCCCACTTCTCCCTTGGTCAAAGTGGCAGCATGCTTGCCACTATCCAAACCAAAACCTCCAGCCTCCACACCAATCAACCTAACATCCTTGTCGTTAACAAACTCATGGAAAAGTCCCATAGCATTTGAACCTCCACCAACACAGGCAACCAATACATCTGGTTTCCCTCCCCATTTTTCCAGCGCTTGTTTTCTTGTTTCTTTACCAATCACCGCATGGAACTCTCTAACCATCATTGGATATGGATGTGGACCAGCAACAGATCCCAAAATATAATGAGTTGTCTCCACGTTAGTCACCCAATCCCGGATAGCTTCTGATGTAGCATCCTTCAGTGTTGCAGTACCTGAATGAACTGCTCTAACCTATATGTTAAAAGATACAATTTAAGATCAAACAATGCAAAATAGCCAATCCAAAGGGAAGCTGATATACAATCTTCACTATAACAATTTATAAAAAATTGTGTCTCATTGGGTAAACACTTACCTCTGCACCAAGAAGCCGCATTCTGAAAACATTAAGCGCCTGTCTTTCCATGTCTTGAGCACCCATGTAAATAATACACTGCAAACCAAATCGGGCGCACACAGTAGCTGTTGCAACTCCATGTTGACCAGCCCCAGTTTCAGCAATTATCCGTTTCTTGCCCAAATGTTTAGCGAGCAATGCCTGAGCAACAGCATTATTGATCTTGTGAGCACCCGTGTGGTTAAGATCCTCCCTCTTAAGGTATATATCTGGCCCTTCACCATTAGGATGCTTGTAATGCTCTGTAAGCCGCTCTGCAAAATAAAGTGGACTTTCCCTACCAACATAGTCTTTCAAAATCCCAGCTAGTTCTTCCTGCAAATCATAAATATTTTTTTCACAAAATTACTACTTCCAGTGCCAAAAGCCCAAAAAAAAAAAATCTAGCAAAAGAGCTTCTTTTTTATATTATTATTTCAATGCTCAAATTCTTTAGAAGAGCTCTTCAATTACCAATTCTCCTACCTGTTTTTCACAAAATTTTCATATTTTTAATAAATTTATGAAAAAAAATCAACTTAGTTAAAAATGAGCCAACAAGGCTAAAAATTAATGTCAAATCAAATATATTTTTTATTCATTCAAAAATGCGTTTAATCTAACTTTTCAAAAAAATTTTAGCTTTATAACAAAAAGCCATTTTTTTCCTTTTTTTTCCCGTGAAAATTAAAGTCAATATCAATAGTTACAATCAAACCTAACTTTTAGCAATCATTTTCCAATTATACCTATGTAGTCTCAACCACAACAAAAAGTCAACAAATTTTCTTCTTTTAATCAACAATCAAATTCCTTGAAAAAAAAAATTTCTAAATTCCAAATTAAATTCCTAATTGACAAATACACACACAAAATATCCTACTTTAAACTAACACAAATAAGTCTGGCAAAAGAAGAACTAATCCAAATACGTATTCAATAAAGAAGTGCATACCAATACGTATAATATACGGTGGAGTAACAACGAAACTAACCTGAAATTCATCGTCTTTAGAAAGGGAATGGAAAGCCGTTTCCAGTTCAGAGAGAGCAGACATTAGGGTTTCGGGAACATATTTGCCGCCGAATTTCCCGAACCTACCGAAGGAGTCGGGTCGTTTCCATCCGGTCTGGTCTGACTCCATGGAGACCGGAGCAGCGGGGACTGGTTCTCTAGTTAACATACAATTAATAGCAAACTTTTTCACAGGCGTTGGCTGAGACGTAAATTTGTTGAAATCGAATGGCAATTTCGAGGAGGAAATGGGATTGGACACGCGGATAGTGGCCGTGCTTGAGGTGGAGGCCGCCATATTTATGGCAAGTTACAATTTTTAGGGCTTTGCTTCTTTTCGAAGGCAATTTTGTTTTGGGGAGTGGATTTTTCTACAGTGAGAGGAGGAACAAAAATCTTAAACCTTGCGGAGCCATAAGAGGACAAGACAGGAGGAATAAAATTTAAACAAGATTTCATAGGTGAAATTTATAAAACTTTGTATTAAAAATAAATAAATAAAACACTTAATAAAAAATTTAATATAAAAAAATATTAAAAATACTATTTATAATTTAATTTTAATCTACACTTATTTAATAATAAATATTTTATTCATATTTTTATTAAAAATATTTATTTAATAAATATATTAAAAAATTTCAAATTTATTCATTTAATTAAAAATGACAACCCAATTTGTTTTGGTTGGGTTTTGATCCATCCCAACTTATAAAATCATTTTTTTTAAATTAAATTTTGGATCTAGTAAGATAATAATAACAAAAAATCGATATCGGATTTTAAATAAATCCATTTTGTCTCGATCCAGTATATATATATAATTATTTTAAAATTATTTATTTAATTTTATTTTCATATTTATATTAAAAATAATATTTTATTAATTTTAAATTAAATATAATTAAATACGAATTTATACAATATCGAATCAAATAAGATTTTATATAATATTGAATCGATTCAGGTATTATAAATATAAAATTAAATCAAATTTAAAACAAACAAAAACTAACTCCAATCCGACTCATTATCATCCTATACTTGATTTATATAATGAATTTTTTTAATTTATCAATTTTTATTTTACTTTCATTTTTAATTTTTAATTATTTATTTTTAATAAAAAATTAATAAACTCCATGAAATTTTATATAATTTTATGGGAGATTTTTAAAAGATTTTTTATAATCGAAAATTATTTTTTTGATTTCTTTATAAAAAAACATAAAAAAAAAAACTGGATTTTTTTTATTGAATAATAAAGTAAGGATTGAAACTAAGTTTGGAAAAAAGGTTAATGGAAATTATTTGACCAGTTAGTTACTACTTATGCACTTTTATTACAAGTAAAAGTCTTTTTACTTGAAAGGGTAAATTTAGGAGGAAAATTTTGATAATATTATATTTTACAATTCCAATCCCTTTAATATAAAATTGGATTCTTTTTTAATTTGGTTTCAAGCAATTTTTCTCAATTATCTTTGTTTTTTATTATAAAAATTTAAATTTTAATCATTAAAATTAAAAAATATAATACTTTATCAATAAAATATGCTATTATTGATTAAAATTAAAAGTTTTAAACAAAATTTTTAATATATTTATTTGAAAGATATTAGTAAAAATTTTCCAAGATGAAAATAGTATCACGGTATAATTTCAGCCTTCTTTCTCAAAGGTGATAACATTTTCTCTTGAAATTTTTTAATTTAAAAATATTAAAATTTTATAATATTAATAGATATAATAATTTAAAATATGATATAGTGACACAATACGAATATAATATAAAAATAAAATATAAAAGTAATATGTTTAAAATTTTAATAATAATTATATATGAGTTTAATAAAGTAAAAATATTTATTTATATTTTTTATTAATAAAAATTATAATAAGTAATTTTTATATAAATTATAATATAAATATTTAAATTTTAATATTTGATAAGATATAAATACATAAATCATGTGCTTTGACTGAGTTGTAAGGTACGGGTCGTTACCAGGCCTGAAATTTCAGATTTCTCTCGAGGCCTACAATGGGCATCGATGGAAGATTGGGTTTTGCATTAAAAAGCGATGACTTTTCTTTTGGGTCTTTCATTTTCTTTATGGGCTTTCCTTCGCTTTCTTTCTCATTTTCTCTCTTGCCTAAACCCTTATCAACTCAGAATTTCCTGTTTCTCTTTCCCTTGCTTTTTCTTTATCTCTGAAATCTAACTGCGGATTAAAGTTCAAACAGTTGTTCCTGGTAAGCAAGTTCTATCCTTTTTCCTTTGAAAAACTTAATCTTTCTCTTATTTTCTCTTTAATGAGCTTTGGGATGAAGCAGGTGTTGTTTTCGGGTTCTAAAATCACTTCTCATTGCATTATTTTTTTAATAATTTATTGTTTTTCTTAAATATTATGAGGTTTCCCGTTCTGGGTATTCTCTAATTTGCTTATTTTTAGTTATTTCAGTTATGCTGATCGGTGCTTCATTGTTTCCAACTTAGAAAGTTCTGTTTTTTGTTTGAACTTCGTTAATTTTCTCAGCTGTCAAACCTACTGCTTGTTATTTTAGTATGTTTTTGTGCCTAAGTCTCAAGGTTAGCTGACACTTCATTATTGTCCTACGCTTATGTTCTAATGTTGTTGAAGTTCTTTGATTTTGCTATGTTGTTTTTGAATGGTTGAAACCGTGTTCAATTTGTTTGCTAGGTCTTAGGTAATGGTACTCTTTAATCTTAACTCAAAACTTAGGTATGATTCGTTTTGTTCGTTTAGGTGCCCCAATGAAGATATCCAAGTTTTTAAAATTGCTGACTTGGTTGAGGAAAAGGACATGAGAAACCTTATATGAGTTTTTTCCTTCATCTTATGTAGAAGCAATGGTCATAATTTTGCTCGATTGCTAAATTTATGTTACGTGTTTCAGCCTAAACGCGTAGACAAATTACACTGGTAACAGAATGGGGCGCAATTCGTCCAACTATTCAGAGTCTCCAGTTAGGAGGCGAGGGTCTCCTCATAGGAGGAGTCCATCACATAGAGAAAGATCACCTGCGAGGCATAAGAGCTTGCATAAAGGAAGCTCCCCTGTAAGAGAAAAGTCTCCTTCTGGGCACAGGAGTTCTCACAGGGACCATTCTTTGGAAAGAGAAAAACATTCTGGCCATACTAAGTCTCCAAAGCATGCTAGTCCATGCTCTCCCTCCCCCCGGACAAAGAGATTGAGGAGAGCACAGGCTGAAAAGGAGGTTGAGAAAGCAAAGGATAGGGAGTATGAGAGAAACCATAGCAGGGGTAGTGAGAAGAGTATACGTAAGGAAAGAGCTTCGGGGAAGGAAAGGATTTCCAAGAGGGAAATGGGGGGTGACAAAAGGGAGAGACGGTCAGGAAGAGATGATACTAACAGCAAGTCTGGTAGAGGAAGACATGAGCGGTCTATTTCTCCATCTGATCTTCACCACAGGAGCAGGCATAGATCTCGTTCACCTGCATCAAATTCAAGAGCTCGGGATGAGGTGTCTTGTTATATCCGGTTATTCTTGCTTGTTTAATTTTATTCTGTTTTAGTTTCTATTTTTCATAAATCATAAGAGCTGCTTTTTCACATTCTCATTCTAGCAAACACAATAAGCAGAAATGAGGATACACATTTTCAGTTATAATCTTCAACTAATGTTTACTTTTTTTTTCATCTTGAATTGATGTCTACGTGAAGTGTGACAAAAATTTGTCGTTTCAGGTGACTAATTTGAGAGGTGCTGAACAAGGGTGAGCTGCTTCTTAAGCTTAAGCCTCTTCTTTTAACCTTCTACCAGGATATGCTTAACATATAGAAATTATTTTATTACCAAAGATTTATTTTTGTCATGTTTTTGACACCCTCTTGGCTTTCTTGATGATGTTGGCGTTTTTGCTCTTTTCTTTTTATTATTTTTTTTGTTGGAGGGGGGAGGGTGGTTGTTGACGTCAAAGAATTACTCAACCTAAAAGTTTAAGCTGTTATATTAGGGTCTAATCATGTTTTTGCTTTTAGTCTCCATTTTTTACCCTGATCTTTCTTTATAGGTTTATGATCTATTAATCCCTCTGTTTTCTTTTAATGATAAAAGTTTAAGCTGTTGTATGAGGACCTAATCATGTCGTTGAATTTACTTGCTCTTGTAGGTTTCTAGTTTATTATTGTGGATATACTTTTTCTAGTCTTGCAAGCTTTAACATAATGTCTAACAATAGGTTGCTTTGTTTTCCTAAGCGGGAATGATGAAGATGATTCTGTGGCTAATATGAAGGCAGCTGAGGAGGCTTTGGAAGCAAAACAAAAGGTAACAGATAGCTTGGTTGTTAGCTTTCTTTTCATATAACATGTTTTATTTTTTGTGCCAAATTATTCTTCGTATCCTCAGAGCAAATTTATGAGAAAACACCCTGCAGTTCTGTTGTTTTAAATCATACATTGTCTTATCTGGTTAGATAAATCTTATGTCTGGTGTTTAATTTATCTTTTCTTTACTGTCATTGTAACTTGTAGCAAAAACCTACATTTGAGTTATCCGGAAAGCTTGCAGCAGAAACCAACAGGGTTAGAGGTGTGACTCTGCTGTTCAATGAACCCCCTGATGCTCGAAAACCCAATATAAGATGGCGACTCTATGTTTTCAAAGCTGGTGAAGTACTAAACGGTTAGTCCAACATAGCTTCCTTCCTTTTTCATGTGTTCTCTTCCTATGATTCTATGATTCTACAGTTTGCCCTTTTTATCAGAATGAATGTTTTTCATGCTTTCAACTTTGAAAAATGTACATCTCTAATAATCATCAGAGCTATATGGCATTGATACAAATTAGTTTAACTCCATCTGTATGATGGAAGTGAGGTGCACTTCAGGGTTGGACCTTTTGGTTTTAAATTTGTCATATTCAAGATTAAATATCCTCACAGAAGTTTGAGAAAAACTTTTATGTAAATGTAAGGGATCTATGATTTATATTTAATTGTTGCTATTGCATTGGGACCTGGAGATTAGAGTTTGTTGTTCTCATTATGTTGACAATTCATGTTGATCAAAGAAGTTAATGACCATTCAATTATGCATGGAACTTATTCCCCTGATTTTTGGTTCTTTTTCTAATTCATCTTGTCGGCAGAGCCCCTTTATATACATCGTCAAAGCTGTTACCTTTTTGGGAGGGAAAGACGAGTAGCAGACATACCTACGGACCATCCATCCTGCAGCAAGCAACATGCTGTCATTCAATTCCAGTAAATTTATACTTCGCAGTTCTATTCTCTGCTTTTGCTGTGAATTTTTTTAACTAGACATTTCCGCTTTATCAGGCAAGTAGAGAAAGAGCAACCTGATGGTACATTAACCAAGCAAGTAAGGTATGGATAAGTTGATTTGGAATTACTTCTGTTGGTTAAGAGCAATCCTGATGAATTCCTATCTTATTTTACTTTGCTTTTGCTTTGTAGGCCTTATATAATGGACCTTGGAAGCACTAATAAAACTTTTATCAATGTGAGGAATTCATCTCAAAATCTTTTTAATTTGCACTGAAACTTGATTGAATTCCTATAACTACATCTAATATTTTGTTTTTGCATTTGCAGGACAATCCTATCGAACCTCAACGTTATTATGAACTTTTTGAGAAAGACACCATTAAATTTGGTAATAGTAGGTAGGACACAAGTCAATATTCTGCGTTTAGTTTTTTGTTGCATGATAGGAATGAAAGCAATTTGTGCAACATATAAGAGATATTATGTGTGCTTGACATGCATGCATACATGCTTTGGAGAGTGTAGTGACAGTTCCACCAAGCTACTATGATATTGGTTGGTAAAAGGTTTCCTGTTTTGGCCATTCTCTGGGTATTACACTGCTTTTTGCTGCTGCTATTATTGTTTTCATCATCATGATGTTGTTGGTGGTTTTTTTTTTTTTTTTAGAAAGTAATCGATTCATTGTTGTTGCTTTAGCCACTGCTCTGTTGTGCCAGATGATCCCCTCCTCCCATCTATAGGAGAAATTAGTTTAAATCTGTTTGGTTCTATGGTGAAATAATCTGATTGTCATCTTGATTTGGTCTCTGAATACTAGCCAAGCGCTTAATGCCCTGGCCTGGTAGGGAAATTGTGTATGCTTAAAATGGCTGGTTCTTGTGCTTTGCCATTGATAGCTTTTAAATCATTTGTTTTGATTTCTGCAGCCGAGAGTATGTTCTACTGCATGAGAACTCTTCCCAGTGACGGGTATTGACAGGCCACCACGGCCATACGAATTCGTATCTTGAATTGGGAATAGTTTTGTTGTCAACATGTTTATTACAAAATACAAGGAATGTTATCATAGTATTCATTTTTCCTCATTTGAGAATGGAGAAGTCTCTTGTAGAACTAGATGTACGGATTTAATCCAGTTCATGCTAGTGTATGCTAATGTTCCCTCTTGAAAGTAGGCAGTGCCTTTACTTTCTCTGTGCTATCTTCTTTATATGGTACATATTGTGTTATAACTAGCCAAGAATAAGTGAAAGTAAATGATGCAGGGACAAAATGATGGGATCCATTTATGTGTTTTTGGCAGTCTTAAAACCTAATGGCCACTGCATATATATACATACATACATATATATAAGCAATATCGCGTCATTTATAAAAGTTGGTATACAACAGGTCTCTTTTCCGGTTGCAGTTTTTTTTGTACTAAAATGAGTTTTCGTTTTCCTTTTATTCTTTAAATATTTAATGTGGCACATAATATACCTTATAAAACTAAATAAATGAAGAGTTGATAGTATTTTTTTTATCAAATAGTTCATATTTATACCTTACATCAATTGCAACGATTTGATAAATGACTCATTGGGATAGATATAGTTAAATAATACCCCTTTAGAAACGTATAAGAAGTTTTCTCTTCATACGGCTCTAGTAAAAAAAATGATTGAAAGTTATGCTATGTATGGAATTATAATGTATGTAACTAGAATGTCAAAAAGATTCATAAATTCGGTAAATCAATTAGACATTTAAATTCGTTTTTTTTTTTTTTTAAAAAAAAGGCATTGGTATTCTCGTAACTCAAGTCAAATAACTCTCAAAATGCTAAAAAAATCTAACATTGAAATTTGTTTATAATTTTGTGCTTCCATGAAACCCAAGGTGGCCATGGCTGATAACAAAGATCTGTTTATGGAGTTGCCCGAATGTCTTCTCCATAGCATCATCTCAGGTTTGCCATTCAAGGAAGCAGCAAGAACTTCCATATTATCTAAGCATTGGCTTAGCCTTTGGCGTGCAACAAGGAACATAGAGTTCGAAGAGAGTTTCTTTGTTAAACATGGAGAATCTGATGCAACCAATGCGATGAAAAGAAGAGTTTTCATTGATTTTGTCCAACAATGGATTGCAAACTACTCTGAACCCTGCATAGATAAGTTTGCACTCGTATTCTCCAAACCCAAACAATTTGTTGCTGACATGGAAAACTTTATAGCATTTGCCATTGCAAAAAATGTCAAAGTGCTTAGTCTTGATTTTTCTGATCCTGAAAACCATACACCATTGTTTGATTTACCTTCCCATGTTTATGGACTTGGAGTTCTTGAATCTTTGAAATTGTTTTTATGTAAAATCCATGCCTGCTTTCAAAAATTTCAGTATGCTTAAGGATCTTTCTCTAGGTTGCATTGAACTAGAACAGAAGTCTGTTAAGGCCTTGTTTCAACACTGTCCATTGCTAGAGAGTTTGAGTCTGACAAAATGTTGGAGCATAAAGCATTTTTGTTTGTCTGAACCAAGTTATCTGTCAAAAAAATTGGTGATTGACAAATGCATTTTTTGTGATCCTATGTGGATATGTATCGGCAATCTCCCAAACCTGCGTTTCTTCAAGTACTCAGGGATAGTAGGCAGCTTTGCCTCGGACTACTTTTGCTTATTGGAAGAGGCAGATATCGATTTCATGTTAAGAGTCAAGTTTTAGAGATGTTGGTGCTTTTCTTTATCATCTCCTACTTGATCTTTTTGCCTTCACCATTTTGACTGTTTGCAGTTACATGCTTCAGGTATAACTATCAATTGTTTATGCTAAAATATCTAATATGCCTTCAACAAGCATAAATGTGAAGAGTAACACAAAATTTACTCTATCTATTATCAGATTTTTTTTTTCATTTCTTGGTGCAATCAATACATTTGTTATTTGTGCTTCCATTTTCAGGTTATTCCTAGTTCGGAGGAGCCTTTAGGTACTAAATTTCCATTGAATGTCAGGCATCTGATATTGAAGACTGCCTTGCATAGTCATGAATTTTATGGAATAACATTCCTCTTGAATAGTTGTCCACTTCTAGAGACTCTTACAATTGAACTATGCCCTACAATTGTTTTCCCGGTGAGTATACCTATAGCAATGTGTTAATACGGTCAGGGGTATCTCCAGGCTATATTAGCTAATCACTCCTTGAGCGATCTCAAGGAAACATGTTCCTGATTTGATTATCTATCATAGCAATTTATTCTAAGGAAATCATCGATTAGAAACAAAAATTCTTGACTCTTTTTTTTTTTATCATTTATAGGATTATGAACCCCCGTTCGAGTTGAATACTTGTGACTTTTGGAGGAAGAACTTGATCATCTATAAATGCATACGTCGTACTGTCATAATGATTTTGTGTCATTCTGATGAATTTGGAAACGAAAATAAAAGAACGAAAAACGAAATCGTCATCAATCTTTTTTGATTAGTTACAATTGGTCACCTATTAAAATTTATTATTCTAATAAGATTTTAAAATTAATTAAAACTTATTAAAAAGATAATTTCACGGTCTACAAAAATAGTCTAGGTTCGAGAGTCGATTACGCGTAGGAAAGGATAAGCATCACTACGATGTCCATTTAAAAATGGTACCACTTAACTACATGTTATCATTTGATTTTGATTAAAAATAGTCTCATCCTCGATGTTTGAAAAAATAATTTTCTTGATTTTTTGAAAATTGGTTTGTTTGGTTTTATTTTTAAAAAATTATTATTCAAATTTTATTCGAGAAAAATAAATTAGAACATTTTTTATTGAAATAATTTTCAAAATACTCTAGTACGTTTGTAATATTAAAATAACTCTTTCTCACCTAGAGATTTCTTAGGCATCGCTTCTCGAAATACCTAAGAATCTCATCCTCGGAGGTCTGAATTTATTTTTCGTAAAAATTATATAATACATGAAATGCAAATAATAACATGATGCACACATTTTATTTTTTATTTTTTAAAAATTTTATTAATTTTTATAATTATTCTTATTTAAAAGAAATGAAGAACAAAGAAATTTTTATTGTATTAAAGATTTTCTATAAATATTCTAATATACTGATAATATTTAAAAAAAAATCTTCTCATCTAGGGATTTCTTAAAGCATCTCTACTCAGAATACTTTTAGAATCTCATCATCAGACAAAATTTCTTTTTTTTTCTCATTTTTTGTTACCTATTTTTAATTTATTAGTTAATTTTATTATTATTATTTTATAAGAAAAAAAGAAAATTTTTATTGTATTAAAATTTTTTTATAAATACTCCAATACGCTGGTAGTATTTTAAAAAATCTTCTTATCTAGAGATTTCGTAGGTATCACTACTTGGAGTACCTTTGAATCTTATTGTCTGACAAAAATTTTTTTTCTTATTTTTTATTATTTATTATTATTTTATAAGATTTATTCTAAAATTAATATAATTATCAAAAACTTTTTATTATATATTTTTTTAGTAATTATTATTATAAAACAACAAAATTTTATTATGTTAAATTTAAACATTTTAACATGCATAAATATTAAGAATAATAATTAAAATAACCAAAATAATATATAAAAAAAAAAAAGTTTTACATGAACTGGACCGGTCAACGCGCGGTTCGAACTGACGGTTGGATCACATTCAGCGATTCGATTCTGGTCCAAGTCAGGTCCAGCAGTTCAGTTCCACTTCAGGTTGACCGATCAGAAGCTGATAAAGGAAAATGGTCACGGGTCAGGTGTGCAGACCCCTGGTTCGGTCAAGGGTTGACGCGCGGATTCTTAGGGTTCAAAACGACGTCGTTTTGACTATTGATAGCTTATATAAAAGGTCTAATTTTTTTCAGTCATTCTCTTTTCTCTCCAAAAAAAAAAACCTTTTTTTTTCTTCAACCAAATGTAGATGACCAGCCGGTCATCGTCGTCGCTGTCGTTACTGCCGTCGTCAGTCGTTGACCGTCGTCATCGATGACCGAAAAAAATTAAAATCACCTAAAATATTCTCCTCAACCCCTTAAACACAGATTCAGCCTCCTTTTCACCAAAAATAGTCTTAAATTCCCCATATCTGCTCTTGAAGTTTCGGTCAAACTGTCATTTTTTTTTCTCTTTTTTTTTTGAAACTGACTTTTTTTTTTCTTTGTGCAGGAAGCTTCCCGGCGCTAGGTTCCTCACTGCGGGGAGGACTGTGTTGAATTTTTTTTTAGGCAGAAAGCTCCCTTTTTTTTTGGCAGCTTCTTTCCTCCTTCTTTGTGTTCGACTAAGAGCTCTATTTATAGAGCTCCGACAATGTCTTGTGCTTAAGGGAGTGGCACAAGACACGACATGGGATGCAAACACGAGCCTCATGCCTTTTTATTTTTTCTATATTATCTGGTGGTACGGTAGGATGGCTAAGAGCCTAGGTGAGAGTAGTGAACAAGATATGAGTGAGGGATAGGTGGTAGGGTATGGTAGCAATGGTGCCAAGGAAGGCACCACTGTCATCCCCCATTTTTTTCTGTTCTGTTTGTTTTTTTTGATATTTTGGTATTTTTGATATTTTGTATTTTGTATTTTGATTTTTTTTGTATTTTATATTTTTATTTAAGTTTTATTATTGTATTTAATATTATTATTATTTTATTTATTATTTTTTTTGTGATCAGACAAATTTGATGTCCACGCATACCTTAAAAGTGATGGAGGTGAAGAGCTCCAAGGGAACTGTGAATGAATTTCTGGTGCTGCAATACCTGATCTGCCATGGACATGTAATGGAGTGGATGAACCTTTACATTTCAAGGGAACCTGATGACAATCGAGGCGATGTGGAATCATATAGAGCAACGGCTCAAATGTTGCCGCAGTTGAAGAAGGCCTCAAAGAAACTACAGTTATCAATCTCTTGATTGAGAAAATGCAAGTGTTGTATGACACTTCAATAAACAAATATTGTAACAAATAATTTGCTGATATTTTCTCTTCACCAAATTGTGAATTCAGCAATGGATGGTTGCTTTTACTTTCACTTTTGCAGTTAGTTGGGTGATAAAAATCGAATACTTCACTTATAACGCCTGTGTTTTTTAGGCATTTCATAGCTATTGATAAACCTTTCTTTGGTAGGTTTGGTGCTTGTTTTCGACCAAATATTTTATGGCCATAACAGAATAAATTTGGACCCATTCCCTTTTATGAAGCATATAATTTAATCCCATATTCATGTACTTTAAGTTGCTTGAATACAATGTGGAATCATTCCAACTCCACTCAGCAACATCAATTCCCCTATATCTTTTTATTTATTTATTTTTAATACAGAACCCTTTCAGAAAAACTTAAAGCAGATTCTTCTATTTTGTGGTTAGAGGAAAAAAAAGGGAAACAAATCATCTCAGTATTTTATATTTCTGATTTTCATCTTCTACATGAAAAAGACTTTTACAGTAAGATATGTTACTTAAATCACTGAAACATCAGAGATCAGCTAACTTTGAATTCAGTGAAAAAATGTTAACAAGGAAAAGTAAAGCCAATGAAAAGAAAAGAAGCTAACAATCAAAGACCAAGTTTGGTGGTTGTGGGGTCAATTAGCTACCGAGATTGAACAAACTTTTTTGGGTTTTTCTCTTTTTCTTTCTCTTTCGGCTATGTACATAAAAATCAGTGGAAAAAAAAAAAACAAAAAAGTGGGTTTTAGAAGTCGATAATAGGCTCTCCAATGGTCAAGTTTCTCTCTACCGTCCATGGCAAGTTAAAGAGTTTAGCCATGATGAACTTGAAGATCTTGTTCACATTGATGTTATGCGTAGCACTTGAGAAAAAAAGGGTTGCCTTCATTGCCCTGGCATATGCTCTTGCCTGTTTCACCAAAACACAAATTCAACTTTGGTTACTGCTAAAAAAAAGGCTTAGAAAAATCAAATCGGAAGTTTCTTTATCTCAAGCAATTAAATTTCAAATTTCTACTTTAATCAACAAGTGGCCCCTCGTGTTTATAATCTTCAAACGCGGATTGAGAAAGAAAGGGAAAGGTTTGCCACTAATGTCAAATGGCTGAGAATTGACAAAGGAAGACTCCTCAGTCAAGCCTGGACGTTCCTCCTATTCAAACGTGTCACTGTTAAGGCAAAATTAAATATTTGATGCTATATTACACATTAATAATCTAGGTATTCAGGTTATATGTTTTTTGGATTTGCCGAATATGAGTGTCAGATACAGATACATGTTTGAAGGGTATATTTATTTTCATCTATAGCGTTTTATGTCCCGTTTTATGGTTACTTTAGAGTGTCCAATGCGCGTCTGACACGAATACCTTAAAAGAAAATTGAAGATTGAGAGTGACATGGTTCCCTGTTTTGGTCAATATTTGTGAGTATTTCTTACTTCTGAGAGCAATGAAACTAGAAAAGAAAGTACATTGACAGAAGCAGGTCTCAAGTAACTATGCAAAAGAACAAATGTAAGTTCATTACCTGAGTCACAATGGTCCATTGCAAATCTGGGGGTAGTCTAACAAAATCATCGAATTTTGTTCCTACTAATATTGGAATAGCTGTCTGCAAAATATTGGGGAAAAAAAAAGAAAGAAGAATAAAGCACGTTAAGTAAAAACACTTAAAAAGCTGGGAAACTGATACAAAGAACAGACAAAAGCATCATGAATTTTTCAAGGGCTCCACTCCATAAAATCCTTCACTGATACAGACCATCCATTAATTGGAGCACCAATTTTCTGGGCCTAGAACTGAAACTTAACATCAATACTCTTTATTGTTTGCCAGTAAAGCCTGAATTTGACATTAATCTAATAATTTCCTCATTAAAATTAATTTCAGCCATTCCCCACATCCATTTAGAAGGGCACAGTTTCTTTCCTAAAGTATCAATTATTGTTGTATTAACAGTCAATTATTGGCTTAAAATTGCAATTAATTATATCAATAAAAGTTTTTCAGTTTCATCAAGACCCCATTTCTCAGGTGTAGCAAACATCGGCTAAACCCAAATTGCAATTAAATTTCAAAGAGTAACTTGGTTGGTTCATGCAATCGACTGCCAGACTTCCAGCAGGTATGGTGTTCAAATCTCAGCACTTGCAACCCTTTTTATTATCCTTAGGCCGATGCATCTTTTGTACAGAAAAAAACATTGGCTAAACCAGCTAATCTTAACTACCCATTCACAGAAAATTACCATTTTTTTTCTATCAGAAAAACTGATTATGTTAAAAGGAAAAGAAAATTTAGTACCTGGTTCCACTTTCTTGCTTGACTATACCATCCAACAACACTGCCAAATCCAACAAAAACTTGCAAATATCAGAAAACTATCAATTTCAGTACTTTTTCTCCATTGAAAAACAGGTTTTAAACTAACCTGTTAAGGGTGCATCGACTAGTTAGATCAAACATAAACAAAATTGCCACTGCATCTTTACAAGCAATTGGAACATGATCAAGTGAATTACTGTCACCTGCAACCAAATAATCAGAAAAAAAAAAAAAAAAAAACCTCTGGTTACGGTAGAACAACAAAGCTGAAAGCTCAAAAACAAGACAGGATAACAATAACCAAAACCAAATTTAAGAAAAACTTGTTTCTTGGTTAACATACCTCCCACATCCCATATGCTGAAAGCAATCCTGGCACCTTGAACAAATAATGTTTTGTTTACTAAATTTAATCCTGTCATCTGTAGGCTTTTCTCTTGCTCATCCCCGACATATTTTATCTTCCAAGCCAAATAGAGATTAAAAAGAAAGGGTCAAAACCATTAAAAACTACTTATTCTAAGTGAAATTTCATTAAGCCAAGTCAGGACCAAACAATAGAAAACAAAAAAAGAACCAAAATCATATGTGCTTACCAGAAAGCTTGTTTTTCCAATTTGACAGTCACCTAACAAACTGATCTTCAAACTAACCAAATCGGAATCCGTCTCATACCCATTACATATCATCCGGGGGTGACTCTCCGGCAAGGCCTCACCGTCTTCTACCACCACCACTTCCAACGGAGAAGAAGAATCCCGGCTAGTCAATCTCCTATAGTGAGCAGGCCTTCCTATAGAACAAACAAGAATTCTATCCCAAATGAATCTAAAAAACCTTCGAAAAATCGATACCCTTTCTAGTATACTCCACTTAATGTTAACATGAACAATTTTTCTACAAAGTTGTGTCATTTTTCAGGTGGCTTCATGAATGATTTTGGACATGGAAATGGAAGATTAGTTGGTGTTTTAATATAATATTTTGTGATGAAAGAGGCCTGTAACGGTTGACTGGTATTTTTATTTTAGATGTATTCCCAAATAGTCCAAATTGCCGGCTTCTAGGGGTCTACGTACTGCATGGGCATTTAGGTCAATCGTTGTCAGCAAAGATTTTTATTGGAAGGTAATTTTGAGAAGATAAAAATATAAGTTGGCGCAAATAATTAACATTTAAAGTTTATGATGAAAAATATTTAAATTTAAATTTTTATGATTTTTTGTGAGTTGGTGATTCATAAATTATTTTTGTTGGTTAATAACATCTCTTACTCTTTAATTTTTTAAAATAAAAAATTAAAAGACAAAAATATTTAATTTTTTTAATTTTTATTTTTGAAGGGAACAATCTTTGTCTACGTACACGAAGCCCAAGCATTGGTTTTTTAATATAAGAAAAGATAAAGAAGAATTGAAGTCTTTGGTTTGGGAAAGTCAACATGTGCTCAAAATTGGTGGCTATAATTTCTTGTTTAATTAAAAAAAAAATTGTTTTCTGATATGGGTTTTTCAAGAACAATCTTAAATTCTTTTTTTTTAAAATCAATTTGGAGTGAATAAATTATTTATATAATTATTTTCCTATTTTTGAATATATATAAAAAATCATAATTTATTAAATATTATTTTTAAAATAATTATATGAATCAAATTAAATTAAATCTCGAACTAAAACTGTAAATATAATCTAAATAATGCTTATTAATTATTAATTTTATCAATTATAATGTGGTAAAAGAAAAAAAATTGAAAATATAATGTTGTGGACAAGATAAGTATGTGGAAAGTTAGATATTTGCGTTTTCAAATTTTGATTTTTGTTTGTTAATTATGAAAATTAAAAATAAAATAAAATGGTTTATTAGAATAGGGTTTGATCAGATTTTAATTTCCAATCATCAATAATTTTATGAAATTTTCTTTTCAAAAAGACTTGTATTTTTCTTTAGAAGTGACAAATATGAAGGACAAAATTATGGATCAATGAAGACAAAACAACCAATAAAAACAAACCATTTGTATATTTATCTATTGCCTGTTAGATCAAAAAGAATATAATGGTGCAGTTGTTGGTAGGTTAAGTAGAAAAATTAATTAATATGGCATGATCAATGTCATTAAACAACCATAAAATGTTTGTCCTTTGATTGGTGGATCTAGATCAACTAAACCAATAATATAAGCCTCATAGCATAAAGCAAAAGCTGCAAACACCACCACAATCACATGTAAACCCTACCTTTTTTTTGGATGATTCATACTTTAATATTAGCTTATAGGCATAATTATACCTCTATATTATGTAAAAAATAAAAAAGTTAGCAGAAATATTTTAAAAAAAAAAAAAAAAATAACTTGCGGACGTTGCTAATAATTTTGTTGTGAAAACTTGTATTTAATCTGTAAAATATTATTTATTTTGATTTAAAATTTTTATAATTTTATTTTATAAAAAAATATCTAATAAATATAAATTTAAATCTTAATATATATACACGTATATTATATCATATTTTTATATTCTTTCAATATAAAATTAAGAACGTCACGTTTATAAAATATTAAAATTTTAATTTTAATCATCAAAATTTAACTTTGATAATTTCAAATATATATTTATTTATTTATACAAGCACATAAGACTCAGAATTGGTGGCATTGATTCTTCGTCTATAATCTACCTATATGCATACTTTATCTTTCATTAAAAGATGTTATTATTATATTCACCCACCATTGATAATATCTTTTTCATTTTTGCCCTCACTAGTATTATTTAATTTTTGTTTTCTTTTCATATACATTGAAAGCCATATTCCAATGGTGTATGGTTCAACAACGCTCTAGATAGCTGACAAGAGCTAAAGGTTTTATTGATAAGTTATTTATAAGCTTCTTATTTGTGTCATTATGCATTTGAATCCTTCAATGCTTCTCAAAAAGTGGTGTTTGGTTTTAGGGGTTCAAAAACTTTGGCAAGCACATAGAAATATAGTAAAATATATGTTATATATTTTATAGTAATTCATAGTATTTCCCAAACTATAATATATCTAAACCTAATGTATTGGACAGATTTTGTCAATTGTCATAATATTGAAATTGCTAGGAACTATATAGTTTTTGGTTTTTTGGTACAAGCCATTATATGGTATATATTTTCAATATCATTAATCTAGAGTTTGTGTCATTTTATGAATCTTGATATATTCATCAATATCCTCTTTAAATATCTTGGTTATGCAAAAAATAAATTTAAAGATAGTCATGCATTTATATGCACCATGATTTAATAGTCACAACCAAAAGGAGTCTAACTCAATTAATTAGTATTCTTTAGTCATTTAGAATTATTATATTTCAGAGTTTAAAGTTAGAAGTTTAAATATCAATGAATTGTTAGTTCAATAATATTGAAATCGATTTCAGAATTAAGAATCACAAATTTAAATCCTAATCGTAATTAAAAGATAAAAACTAAACTTTAAAGTTGAATCTCTATAACTATTAAGTAAACTAATAATACTAAATAAAGAAATACCTATTTTATGCCAAAAAAAAAAAGAAATACTTCTTTTAAATTCATCTAAAGCTATATACATACAAACAAAAGTAACCCATAAAATATGCTAATAAATGTAATTAAAAAGTAAAAATTATGGGTACTAATTTGTTTTATAAAAGAAAAACTTAGGTATTTGAGGTATCTCTAATTCAAACATCTCATAAGCTTATATAAAAGTTTAAGAAATTAATCCACTTGGAATATTGTTAAGCTTAGCAATCACAAAATCAACAATAATCTAAGATATGATGTTTCAAAATGTTAAAAATTGCCAATGAAACAATAGAAGATCATTGTCTAAAGAGAAACATAGAAATATAATAGTTAATTAAAATTAAATAATATCCGTTAGGTGAAGAAATTGCCTTAGAGACTAGAGAGAGTGGGACAATAGTGGACACTTGGACTAGACCAAACCAACTAACTTATTTGTTTGCAATAAAAAGGTTATTGGAGTTGGGTAGGACTTGAATAGCTAATACCAAACTATAATTATTAAAGAATTATAAAAAAAAAAAAAAGTAAAAAAGAATCTAAGCTTAATCTTATCATTCTATGTGTTTGTTAATGATGTTGATGACATTTTCTTAATCTTATCATTCTATATGTTTGATTAAGAAAATCTATTAATAATACCTCAAACTATGCATATCATGATTAGGTTTCTCTTCTAATTTTCTTTTTCATTTTAACATTTTTTTAATGTTTTCTCAAAAGATAGTTAAAAAGGCTCACCAATTCAAGGATGGTTTGCACAAGGCATCAACAAACTTTGAGAGTAGATGGGTCCTCCCTTCCCTTTGTTCCTTGTCAAAATCAATTTGTATAAGTAATCTTAGCTCTAAGTAGGAAGTTTTAATATTCTTGTTGGCAAATTATAGCTTTTGGCAAAAAAAAAAAAAAACACAATTTCGATATTCTTTATCCTTAGTTTGAATGTAAAATATAATGTTTCAAGTATCGACAGAATGATTTCAAATTTAAATTTTTTAATATTTTGTGTGTATAAATAAGATTGTAATTAACCATCAATAATTTTCGTTTCAATGATTTAAGATTCAACCTTAATTTTAAAAGAAAATTGAGGTGTTTCTAGTATTACCAATTAGATTTTGTTTTTTTGACTCATTATATCTACATAAAAGAATATCATCACCTAATACCATCAACATAAAGAATGAGAAAAGAGTAACCCATTTATGACCTTAAAACATATATCAATGCAACTTAGCAATGATTAACAAAATCAAATGACATCTAAATTTAATGGTATTTATTAAAATACTAGAGAGTTTTTGTTGTGGAGTCACAATTCAAGATTGAAATATCTCTATTTTCTTAGTTTGGTACAAATAGAGAGATTCAAATTCCCATAATACTTAGGTAACTATATTACTATAATAATCTCCTATACACTTTCTTAATCAAATGTATTAAAGCAAAGGGTTTGCAATCTTTATATCCCCTCTTTATAATTCTTCTTTGGGTTTCGCCCAAACAAGTTTATATCAATGATAAGTATATATATTTTCGATTCAAGTAACGTGTTCAAATATAAGACAATAATATATATATTTATGCATTAATAAAGGTTGACGCAAGTAATTAAAATTTAAAATTTAAATGTAAAACACTCAGTTCAAACTTTCATAATCTTTTATTAGAAAGTGATTTATTAGTTTAAAAAATCTTAAATAATCTGTAAATTTTTTTGTAAATTAATTATTTATCTTGATCTTGAAAATAAAATAATTTTTTTTAACTTTTTAAGATAAAAAAATATATCTCCTAAAATAAAATATAATAAAAGAAACTGATTCAAACAAAGTTAAGTGGGATATATAACCTAATCCAATGAACAGAAGATAAGGCAAGAAAAAGAGAGGGCAAACTTGTGTTGTTTTCAAAGGTTTGTCCAAGGGGAGGTTAGTGCTTGACAATGACAAACCAGACCACACCAACCGTTTCGACAAAGAACAGTGTTATGTCAATCAACTATTGGGACTTGTAACACTAGTGATTGGAAAGGGCCCATTTGTTGCTTAACCATTTTCACTTTAATCATCAAAAATAAAAATGTAGATAGCTTGTAACGAAACTAAAGAGAAAGACATAAAAATTTAGCTTCAAATCAAGGTTTTTTTTTCTCTTTGTAACAAAGCTTTGTTTTTTTTTAAAAAAAATCAATGAATCATTTATTATTATTATTATTATCAATTAAATTGATGTGACATTATATTTTAATTTGTTTAAAATATATGCATAGTAATATTTTTTATTTATATTAAATTAAATAAATAAATGTTAGAAGTATTTTAATATCTAAAGACAAAATTGACTTTTTTTTTCATTAATATAAATCAATTAATAAATGATACTATTTTGATTATTTTAATCGAATTGATATATTAAAATAACTTAAATTTTTGAGATTCACATCAATTCCATTATTTTAGTAACCTATAAACTAGTGTCACAATATACTTATTTATCGTATCTTAAATGGATAATTAATTATCAATTTAGCTTGAATTTACGAGATTAATTCTAATTTTTTAAGATTGACTTGTGATAACTTAAATTCAAAATCTCTTAATATATTTATTTATCGTATCTTAAATGGATAATTAACTATCAATTTAATTTAAATTTATGAGATTAATTTTAATTTTTTAAGATTGACCTGTGATAACTTAAATTCAAAATCTCCTATCTCATAGATATAAATAATAATATCCAAGAATTTATAATCACACTTGAACTCTTCAAAGTCTTTATTTAATCTTATCATCTTTTTTTTTTTTAGATCGATATGGATTTGAACATTAAAATATAAACATTAAAATTACTCCAACTTTTATTCTTAATCGGTTCTTTTCTTCTATTTTTAAAATTTTACCTTTCTCGTACAGCTCGACTCAAACAATAAATATACACATAAAGCTTTTCGAGCAAAATTTTTTTGATGAAATGTGATGTAAAATAAAATAAAATATAAAGAAGTTGTCACCGACACCTCATATAAAAAGCATCTTTACTCAATCACGAAACCATAGAAATAGAAGTGACTAGCAAAGATTTGGTTTGCACCCCACTTTTGCAAATATTGCATGAATTGAGATCATTCATAATAATTCATGTTTAGAAATATAAACTTTGGTGGTCTTTGTTTTGCTTTTGCCATCATAAAAAATATATTTTTGCTATTTTTCTTTCAATCAACTCATTATAACCTTCAAATTTCCAACTTCTCATCAATCCTCCCTTTGACAATTCATATATTTGTTGATATTATCTTACATGAACTAATCATTATTTAAAATTTTCGATCCACTATATTTTTAATCTTTATAATATAATAAAACGAAGATCTTAATTTAATTAATTTATTTAACAATAACATTTGATAAATCTAAAATTTAAATCTTATTTTTAGACTACGGTTTATTTTGTATCATATGTATAGATATTTGAAATTCAATTTCTTATCTTTTAAATTATATTGAAATTTTTTTTTAATGTTTTCGAAAATCAAGTATATATTTTTTATCATTAATAATAACGAGAGTTATTATTTGATATACCATCATTATAAAATTTTGATTATACAAATGAAATTAAAAAGATGACATGTGTTCTATTTTTTAAAAATTAGAATTTATTTTTTAATTAAAATTTTATATTTTTAAATATACTTTAAAGAATATATGCCACCCTTTTAACTCCTTGTATCAAATACTAACTCTAATAACAATCCTAATTTTATATAAATCTCAAAAATCCTTAAACCTTGTTTTCCTCTCTTTTTAGATAAATAAATTTAAGCCTAATTACTTGTATTTTATAGAGATTATACAAATATTTAAAATATATTTGAAAAAAAATATATGAATTTTTAATCAAATAATTTAGGGTGAATTAGAACAATTCCTCTGAAAAAAACATCAAAATCACCTAAAACAAAATTTTTCTGGCAAAATTTTCCTTCTTGTTGGAGCCGAACTTCATTGGGTCAAGTGGCCCAAATAAAAGATTTAATGGGCCTAAACCCTAAACCTTACTTTGGGCTCAAACCCAAGTCTCTGCCAACCATACCTTCCTTGTATGGTCTACTTGGCCATATAAATAAAAATTTCTTGTACTTATTTTTTAAATTTGTTTTGTCTCAAACCCTTCGAGAAAAGCTTAAACCCTGCAGAAATTTTGTATCTTTATTAAATTTTAGTTTATTAATCTACAAAAAAGGAAGAAAAAAAGGATGGGTTCTCAAATTGATTCAACTAAAGAAGAGAAATTGAAGTCTCTCTTGGGTCAGCTTGAAGTAGAGTGTGGTATTTTGGAAAGAATTGTTTACAAGAACAAGAACCAGCATAGAAGATCATCTTATTTCCAGTATCTTTTAAAGGTTAATTTTGTTTGTTCTTATTTTTATGTAATTTTTTATTTTATTTTTTGGCTTTTTGCTTTCTGGGTTTTGTTTGGATGATGAGAAAGTTGAGAGAGTTAAAGAGGAGAAAATAAATTTATAGGAGTTACGGGTGGTATTTGGTGTTTATTTGTTGGAAAGGGAAAATACCAGTTTGAGAAACTAGCTGTTTAGTTGCTGAGAAAACTGAGAGGGGAAAAGAAAAGGAATTTAGAAAAAAAAAGTTTGAACTTTTCTGTTTATTGTTTTAGTTTAAGAATAAAGTAGAATTAAAATCCATTTTTACTTGGAGATGGTTTATAGCCTTAAGGTCCTTTTAGTGCATTTTGTCTTTTTTTGTTTTAACTTCTTATGTATATCAATTGTTTGTGAAATTAGGTAAGGAGGGACTTGAGACTGTTGAAATCTGCTAATTTGGACGAATTACTAAATTCCTGCTTTCTAGTTATCAATGGAAAGAGACCTAAACAAAAGGTGCATCTTTTAGAAAGGTAACACATTTACATTTGATTGTTAAGAACTTGACAGAGGATAGATAATGATTTGATGAAAGAGTTTACTGCATGTATTTGATTACTGCCTTTGGCTTCGGAGGGAGAATAGGGAAAATAAAAGTAATGCATTCCTTTTCTGTTGGTTGATGCAAATTTTCAGTAGCTTAGGGAGCTTACTTCAAATTGACTAATTATGAGTGCAGTCAGGTATATGTAGGTTGTTATTCTTTTTGTTCGTCTAATGTGTCTGTTGGTGAAGGAGGTGATGCAAGAATTAGGTTGCAATATTTTAGCTCACTTGCTCATACTCGAACTTTAATCATGTCTTTTGCTCCAATAGAATATTGACACATTTTTACCAGATATTGTATTTAGGAGTTCATTCATTTTGTTTGTTTTCACAGTTTGAAGAGGAGAAAATATGAGGTTGGAAAACCAAATTTCATGGAGCGACTTTTGGGAGCAGCACGCTTACTATCACAAGTATATACTTAGTTCTCGTTTCTTCCTCTTCCATTCTTGTGGCTATTACCAGTTTCCTGCAAATTATTATCTTTCTGATCTATGCTAGCTTTACTTGGAAGGTTGAATTTGTCTCTCCGACTTCCAATAATGAATTTTCAAGCCAGACTTTGCCTTTAACAAAAATTTAATGTCCATGCCTTCACGCATATATTTATCATCTTCAGAATCCTGTTACATTATTGTGTTAGCCCCTTTCTCTTCCTCATTTTTATGTTGTATCTCAACTTGCTTCATTTAATTTAAGTTTTGTTTCTACTCTAAAGGTAAGAAATAGTAGACATAATGTTGTACCTTATAAACAATATTAGTGTTTTACTTCTGATGACTTCTATTAGCATATTTTTTGTATCTTTGCATGTAAGCAATGTCCTACCCTAGAGGCAATTGAGTTGGATGCAACTGGGCAAGACTGTACTGTGCAAAGAACTATGTAGTTATCTGCATTCATTCCTACTTCTTGCTGCATACTTTACCCCCAGTAGTTATATATGAATGAATGCTCTCTTTCTCTTGCAGATTGTTGAGCCCATGTTGAGGGCAGCAACGTATCCTTTATCAAGTTCTTCTATGATTAAATTAGATATCATACAAGAGTCGGGAAAACTTCAAAATAGAGAGTGAAATTTCCTTTATGTTTTGTTTTGCATTAATGAATTAGGCTCAGTGACATATATATTGAAAAATCCTTAAAATGCTTATCACATGCAAAGGCATCAAAGAAATTCTATATTCTTTTGACAACCTTGACTATAATGTAGTGAGGTATCTACTTTGCTAGCTCGCTCATTTTTTATGGGATTTTCACTGACTGTTTTAGCTCTCCTTGCACGCCTTCGAGTTTTGGTTCAACAAGTAAGTTTAAAAACTTCCAATTAATTGTCAAATTTTGTAGAAGCTGTTATATAGCCCAGTTGGGTTATAGTGTGACAGCATTGATCCAGTTTACCCTGTTCTAAGTAGTATGAATTCAGCACTCATTTTCCTTTTGCAGATATTACTTGATATTGTCTCAGTGTTCAATACTGTCTGTTCTCTCTCCCAAAAGAAGCACTCTGTAAAAATAACTCATGAAGAAATTGAGGTTGATCCACGCTCCATATTAAGATAGTTTCTCTTCCTTCTCATGGTCCAGAACCATTTCTTTTTTCTAAAATCCTGTTTCTTAGAGCAGGTTCCTAAGCCTTTTTACTTTACAATGATGCAGGTATATAGGGAGATTTATCCAAAAAAAAAGGACTATGTCACCCTAGAGTGTGTCTGGGACACAGATAAGTTTGTATTGGTTGAGAGGATGAATAAATGTGAGATTGAAATGCAAGAACGGGATAATGGTGGAGAAGTTTCAGTAGGAGATAATGCGGTGCTGTACAAGACCATTGAGTCTTTTCTTGGAGGTAAAAACGTCAGTGTATTTTCTAGTTTTGCATCCTTTTCTTCTATATCCAACGTCTCCACTCTTTACTTGCTTGCATTTTTACTGTACAGTTCTCTATGCTCACTAGGATATAGAAATTGCCAGTTTCCTTTTAGGTCTGAGTACAGCTAGGAACCAGCGCATTTAAAACAGATTTTGGTATTTGTAGTTCCTGTGTAATTAGTACTTAATTTGAACCCTTAGGCTTTGCTTAGTAGGAAGGATGGAAAGAGGTGAGGATGAAAAAGTTGTTAATCTAATGGTTAAAATTCATAACCACTTTCTTACTTTGTAGGTTAATCATTAGATTAACAAATTTTTGATCCTCGCCCCTTTCTATCTTAAGCCTTAGGGATGTTTGACTTTTATAATCTCTGTCATGGATTATCTGAGTAGAAAGACTCTTTCTAACACATTAATTGGATGTAAATCCATTATGAATATATATTTGGCAATAAGTTGACGTGTTCCATCAAATGTCTATTGTAGATGATGAACCAACAACAGAGAAGGCTGATGCAGAAAGATTACCTTATATGAAAGACTCTACAAACGACTTGATAACAGCCCCCTTGATTGAGGATGAGGACAACAAGCAGGTTGGAAATTTTGCTGAAAAGTTAGATACCGCTGTTACTACCGAAACCCCTAGCAAAAATGTATCCCAAGCTCACTTGCTTGCAGACACCATCACTTCTGCTAGCTCAGATGGTTTAAAAGGGACGTCCAATGTGAGGAAAGTGGCATTTGTATCTGTAAAAAGGCCAGCATCTTCAGCAGCAAATCCAACTGATCTTCCTTGGAAGGCTGCTCCATCAACAATGAATCCAACTGGTCTTCCTTCAAAAGAAACTGGAAGCAAAGGAGGTGACAACACAGATGCATTTTATAGGTTGCTCACCCGTGGAAACCTCAAAGATAGTCTCTTTTGATAATTGATCAATCCAACAAGCCATTCTTTCAATTTTGTTTGTCTTGTATTCTGTAATTTTATTTCCCATATTGGTACCATAGGTGGGTAAAGAATAAAATAATCAAAGAAATCAAATCCCAAATACCACCTCACCAGGAATACCTAGACATGCTTGTTATCACAATTTTGGTTTCGTAAGGGAATATGTCATTTGTACATGTCATTGAAGTTTCATAAATCAGAAAACTTATTTATTTTCAGTTGAATTTGCAACACCACTTGAATAGAGATTTCCATTCTTTCTTTTTTTTTTTTTTGGTCATTCTAGCTTAATCATTGGTTTTCATTTAACCTTGTGTTTAGATAGACACTGTAAAAAAAAAACGATAATAATCTGCTACAAAACATAAAGCATGACCGATAGGAATGGAAATATTACATAAAAATGCATCCGAAAATTAATACACATTTGATTTCTCATCATTATGTTTCTGTTCTTTGATATGTTTCCTTAGGTATTTAATCCAACATACTGTCCATAGCAACTCTAAAACTTTCACAGTTCAATCAATGGATAACAGGTTTCAGAGGATGTGCTCTCAGGTTTGACAAGTCAAGAGCAGAATCAAGCTCTTCATCTAGTTCACCAACGACACTTCTGCAAGAATTACGGGATAAAAGTTATGGAACAGCTTATAGCAAGCGTATACAGGAAGTCACCGAAGCTGACGACTGCAAATGCAAAATAATGAACCGAAAAGGAAGCAAAAAGTAATATACATGTTGTCGCCTCTTATTATGTATAAACCCAACACAAGTTGCTGAACACCTTCCTGCAAATTTCAACTCAGAATTAGTACAAAAAAACTATATCAAATTATATTATATTTAGGGATGAAGAAAGAAGAAAAAAAGATAATGAAGTTGTTTACAAGTAAAATAGATCGATACTTGTCAGTGCTATGCTAAAGATAATCCTTTTGCTTCTTCAATAAACTAGATTCCTATTGACTAAAGGAATAAATAATAAATAGGAAGCTTATGGAATAAGAACACAAACCTTGGTGGAGTACACACGTTCATGAGATTCATCGAGAATGATATTTGTGGCCTGGTCAAAGCCTTTTAAAACACCCTGTGTATTTTGGAGAAGAAAAACAAAGGAGTAACGGTGCAGATTAGGATGTCATTGAAACTAAATAATTTAAAATTAGACAAATGAAAAACATATTATTTCAAAAGATTAAAAAAATGTATAACAAGAACGCCGTAGCTTACCACTATGTTGCGTCCATCATTGGTAATAACTGAGATTGTCTCTGCAAATGAAGGAAAAGATTCAGATAGAGAGAAAGAGAGAGCATAAATAATGCCAATGCCAAATTAGCTTTGACCAAAAATGCCAATCAAGAATATAAGGAACACAAGAAGAGCTCGAAAGTTGAGGCATATTCAGCCCCACTGTTCATTTGCCTTTAGATGCTATGCTTAAAACGTTACAAAAAACAAAGGGGTTATCACAGTATCAATATACTTACGATCTACAAGCGACTCAAGCCCAGGGCCAGTTGACATTTTGAAACTTCGAAAAGCAGTAAACTTGATTAGTAAAAGAGGATTACAGGTTTCTGCACAGGGAGAGAAGAAGAAATAAGTTCCTGAATATAATTTCCAACACAAAAATAAGTAGATAACACATATTACAATAACACAAGAATAAGATCCCAGCATAGCATCTTCACTAGTTCTAAATGTTCTCAGCATGGCATCTTCATTAGTTCTACATATTCTATGGAAGAACTGAGGGTCTGCATGAAAAAACTCATTGAAAATACCATAAGGACAAATACTTCATAATTCAAATACATCACAACTCACACAAGATTTCAGTCTACTCCTAGACAACTACCCATATGTCTCACTTGTTAAGAAATTCCTTTTAGTTACATTAAACGCAAATTCGTCAATAGAGCCAAATCTATATGGCAATTATTAAGGCCTAGAACCTATACAACAGGAATTCAATATTTTGTTCACTGTCACTACTTTAAGTAATCACACAAGTAATAAATTAAAGGAACATACAAATTTTTGAGTCATAAACGGTCCAATACATCTTTTTCTTTCAGATAGAAAGTTCGACAAGTGAAAGGAGCACCTAGCAGCAATGCTTAACTTAACCTTTAGTTTCCAACAACTTAGGCTAACCACATGATTCTTCTCACATTCTCAAATGAACTCAGTAGCATTTTAAAAACCAAATTTGTAGCTTTATACAGAATAATAACATTCAACAAAAGTTATTCACTGGATTAAAGTCTAACTTTTGAATAAATCATTCAAAACATACTCCAATAGGAAGCCAACTTAATATATTAAACAACAAGAAAGACCCATTACTATAGATAAACATATTACAGACAAAACAAAAGAATCAAGTTATTTCATCATTAACCCAGATTTCAAAATCACTCATTTCAGCAAACCCAACTCTCAAAATCCCATGTTTCATCAGATTAACAACTCAACCATAAATTTATATAAAAATCTCGCCTTTAAGAAGCAACAAGAAATCATTAAAAATGTAAATGAAAAAAGAAACTTTAACAAACAGAAGCACAAAACTGAGTATGGAGCAGCTTAAGGGATCAGTTAGGAACCGAATATTCGTCGCGTCGGGTTTTTTAAAGTATGTCGGCTGAGTTAGGGTACAGAGAGTGAAAAGGAAGGAGAGAAAATAAGATTATTTTTGGTATATAGGAGTATGGGCTCCTATTTGGAGGATAATGACGTGTCCTAATCTTAGCTGTTCGTTACTTTTTAAGAATGACGTGGCATTTTATCTTGCTGCTAAAAGGCTTGTTACTGATTGCTTGTATTTTGTTTTTCAATCTAAAAAAATTGATTTTTTTTTTTAAATTACATTAACAAATTAAAAAGGGTAACTTCTTTCCTTTGTAAATCTGGTTCGATATTTATGAAAAATATTTTGAAAATAAAATTTTAAATATATATTCATATTCGTATGAGGGAAAGCATCTTAAAAACGTTTGAAAAAAATTAAATGAAATAAAATTTCAAAATATTTTTAATTGTATTATCAAGTAAGTATAACGTAAAAATTCACATATAAATTATGAGATATTATTTATTTTAATTCAAAAATTTTATAATAAATTATAGAATTAAAATTATATAATATATTAAAATTTTAAAAGTAACTCTTATCATATAGCATTTAACTTTCTTTTCAAAGATTATAAAAATCGTTATCATCAAATAACATTTAACTATCATTCGATTGGTAAAACTTTGATACCATTTATAGAGATTTACATTGTGATATATTTGGCTCATGTCCTACTAGTTATAACTTTAATACCGTTTGTAAAAATTCACATATAACTTCTCTAAAAATAGCTCACATCATATAATATTTATCTTATGTCATATTGGTAACAATTTAACTTCTATCTTACTAGTAATAGTTATATTACTTATGGAGACTCGTATTCAATCTACGAAATATTATTATTTTGACTTAAAGATTTTTTGATTTGATTTCATAAAAAATATTTCGTAAGTTTACATTTAAATATTAATTTATATGTTATAATAAATTTTCAAAACATCTTAAAATGAGATTAAATGTCACATATCATATAATTATAATAAATTTTTAAAATATTTTGATTATCTTAATACGAGATTAAGTATCATATATCTTATGATTATAATAAATTTTTAAAATATTATGATAAGAGATTAAGTATCACATATTATATAATAAAAATGTGTACTAATAAGCCAAGGAAATTTCTTTGTTTAGTAGTTCAATTATTTAATTGTAATTATAATTTTTACGCATGAAATAATGCCACCTCATCAACTGAAACTGGTTGGATCCACCTCAAATTAAGCTGTTCAATTTTGCCATTTATTGTTTAAAAATAGAACAATGAATTGTCAAAATCATGACAAAAAATTGTAAAGTTTAGTATTTATCAGGGACCTTATTTATACGAAGTTCTAAACTTGGAGTGACCCCAACAAAAATATCCCATTTATACTATTTTTATTTTATTTCATCAGGTTAAGTGGTTAACCGTTATTAACTGTAAACTGCATAACAGGAGCCAAAAAACCATGCCTCTGACCGAACCTTAAACGTCCTCGTTTCATAGATATTTTAAAAAGTTCCCAACAGTGAAATGGTACACAAAGATTAGTTCAAAGGAAAAACAGTGATAGCACATTAAGGAGAGTTCAAGAAAGAAGTTTTCAGACAAGGAGTGAAACACAGATTTTATTGAAGCGTTGTCTGAAAAGAAAGGTTAAGGTAGAGAAAAATGGTGAATGCAATTCTTCATCATCAAACTTCACCACTGCTTTTCTTTCAATGTTGTTCATCTTCTTCTTCTCTTCATATTCCCGGGTATGCCACCAACTTCTCCAATTATCCTAATTGATGAGGGGTTTTTTGTTATTATTTTTCTATGAAATTCTTCTTCTTTTGGCTGCTTCCCATGACCAAGATTCACCTTTTTTTTATATAATTTATCGTTTTTCTTTTCTGGGTTTCCTTCATTTAGCTTAATTATTGGGTTTTGGTTGAACTTTTCTTGAAGTTGAGAATCATGAAAGAGAAATGGTAGCTTGGATAGGGTGTAGAATTGGTGAGAATTCTGCTTGTCATACTTGACATGTTGTAAGTTGTAACTAATTATGAGGAAATTTGGGAAATTTTCAAGCAAAGTGGAAAGATAGTAATAGCTTGCCAAGTTGTATAGGGTTTAGTAGCAAATCAATTTTGATACTGAGTTTATGCTGGAAAAGAAATTACTGGTTTCAGCCTTTATAGTTTAGGGTTTAAGCTGTAAAAAGCTTATTTCTAATGTCTTACATATAACCCATATCTTTGACATTTATCTATGTTGATACTATAGGGGACTCTCTGGAAGGATGATATTGAAATGCTCCATCAAGAGCCCTCCCTCGAGTAAAGTTGCTGCAAATCATATCGCTTCGGGCCTTGCAGCTTCATTGATATTTCTTTCTCAAACAAACCAGGTGAAGTGGTTATCTATCAGTGAATTTTAACTCTGAAACATAATTGCAACTTGAGAAAAGCTAAGGTCCCATCAATGTTTGATAAATGACATGCAATATATCAAATTATACAAAGAGGCTTGTCTTATCATTTAATGCCTCTCCGGCACCTGGCTATAAGCTTCTGTGCCAAAAAGTTATCCTAACATGGCAATAGCAATACTATCCTGACCATTAGAATTCAATATTTAGTCAAATCATTTTCCGCTTCCAAGCTTCAAAGTTGTTCTGTAGATGTTCAAATCTAGTATCTCCAGTTATTAGATCATGATCACTCTGGAAGAGTTGGTTGTTTCATTCTCTCAAGCCGCCCTCTTGTGGAAACATATTGCAGTTCTGTCCTTTTGCTAGACCTTAAAGTTTGTGAGTTTGAATTGTGTTGAATTTGCTGGAAAAGCTCATAGGCATCTCATCCAAACTTAACTTTTTCTGATGGAGTTAGTTTTTTGTGCCAAAGATACAAGAACATAGCAATGCAGTGGAGACTTCTTTCTGTTTTAAATTTAATCGCCTTTCATTGATAGGTACTTGCAGCTGATTTATCTCATCACCACAACATCTGCCAGCTTGCAAGTGCCATGGATGATAAGCCAACTCTTCCACTTGAAGAAGATTCTGGTGAAGGAAAGGGGAAGCTAATGATGATGAGAGGTATGACAGCTAAGGATTTTGATCCTGTTAGATATTCTGGAAGGTGGTTTGAAGTAGCATCACTCAAACGTGGATTTGCTGGACAGGGTCAAGAAGACTGCCATTGCACTCAGGTAAATATTAAAAGGTAGATACAGTACTAATTTGAAGTGTGATAATCTTTTTTCAGGGTCACTCTTTACCATCAGAAAGAATTTAATTTCTCTTGCCTTCATATAATGGCTACAGAATTTGGCCTAAAGCATTCAAAAAATTTTAATTTACCACCTATGGACCTATATTTTTGAATGACAGAAGCTTGAACTATTTCAATCATCGTAGGCTTCTTGATTGTCACTATAATATGTTTGCCTATGGCTTGTCATAATATTAACATTTTGATTTTCCATTACAATTTGCACTTTACCATATGCGGTTGGAGTAAATTTTGTCAGAACTGGAACAAGCACCAGTTATTTATCTCATCTTCATTTCTGCAGATTCATCCTGTCAAAACATTTTTGACTCGCAAAATGTAGTTGCTAAAACTATGTTGTAGTAATCAATCAATTTGCAGGGTATTTATACTTTCGACATGAAGGCTCCTGCTATCCAAGTTGATACATTTTGTGTTCATGGAGGGCCTGATGGATATATTACCGGTATAAGAGGAAAGGTTCAATGCCTTTCAGAGGAAGATTTGGAGAAGAATGAAACAGATTTAGAAAAGCAAGAGATGATTAAGGAGAAGTGTTACCTTCGTTTTCCTACATTGCCTTTTATTCCAAAAGAACCTTATGATGTGATTGCTACTGACTATGACAATTTTTCCCTTGTTTCTGGAGCAAAAGACAGAAGTTTTATCCAGGTAACTGGATGGTATATTTGTGGAAGTTTACTTTAAGTATTCACCTAAATCATTAAGAAATTACTGTAAATTGTCAGTTCAGCGATACCTATGTTAATCTTTGTCTTGGTAGTACACATGCTTCAGATTTTGGATTAGAATCATATTACTTTTATCCCTCATAGTTACCCAATTCTTATAGTAATACCCCACTGGTTGACAATTTCTTAACTTAATGTTTCATATATGTAGATTACAACTTTATAAATATGACATTATTGTTTCAGATCTACTCAAGGATACCTGACCCAGGACGTGAGTTCATAGAAAAGTATAAAGCATACTTGGTGAATTTTGGATATGATCCAGATAAAATCAAGTACACCCCACAAGATTGTCAAGTGATGTCTAACGGTCAGCTAGCGGCTATGATGTCCATGTCTGGAATGCAACAAGCTCTAACAAACCAATTCCCTGATTTAGGACTAAAGGCTCCTGTTGAATTTAACCCTTTTACCAGTGTATTTGACACTCTGAAAAAGCTGCTTGAGCTTTATTTCAAATAGATGTTTAAACTTCCATAACCAGCATTGCTTTCTGTATTTCATCATAAAGTTATACAATACATTATAAATTAGACTATGTGTCTCCCATCAGTGTATGATTTCTTTTACTATTTGTCATATAGCTTATCTTTCTTCACACATTTCTCTCCTATCAAACACGGTGTTAAGTTTTTTCACAGATCAAGCATGAGCCAAGACATGGTAATGTAATGCATTGATTGTGAGAGGGTGATTTATAATGAACATAGAGTTAGGGATATCAAACAACAAAAACAATTTATTTATCATGATTAAACCACATACAAACTACATTTTTCAAAAACATTATATGTGTGATATAACATGTTCTCTAAGATAGAATAGGTTTATATTTAGTTTCTTACTAATAGAATTAAGATATTAGAGGATATTAAAAGAATGATTTTAAACAGTTTAAAATTGTAAATAATTGAATAATTTTTAAAAACGTAAACCTATTTTTTATTCTTCTTTTGTTGTATTTTATGATGATTATTGTATGTTATTATTTAAGATTAATCAAATATAGTCTTATCAATCTATAAATCATGAATTTTTTATCAAAGGTGAGTCTTTCAGTACTACAATTGAGAGAAGATCTAAACGACTATATAAGTTTGCGTTGTAAATTATAAATTTATCATCTGATTTAGAAAAGTTTGTTTGTCCAACTTGCAGTCCCTGATGATGAAGATGCTGCAGTATGTCTTCTAATGTTTTTCAGATAAGTGAACTTTAAAACAAGATGTTGGTTATGAGTGCTCATATGGTGATGAAAGACAATGGTGGTGTCAGTAAATTTCAAAACAAGATGTTGGTTATAAATGCTTATATGGTCAGTGGCAGATCTTCATATTTAATTTTGAGAGGTTAATTAAAATTATATATATTTTTTCATTTACTATATTACTTAAATTTGAAATGAATGTCAAAATATGTATTTAATACGAATATACACATTTTTTAAATTTTGTTCATATAATTAGATTTTTAACTTTCATACCTACATCTATTATATATGTATGGAATACAAGTATTTTAAGAAAAATAAAAAATCTAAACAATTAACATTATTATTAATTAAGGTTTTATCAAATAAAAAAATTAAAAACAGTCACAAAAATATAAAAAGATAAGTACAATAGACTAAAAAAAATACACTTTTAAATTTTGATTGAAAATTGAATCTTATTGAAAAAAATAAGAAAATTAATTAATTTTTTTTAAGTATACATGAGTATGATTTTATATTAATGATAAATTTATTAGTTTTAAAGATTTATGATCATAATTATGGATACAATAAATAACAACTAATAATATAATTAATTTCTATTAAATTACAATGCATAAAATTATATTAAAGATGAAAAATAAAATTAACAAATATCAATTTTAATGAAAAAACCAATTTCATTTAATAAAATTATATAAAACAATTATAATATATAATATACATATATATATATATATATATATATTATACGTTAAAACGGTTTGAAAACTTTTCCGTCAATGGTGGTGATATTAATGGGTGGAGAAGAAAATGATGATGATTATGACTTTTTTGCATAACTAATTATACGGGATGGGAAGAAGATGTGGAATCCCTAATTATACGGGACTTCGAGGAACGTCAAGCTCTCGCTTCTCGTCTTTCCAAGTGGGCCCGCCCTCCTCTCTCTGATGCTTACATTTCACAGTCTCGTAGCATTGTTAAGTTTAAAAGTGAAATTCTTTGCTGCAAATATTTGATTTTCAAGGATTGATGTGGAAAAGTTTTATTATTATTATTATTATTTTTTTTTTTTGGGATTTTAGTTTTCCAGCTATTGGAGATTGATTATGTGATTGGAGAGAGTAACACAGAGTTGCTGCCTGATTTTTTTTTTAAAAATTTTTTAAGTAGGTTTGGATGCTAAGAATGCTAAGTACATTTTAATATCATTGTCAATTTTTGTTATTTATTTGAAATTCTGTGAAGGCGAAGGATTGCCACATTTGTTTGCTGATAAAACAAAATGATATTGTTAGTGCTGAATTTGGAGTTGAGGGCTAAAACTTTGAAATCACAAGAGAGAAAGAAAGCGATTAAAAGCAAAGGTAAATCTCCGTTTGTATTCGGATGTTTAAATTAGAGATCGAAAACAAAGAAAGTCAGAAAGAGAGGAAAATAGGAAAGTAAAGGAAAAAGATGGATCCCTTGATAGTATCTAAATGGTTTTATTTATAAACATAAGATAAAGGATGAGATAGAATGATGATGAAGCCGATGTGATACTGTATATGTCATGTCAATTTAAAAATCAAAAATATTTTTAATTATTTGCCGATAGCCTTTAATGAGTGAAAAGACCAATTTAACCTCTGAATCCAAAAATACCTCTAACAGATATCACATTTGAAAAACAAAATCCTAAAATGTACATTTTGTGTCAATCTAATGAATTGCTTATGTTGGTGATTTATAGGACACTGTTTGTTGTCTTGTTCATGGATTTGAGCTATATTTCTACATTAGCTGTCCTCGCGGAATGGGTCCCGATGATATATCTTGTTTTCATCAAACCCTTGAGGTATTTGGTTTTACCACTTCCTCAGATTATACATTTGCTTTTTGTGAGTGGCTTATTAATTTTGTTAATTACATTGTTTCAGGGGAGGATGAAGGACATGAACAGAAATAGTAAGGTACCAAAGTTTGTTTGCCGAATTGATTTGGTTCAGAAAAGGAGTATTATGTCTTACCAGCAACAAAAGTCTCAACCTTTCTCCTGATTGTAGTGGCATTACCAACGATGGTTACTAGCTGTCATGGTAAAATTCCTATGCTTTTGTACGGTATATATTTCGTTTGATTTGCCTTCACTGCATGTAACGCATTCACTACAAAATTTTTATTTTGGTCTCTTATCATGGTTTGACTATGTTTTAAGCTAGCGGTCATCCTATTGCAACCCTCCTCACTTTATCCAGGCTTGGGACTGGCAGTGCGATAACACAAAGGTGGAGTTATGTAAAGCATTTACTGTAGTTGAAATTATTTTTTGTTTTTAATTTTCTTTTTCTTGATGTTAACTCTTAATTATGCACATAATTGAACATCTAGAAACCTGCATGATTCCTTTTATATCTGAGGGCTTGTTAATCACTGATGATTTGCAGGCATTTTTGATAGAGGCATGCAAGTTGATGGCCTTGGTATGAAGAGCTTCATGACATATGAAAACAATATTCTTTTTGCACTTCGTTTCATGACTGATTGCAATACCGGCTGGCAAATATAAGAAGACAGCAAAGAATATGCCCTACTGCCTGTTGGAGTTTGATTGCTTGTAACCTCTTCTTTAATCTATTTGAGAGCATTTCAACTGTTTTGTTATTGATTCTTTATCCTCCTGGTTTAATTCCCTTCCCTGTTGTTCTTAGGTATTCAGAGTTGAATAGCCATGCCCCTGAGGGGGAATTCTCAAAGATGGCTCCATTTGGCATATTGGGTTTTCCCTCAGCAATACAGATCAAACGCTCTGTTCACATTGCAAGTGGAGAGAGGCAGAACTTTACCATAAAACAGTTTCTCAAGGTGGGCATCTTTTCCCTTACTGTTTTTCTGATGTTAAATAACATGATTGAGCACTGGAGGAACCAAGGTCTTTTGACATTAAGATAGTCTGGAATGACTGCAATGTCAGAGCTAGAGGAGCTTTTTGGGAGGCTATGGACACAATGCCAAGAATGCCAAGGCTCTCTTCACCAGGATGTGCTTTGCACTAGGTTTTACCATCTCCTTTCTCTTTGTGACTTGTGATGAACAATGATAATGCTGTTTCATAATTAGAGGTTTTTTCTAGAAAATGCCTGCTAATAGTGGGATTTAACAATTCCTCAATATTGTGTCTGCTCACATACAGATTCCAATGTAGGACAATGCAGATTATGTGATTTATTTGGAAAAGAAAGGGAATGACGGGATGTGTAGACTAAATGTGGCAGCAGTTGATTGCCTTCTTGTCATTTGTCTTTTATTTTAGTTGTAAACAATGCTTTGTCATGTTTGCAGTCGGGCTTGTCCAATATTTTACTGGAGAAAGAAAGCACAGAAAGACATGGTAGAAACCAAGCAGCAGTTGGACCGGTGGAATTTCTAAGTCTCTTGAAGGTTGTTTTCTGTTGTCCAATAAATGCATTTTCCTCCATCAATGAGCATTTCATGACCTGTGCTTGGATAAGCAAGATATCGCAAACACTTTTGTCAAGAACAAGGTGACACCAGAGTGAACTATCCTGAACTTAGAAGCTAAAGATTCGGACCTCGAGGGAGATGGAACTCTGGATAGACCATCCCTTGTAATGGTCTTAAATTTCTTGTGCATCTAAGCGTGAAATCTTCATTAGCTTTACCACTTTTGAAGTCAAACATTAGCTTTTCCGATATGCAAATAGAAACTGACAGGTGGCCAGATCTTCTGAAAAGCTCACTTGAAGCTTCTGTTCCTCCAGTTTTCGATACTTGCAGGTTTTTCTTTGTAAAATGTTGAGCAATGTAAACATTTTCAAACTTGCTTTTCAATTTTCATGCTACACTAATACAGCACGCATACTGCTACTTCTTCATGGACGATTACTGGTTTTGTAGTGATCCATGTAATGTTATTGTAAATTGTTTTTGTTAGAGTGCACTATTAGATGAACAAAAAAAAGCAATTTCCATTTTCCAATGCTTCTCAATTTTTTAACACAACTTAACCATGAAAGCATTTAATACACTCAAAACCTAAACATTACAGTAATAAGGGGTAAAAAATTGGGGTGGGGGGGGGGGGAATCTAGTGTATTGATTAAAATAGATTGATTCATCCAGATCAAGTCTTTTGCACAGAAAAACCAAGAATGAAGTCTTTTATTTCTTCATTGACAGCCCTATCAAGGGCAGTACGCCCATCTGCATCCTTGACATCATAACTTGCTCCAGCTCTCAACAGCTCTTCAATTTTCGGCTTGTCACCTTCCGAGGCAGCCAGCATCAACAAGATGTCTACTGGGTGGATGTTTTGGTTCAAAAGAGCTTCCATCTTATCATACGAACCTTCAACAGCAAGCATGCCCATGTAATTGAAGTACTGCAAGACGAAATAGCTTTGTCCATAGAAGCAATAAGGAAAGCTTCTCGATTTAAAAGAAAGACAATTTTGGTTTATCATAATGAATTCAAACCAGAAAGCAAAGATTTTCTCCCCTTTCAACAATCAACACCAACTGCTTCATAACCATAACCAATACCATCTTCTACAATCGCAGATATTACACCAAAGAACAGAAATAGTAAAGTATAGCAGCATTGATGGTGCTTTTGTCATAGGAATTGACATTCATAATAAAATTACAATGATATTGCAATGAGCTTTCTTACAGGCATGTAAAGTATTTTATAGTTTTTCCAGTCAACATTTACAAGATGTTTCTGTTATTTTTGACAATTAAACTTGTTCTGTCCTTTAATACACTACCTATAGCATGGCCTTTTTCATATTCAATACATAAAGGGTTATGATATTCATGCTCATATCTTGACAAGGTTTATGAGTTTATTTTTTTTTTGCATATCTTTCAAGCATAGAAAAGGGGGAAAATGCAAAATGCAAAATTGATTAAAAAGAACGTCATTTTAGGTCTTCTCACAACAATCTCTTATAGCTAGCTCAACCAAGAAAATCCTATATGCTAATAACTCCATATCAAATAAAACTAGTAACATAAAAAGGGTCAATGAAACACTAGAGATTTGTCTATTAACATCCACATTTCCCTTCTCTGGTAATGATATAATTGCTAAAACCATTTAATAAGTTCATATTAATATGAATCCTCCATATATGTTTGTGATGACCAATGATCATGGAAACATCACAAAGCATAAAAAGATACATGTTTTCAACCCTTTTATCTAGCATATGATATCCTACATTTCCAAGAAGTTGAATTGATAAGAAAGTAAGAAGTGGAAAAGAAGACATACCAAACAAATGGCTGTAAAACCTACAAATGTTACATTCATTGACCATTTGATATTTAAAAAATACTTGCCCATATCAGCTTTTAAGAGCTTTGGTGAACAATTAGATTCTTTTCAAAGTGAAATTCATTTCTATCATGTAATGTCCAGACCTATCCTGGCACTGGTTCCCAAATGGTTTGGGGCTTGAATTCCCTAGCCCTTTACTTCATTACCAACAAGAAAAAAAGCATTAGAAAGCAAAAAGAACCCATTAGCCAAACAATGTCAGCCTTTTAACCTGAACACATTGAAGAAAACCAACCCTGCTCAACAAAGAAAAGAAAAGTCTAAAGAAGAACCTGCTCAACATCATCTGTGTCAAAATCATCTCTAGTTTGGCTGCCATAAATGCCAGCGCCTTCAGCATCAACACCATTCTTACCAAACTTGAACCAGCATCGAATTCTTAAACCATTAGAGGGTCTAATTCTTGAAGGCCTTGACCAAGATATAGAGTTTTGAGCACCCAGAAACTTGGAACGAAATTTTGGCAAAGAAGGAACAGAATTTATGGGTTTTGAACTTAAGGGTATTGGGAAAGTACACGGTATTGAAGCCATGATTCTTTTGATCTTTTGTTTGCGAGACAGAAAGTGAAGTAGATGGAAGTGGTTTTGTATCACTCAAGTTTCTATCCACTCATGTCTTGAAGAAGAAATGTTTGAGTGTGTTTTGCTTTTTTGCATGTTGTCTTGCATGAGTGTTTTTGGCCGTCGATTTATTTGACTTGCTTAAATAGTAAGATGGTCAAACTTATAATATTTAATAATAAATTTAATAATTTAAAATAAAATATAATAATAAAATATGAATATAATATAAAAATAATATATAAAATTAACAAAATTTAAAATTATAATAATTATTATATATAAATATAATAAAATTAAAAATATATTTTTTATATTTTTATATTTTTATATTAATATAAATTATAATACATAATTTTTTTAAAAAATATAATATATATAAATTTAATATTTTATATTACATAAATACACGAAATCTATAAATTTATTAAGCAGTCGTTCAGTGAACATATGAAAGGGACAGGACCATTTTCTGGTCACGATTAGATTGGCCCAACAACGCCACAGAAAGATAGCACTGTAGGCCACTGGCAATTGCCAGGAGGCAACACAATTTTTTCCAATAGTATTGAAGCCGAAGAAAGAAACCCACAGGCCTATTATATTGGCTCTAGGGTCTTGTTTTGCTCATTAAAGAACAAGGCCTAGGTTTGGTTTAATTAACCAGGAGCATTGGGACCAAATACGTCAGGCTATCCATTCTAGCCACAGACCCACAGCTCACAAAGTCAGAGACATGATCCATGAAACAGGGATTTCTGCCTAACTTCCAAGATTTCACCTTAGCATGAGAACAAAATTTATGAAATCTATTGGCCCGTGAATTGAACGGGGCAACCTGATTATCTGTCACTAACAGTCTTACAATCTCCTTTCTGAATCATTAGGCCATCGCTTGTTGGCATCTAATCCAACAGCTAACTTTTATTACATGGTTTACATGACATGGCAAGTTGTAAACCAGCTTCTTTATGTTCATTGACTCTTTTTCCTACCCGAAGAGGTAAACTTGAACATTTTAATAAATCTGTTTCACATTGTCCGTCGGTTATCAATAATGATGGACATCAGTTCATGTATTTCCCATGACTCCATAAAATCTTATTCACGATACAGACAAAAGAAAGAATCAGAAAAAGAATTCACTTCCCACAACTGCTTGTCTGCCTGCATGCCTGAAAAGCACTCAAGTTGCTCACCAGACCACACCCAAACAAGCCACCGGCCACCCTCTTCTAATCCCATTGCCACTCTTACCATTAAAGACATACAGATACTTTCCTTTTCTAGTTTCATGGCATCATTTAACCAGTTACTTGACATAATACCATGAGATTATAAGTCGTACTGCTCCAACTCTTCATTTCCCTAACATAATTGTGTCAATAAGCATTCAATTGGAAAGGGGCATTAACCAAAAAAAATTGTTTTGTAATTCATCGTGTTAGCAGGAATTATGACACAAAAATATAAATACACGAATTATCATGTTTAATCGGAATGTACTCGTGTGGGACACATATTCTGTTTCCAATTCTGAAACCTATATATGAGCAGAAATGGTGTGTGAAAAGGGCTACATAACTCCCACTATTAAATCCTGATGAACAGTGGTAATTGTCCCTACTGTGCACCAGACAACATTAAAATAAAACCAATGTAGTTAAAAGAAAAGAGGAACAGTAGTTAGAAGCTTAAATGTTTTAACCGCAAGCACATGCATACAATGAACAGGCCATCATTTAATCCTCCAACCAGGCAAAAATCTAATGCTGTGCACTTTAGATATAGAATATGAGGCAAGGAACTAATTTGGAGATACTAGGCATAAGGCCAAACACCAAATGGCCCAGTTTCAGAGAAATTTCCCTATCAAGACAACACCAAGAGCAACCTCTTTTCATCTACAACCTTCCTTCAATCCTATCAAACAAAGCATGCTTAGATCAAAAACCAGTGCCAAAAAAGTTTCAATTGAAATGGCTGCACATCCTCCTGTTGAAATTGGCACCAGAGGCACAGTGGGATCCTTGGTAATGCAAGAGATTGAGTACTTCAGCCGGCTTGAATTAAGCTGCCAAGATAGCTCAAAGAAGCCTCATCCCAATTCCAGAGATGTTGCTTCCTCTACTAGTCATTCCAGACCTATTGTTGGGCCTGCTGTAGCAACTCAGAAGAAGAAGAAAAAGAGAGGAGGCAGTAGCAAGTTTCTACCAAGCATATGTTCAATGGTGGAAATTTCAGAGAACAAGCCAGCTGGGATTTCAGGTTTCAGTTATAGGAACCTGAAATCTGATGTGAAGAAGTTACAGGTCTAGACAATGCTCTCGGAAAGCTTAGAGAATCCAAGCTTCTTGAGACGATTTGTTATAGGGCTAGCCCATGCTTTATCCGGATTCCCACATTTTATGTCCACAACTTCAACAATGTTAGACACTTTTTTGTCACTTTTCTGTCTGCTAGGAGTTCTAACTAAAGCAATATCATCAGAGCCAAGCATTGGAATCTGATGGATATTTTTAGGGAAGCTTTTCGTCTTCTGGGCAGTTTGAGGGCTTCTATAACTTGTGTTGTTGCTGCTACTGCCACTGGTGCCTGCTCCATCCAATGATTTCCTCAGCTGCAATCTTTTAGATGTAGTAGAACCACAGGCAACTGATACAGGACCTGTCTGATGTTTGTGTCTGAAAGATACAGGTGTTTCCAGTGCCGATTTCATGGAGTCCAGTTCCCTTGTCATCAGGGAACTGATTGTCCCAGTAGTCCCTACCTTAATTGATCCTCCACCGCCCTTGATAGCTTCTAGTTTTCGAACCATGTTTCCTCTATAATTTCAAGATATTGTTAGCCGTCCAAAGCCTGTTTTTCTAGATATTTCAACGAAAGAAGTCCAGGAGCCTGTCATACAACGACAAGAATGAATCAACAAATGAATTATAGTAATTTCAGTCTATATGTAGCTCATATTCTTCATTTTGTAGTAGCCATTTTCCCAACAAGTTTCTCCATTCAAGCTCTAAAGATGTGTTGTTTTTTAAACAACATCTAATAATAGTAAGAATGGAAAAGAAAATTTCCAGTTTTTTAATGAATTGAGTGCTACCCATCAAAATTTCAGTTTAGTTAATTCTTCAAATATGAATAGGAAACTGTAGACTGGGACCATGAATAGGAAACTCCAAACCATCTTCCAGATTTTGCTTCAAATCCTATCACAAAATCAAAACCATGAATCAAAAAAATAAACATTGATCCCATAAAAAATCAAGCAGAAACAGCTCCAAGTCCAGAAGAAACATCAGCTAAGTATATATATCTAACCACACAGCAAGAAATTTTACTTAGCTCCAGGCAACCAACAACCAACAAATCATGGAATCCAAAACAAAAAGGAAAATCACCAATTTTTCAAGAGATTCAACATCACAATGGAAGTTTCAACTACCAGAAATCATTCTACAATAACATCAGACCCCAACAAGTTAAACACTTCAGCGGATCATAAAAGATTAAATTAAAAAGCTTACCACTTTATACCAAGTACGTTAAAGTTTGAACTCAGCACATTGAACTGAATCTGACCCCAACACAACCAAAAAGTGAAAATAAACTAAAAAGAAAAAAACAAACAAACAAAACAAAACCTACCAAGTTCTCAGACCTTAGGATTAGGATCTTTGAAAATTTTTGTTAAGTAAAATTCTCACATGTGTTTCTTGATAATGTCACCTTCACAACCATATCTAATATTTCTTTGCATTTGAAATCTAACTTTTTGCTAAAGGGCTCTGTCCTATTTCTATCTTTGTCAGACCAGTCAACCAACACCAATCATGGTGCAGTAAAATCTGACTCAACGTCCATGTTTCAATAACCAATGGCAGTTTGCCACCTATAAATAGTGATCTTTTAAACTCTGGATTAAGATATTTTAATACACATATATATCATAACTATACGATGATGTACACTGTTTACAAGATTAAGAAAACTTTCTGGATTCTAAATTAAAAATGCAATTGACTTTTTACCCTAAAATATTGGCTTTAATCAATAAAATGTATCAATCAAATCATTTTTTTTTTATTTTTAGTGCAGGGCCTATACCATTACCATAGCAAAATGAAGATTTTAGCTCTATAGATAAATGTGATTTGATAATTCAACTAATTACTTAGAAATATAATTTATTTTGATAGAAAATAGAGCCATTTCATCTTCAAATTCATGACTTTCAAGATAAAATCTCAAATTTTAATTGTGGAGATGTTCTTTTGAGACATATATTAGAATTTCCTATATTAATGTTTGGTAAATCATTGCATATAAACAGACAGATCATAAGGAAACATCAAGTAAGTTTGAAGTTAAAGACTTGAGATTTTATGACAAATGCAAAAATAAATTCTTTATTTAAATGTTGGTCCACCTTGGGGTCCAATCATCATACATCCCTGAAATTTTGTACTTTTATAACAAACTGCATAAGATTACCAGCTTTAAGTTTTTGGTTGGTAGGCAATGCTGGAATATGCCATTTTTTTAGTGACATTTTCATATGTCCTATAAAAAAACATGTTTTTAGTGACACTTTCATATTTCCTATAAAACGTAATAGCAATAAAGGCTTGATCTTTCTTAATTTTTTAAAATATTTTAAAGACTAAAACGTGTTATTCACACAAACTTAAAAGGCAAATCACCGATAAAGGTGAGTAATCGATCGATCCAATTTAAAAAAATTAATAATTAATTTAATTAATTTTTATTTAATAAATAATCGATCAAATAATTTTAAATAATTGATCATAATCAAATCGATTAAAATCAGTTCAATTCGATCGATTTGATTAAATAATCAATTTTTTTATCATTTTTTTTCATATTATAAATAATTATTTAATTACATATTCAATTTAATAAAATTCAAATTCAAAGTATCATTCAACTAAATGATTAAAGGATTTAATAATTTCAATAATATTTTACATAAAAAAATAAATAAAAATATTTATCTCAATTTTTTTTATTTTTACTTATTAAAAAGTCAGTTAATTCGATTAATTCGATTATCAATTTTAAAAATAAAAAATCGATCAAATTAATCAATTTAATCGATTTAAAAAATCGATTATAACTAAAATCGAATAAACTGAACTGATTTAACTGAATTCACTCAATTTCAATTGATTTAATCGATTTAAACCGACTTTTACTCACCTCTAATCACCAAAAAAATGCAAACGATTAGTTTCAAAAAAAAATAAATTCAACTAACAGCCACCAAAAAGAGGCATTTTTATTCTAATCTTAATCTCTTGATGATCAATCATGTGTTATCCTATGCTAAAAGGGTCCGATTTCTCATTAGTGGACTCCACACCTTTTACATTACAAAAATTGATTCAAACGCTAACACCCCTCCTTAGGGTTGGCATTGGGTCGAGTTCGGGACGGATTTTACTCGCCTGAACCCGACCTGATTTAATCTTTATTAAACTCGAATTTGATCTTATCTAAATATTTTTTTGGTTTTTCATATCCGAATCCGACATCATGTAAATCGTACCCGATTCGATACGAAATTAATAAAATATTATTTTTTAAAATATAAAATATTTTTTTAAAAATATAAATATTTAAAAATATCATTATATAAATATATATAATAAAAATTTAAATAATTAATTAAAAAATAATTTTTTATATAATTTGGGTCGGGTCAGATTTTAGGTAAATCCGACCCGACCCGACCCCGATTGTTTCCTTATTTTACTCGAATTTCAAAAAAAAAAAATCGACCCCATAAGATCGAATCGAACCAAAAATCCGTCGAAAACGGGTTAATTTACCGTCACTTTCCCTCTCCCAAGTTTACCCTCCAAAAATAAATTAAAACGTTCCAATTATCAAATTTAAATCTTGATTGGTCCCTTAAATCCTCTTTCTCACCGAATCTTTAAAAAAAAAAACGTAGTTTTTTATTTAAAAAAAAATCAAAATCCCTACCTTATTTTTTCTTCACTCTTTTCAGAACTCAGCTTTCTCTCTCCCGTAACTCTTACTCCATTTATGTTTCTCAAAACTCTTTCTTTGAACTCTCAAATCTCTTTTTCATCAACTTTTCTTTCAATGTATGCAAAATTCATTCTTTTTTTTTTCTTTTCAAGTTAGAGAACAATTCATTTCCTAAAAAATCCCATTTTTTCTTTGTTTCAGTCTCTAAAATCCCAATTTCCTCTTTAGAGATTCCCACATTTTCTCTCATTGAACTCCAAAAATCTCCTTAGTCAACTTTCCTTTGATTTTATAAAAAACCCATCTTTTTTTCACTTCAAAAAACTTTCCCATTTCCTGAAAATCCCATCCTTTCCTCATTGGTTAAATCTGTAAAATCCCATCTTTTTTCTTTTCCTTTGTTTCAATCTTTGAAATCCTATTTCTTCAAAAACCCAAATTTTCTTCTCATTCTGTTGAAAAATGAGTAATTCCCAAGCACCCAAATCAACAAAACCTTCAAAGGTTTCAACTTTAACTCCTCCTTCAAACCCTCCAAAACTCTCTTCACCTTCTTCTCACCTTGCAATGGTAGAGCTAAAGCAGAGGATTTTAACCTCACCGTCCAAGCTTTCTGACCGTGACACTTACCAAATTGCCGTTGAAGATCTTGAAAAGATTATCCAATCTCTTTCCCCTGACTCTCTTCCCATGTCACTCAATTGCCTTTTTGATTCTTCCAATGATCCAAAACCAGCTGTAAAAAAAGAATCTTTAAGGTTACTTTCAATGCTATGTGATTGCCATGGTGAATTGGCAGCTTCCCATTTGATTAAAATAATTGCCCACATTGTTAAAAGGCTTAAAGATGCTGATTCTGGGGTGAAAGATGCTTGTCGTGATTCAATTGGGCTCTTTCAGGGCATTATTTGAAAGGGAAGAGTGGAGGCACTGTGGTGGGATTGTTTGTAGGGCAATTGTTTGAAGCAATGGGGGAGCAGAACAAAGGGGTGCAATCTGGTGCAGCAACTTGTATGGCTAAAATGGTGGAATGTGCAGCTGATCCTCCTATGGCTGCTTTTCAGAAGGTGTGTCCAAGGATCTGTAAACTGTTGAATAATCAGAATTTTATGGCTAAGTCTTCCCTTTTGCAGGTCGTGGCGAGTTTGTCTCAGGTTTGTGCAATGTAGTTGTTTTTTGCTTGATTTTGATCATGTACATTGTCTAATTCATAAGGATATTGATGATTAATATTGTTAGTTTTGTGGACGTTAAATGGAAGCTTAAATGAAAGGCTTGTAGTTTCTTAATTGTTTATCATGTGCTTGTTTATCTGGCTGGTAATGCACATCTTGTTATATTTGATCGTGGAAATTAGGTGTCTAGGTGGGAATAGATTTTAATACTTAGAAGAACTGTACAAATAGGATCAAATTGAAGTTCCGTGAAAATTATGATGACATTGTTGCAGGTGGGAGCAATTGCACGTCAGAGCTTGGAAGTTTTGCTGCAAAGCATCCATGAATGCCTCGGGAGCACAGATTGGGTGATGCGGAAGGCAGCTGCTGATGCTTTAAGTGCCTTGGCACTGCATTCTAGCAACTTGATTGCAGATAGAGCAATTTCGATGATAACAGTACTGGAGGTTGCCGCTTTGACAGGGTAGCTTTCTGGAGCCATTTCTCTTTCATACAATGTTTGTATTTTTACACTCAATGCCATTCATATAAACTGTGGTTATTGAATTTTGATACTTTTTTTGGGACATCACTGGTCCAATACCATCTACTTCTTTTCTTCTTTTCATGAACTGATCTGGTCTCTTGACTTAGGCAAATTATGTGTTATCTCTCAACATAGATTTCCTTTTTTATAGGAACTTGGAATAATTACAATTACTAGGGTTAATTGTGTGGCAGAAAGTGTTTAGGGTTAATAGATGATGTGGGTTTGGACTGGATGAATTCATGCTTTCTAGATTGGTTTTGAAGGGATTTTCAGTTGGTGCTTTATGATTCAGGAATGCAAGTATTTGTTTCCTTGCTAATCAATGTAACTTCTGCATTGTGGTCCTCTAAACATGTTGCTTCTAAGTTTTAATCCTTCACTACCATCTCTTCTAAAGGTGCATATATGGATGATGTATGGTTGTCAACACTGCCTTAAAGAATTTTTATTGTGTTGTAATGTCAAATCATTGGTTAAACAGATGAAACCTGTGAGAGATAGCATGACAGAAGCATTGCTATTATGGAAGAAGATAGCAGGAAAAGGGGAAGATGGAGCTGAAAATGACCGGAAAGCCTTGTCTCATGGTAAGCATGTTAGTAATGTGCTTTTAAGTTTTAGTCCTTTATTCTTATTGGATAAATTTGTTTCAATTAATGCTGTAGATGGTGACAATGCTCAATCAGCTGAATCATCAGAAAAGAATGGTTTTAAAAATCCAAATGCTGGTGACAAAAAACAGATCCATCAGCAAAGGATTCATCTAATAATCTGTCCTCTACTTCAGATTCTGTTTCCAAAGGCAAAGGTGGAAGCATTCCTGACAAAGCAGTTGTAATTTTAAAGAAGAAAGCACCTGCATTAACTGACAAAGAGTTGAATCCAGAATTCTTCCAGAAACTTGAAACAAGGGGTTCTGGTGATTTGCTAGTTGAAGTAGTTGTTCCTCACAGATATCTTAATTCTACAAACTCAAAGAATGAGGAAGAATCAGAAACAAATGATCCAGACTCAAGAAGAAGGTCAAATGGTGCGGGAAACAGCCAGACAGATGATTTTCATGCATCTTCTAGCAGCAAAAACCTTAATATAGAGAGAGGGGCTGCTGGTACGAGAGATAAATGGCCGGAAGAGAAGATAAATGGAAAAGACCTAAGAACAAGGGCATTTGATGCTGATGACAGGATAGATGTAAATCAAAGTGAGCCATCTGGAAATCATTTGGGTTTCTCAAAGGTGGATGGACAGTCTGAAGGGTCCTTCATCAGCAACAAAGGAAATCGGTTGGCTATCCAGAGGCAGTTATTGCAGCTAGAGAGACAGCAAGCGCATCTCATGAAGATGTTGCAGGTATTTCTCAATTCTGCATTTAGTCATGCTTCCTGTGACTGCTTTTCTGACTGATAAGATTCCTTGTTATATTGTAGGATTTTATGGGTGGTTCTCATGATGGCATGGCAACTTTGGAGAGCAGAGTAAGGGGTCTTGAGAGAATTGTTGAAGACATGGCTAGGGATTTAGGCAGGAGAGGTGGTAATTTCACAGCAGAGTTTGAAGGATCTTCTAATAGACCTTTTGGGAAGTATAATGGTTTCTCTGACTATAGTTCCAAATTCAATGGGCGAATTCCATTTGGAGAAAGATTCGCCCAATCTGATGGAATTGCTCCAGGTGTGAGGGGAAGGGGACCTTCTTGGAGATCTGAAGTGTCTGATATTTGGGATTTCCCTGCATTCAGTGCCTCCAGAAATGGGCAAGTGGCATCGGGAAGAGCTCCAGCTAGCAGCAGCCTGGATGGTAGATCACCCAAATCAGAGCACGAGAGTGATCAGGTTGGTGGCTGGAGAGCTTGGGATAAGGGTACTGCACCTGTGAGGCTTGGTGAGGGGCCTTCTGCTAGAAGTGTCTGGCAAGCATCGAAGGATGAAGCTACTTTGGAAGCAATTCGTGTAGCTGGGGAGGATAGTGGAGCATCTCGAACAGGACTTGTTCCTGAATTGACTGCTGAAGCTGTTGGCAATGATAATGTTGAACCAGAGCGAGATCCTGTCTGGACTTCGTGGAGCAACGCAATGCATGCCGTTCAAGTGGGTGATATGGATTCTGCTTATGCTGAAGTTCTTTCTACAGGGGATGATCTCTTGCTTATAAAGCTAATGGATAGATCGGGCCCTATGGTTGACCAACTATCAAATGAGATAGCAAATGAGGCCTTGCATGCTATTTTGCAATTTCTTCTGGAGCAGGATTTGTTTGATATCTGTCTATCCTGGATTCAAGAGGTATGGGATCTTAATCTTTGATTTTTTCAATTCAAGCCGCTTTATTTAGATATTTTGTCCTAAGTCTCTTATAATTTTTATTTTTCCTATAACTTTTCAGCTGGTCAAATTGGTGTTAGAAAATGGACGTGATGCTTTGAGTATTCCCGTGGAGTTGAGGAAAGAGCTTTTGTTGAATTTGCACGAGCTGCTTCCACAATGGATCCCCCGGAGGATTGGGAGGGTGCAGCACCTGACCAACTTCTATTGCAGTTGGCATCAGCCTGGGGAATTGAGCTGCAGCAGTTTGATAAGTAATCTGCTGGTTTTGGAATGGTGTTTTGTGCTGGTAAACTTTTTTGATCAGCTTACTGGTTCTGTACATTTATCTTACATTTAAGTAAAATGTAAGTGAAAGAAAAAAAGTTTTCAAATAGCTATGATGGCATTGTGCTAAAAAATATTGATTGATTCAAGCCTGGCAAATGCTACTTGCACATTTTTGTTTAACATGTAAGATAGTGGCCTCTGATGTAAATGTAACTGAGTGATATACCTTTTAGTCAAGAAATTTGTCTTGAAAAGATTATTGTAAAGAGTAATATTACATTCTCAAAAGCTTGCAAAATGCACTTGGTTTCCAAATTTGACCAAAAGTTGAAAATGTTTGGAGGTAAGACTAAACTCTATCAAAACAAACCTAATAGTTACTTCAATGAATTGGTAGATTCTGGTTGAGGCAATAGCTTAATGGTTAGTCGTGTCTTGAATTAAGGGGAAAAATCCTAATGCTGGGACTGGGATCAGGGTTTGTTTGAACAAGACTAGGCCTCTAGACATTCTATTTCAAATATTTTCTGGTAACAAGATCAGTGGTATTGGTACGGTAACAATACACAACATCCCTCTAAAGAAGTAGAAGCAGAGCCTGGAATTGTGATCAATGTCATGATATCACGTGCAAAATCCATCCAGTCAAACTTTAGCATTTCCAGAGCTTCAGGCCGTAACAGTTCACATAAGCATCAGTTCCATGCTGATTGCTGCCTTTCTAATATGGTTGAGCCTAAATCCTAGGTATCAGAAAGGCTAAGCAACCAGTTCTTATCAGGTTTTTCTTCTATTTTCCATATTTTCCCTGATCAACACAAGGCAACCAGGCACAGATGTGGCATTTTACCAAGACAGGCTGTTCTAAAGGTTGAGGCTTTACATTTCTATTAACACTCAAGACTATCCAGCCTATAAAACTATAGATAAGAATTACATAGAAGGAAACGCAATCAAGCTTTACCTTCATTTCTCACTTAGGAGAAGAAAAAAGAATCAGTACTGTCAGAATTTTACAAGGAACTAACCAGAGAACAATAAATTTTCTATACACATGGCCCTACACTCCCTAGGCCCTCAAAAAGGAACTACAGCCCCAAAGCATGCCCATCCACAAAGAACCCTGAGGGCCTCATCATTGAACAGAAGAGGAAATGCCACACAGCTCATGCTTACCTAAGTAAGAATCCCTAGATGTTTCATTAATGCAGCAGAGGATTCGAGCACCAATATACCTCTTCAAGGGAAAAAAGCATCTTGCAACAAAGTGTTTGAAATCAACACTTACATCCATCTGAGCCAGAATCACTATCTATTTGGCGGCATACCAGTTTTGAGCACACTTGGCATCAACCGCTAGATCAACTTTTAGAATGTTCTTTCCTCCTTTGAAGGGTTTTGACATGCACTCAATAATAATTGCTTTTGCAATCTCAGCTGACTCACTTGGTCCTTCCAAGATTACTTCATCATGAACCTGTTTTTTTGAAGGATGTTATTTCCAGAGAAATTGCAGGATAATGACTTTATAAAGAGCCACATCAAAATAGTGACTTAAGAAATGAGATTGTGAAGTTTGTACAAGACAAAGAATAGTGAATAAAACTTGTGAGATGTTTATGTTAGATGAAGATCAACCAATGCATGGGTAAACATCAGTATCAGGTTCTTAAGAAAATTCTAAGCCTTCTGCCCTCCTATGTGCTATTGAGTAAAGAAAATGCTTCAGTCAAACAAAAATCTTCTCAAGGGTAACATCCAAAATAGGCAACAACATGCAAAGACAATATTGTTTACAAAATTTTTGGAAGCAATGGAATGCAAAGACTCTAGTAAAATCATAAGAGAAACAAACTTTGAGCTCCAGAAAGAACAATCAGACAGCAAACTCAAATTGGTTACTTAAAGGAATAAGGTTTATATAGCCTTGAAATCACTAGGAATATAAAACATAGGTAGAGCACCGTGAGAATGAGACCACCTGAAATATAAAGAAATATAAAAGGCATAACCTGTAAAAGAAGCCTCCACCCAAGCTCCTTTAGTTGTTCATTTTTTAATATTTGTAGCATGGCGCACATTGCAACATCAGCAGCACTTCCCTGTAACACTCATCTAGATGAGAGGATGTGAGAGAGAGAGAGAGAGAGAGAGAGAGAGAGTTGAGTGCATGAGAAAGAAAAGAAAACCTGCACTGGAGTATTGATAGCAGCTCTTTCAATATGACCCTTTTGGGCATACGTACACTGAGCAAATGGTGGGAAGCGGCGAGTCCTTCCAAGCAATGTTTTAACACGCCCGAGCTTCTCAGCTTCATATTTACGCTGTTTCTGCCATTCGAGCACTTCTTGTCTTTCTTTATACCAGAGATTAACTGTGTTCTTTGCTTCTTCTACAGAAACCTGAGAATGGTGCAATCATCATTACCTTGGAGGCTTAATGGATTTTAAGTTTTAACTGTTCAATTAGGTTCCAAGGATACCTTCCAATCCTTAGCAAGCCCAACAGGAGTTTTTCCGTAGGCGATGGAAAAGTTGAGCATTTTAGCTTTTCTTCTTTCAGAAGCAAAGGCATCCTGAAAAAACAATTCTCAACCAGTTGGATTCAACTATCAAAATCAATCTTAATTACAATCAGAATTAGGAAATAATATCCCAACATCTGCACATTTTATACGAGCTACTCCATAATTACATTTATAAATGAACTATGTTGAGCAAACCAATGACAATGACAAAATGATTTCAAAGCAAAACATCAAATACTTGTAACTTTCAAATTGCAAAAGCAAGTTAGCAAATTAGGTCATATTTGAATCAGTCATGGATATGGCAAGATATCTAATAAAAATATCCAGGATAAAGGTTACAAGTTCAATATGTTTAGATAATTTTTTGGACAATTTCCAGCCGAATCCCTGTCATGAGATCTTCACCACTTTCTCTACATATTCATGCAAAGTAAGAGGTTTGATGCATCTGTTCTTTAAGCGATAGCAGCAGGTATTTTAGTTTTGCCGAAGGCTTCGGTTAAAAAATAAGCTCAGATTCTTAGGCAGCATAAGGCAAGAGAAGTGCTACCTCTCTACTTGAGAGAAAACTTCAAGTAAATTATATTTCCTAGGATATCTCTGTCTGTTATCTATGTACTATTAACAGATCCAGAAGATTCTACCCCACCAGGATGGTACATTTCTTACAACCTAGCTTGGAGGACAAAAGAAATTGCTGATGACAAATGAAAATCTTCAAAAGTTTCAGATTTTTACTTTACCTTTAGAAGTGGAACTGGTGGTTTCTCTTGGCCAGGTTGAGGATGCCATTCAAGAAGAACTTTTCTCTTTTCAACAGCTTCACGGATATGAGAGTACATGTTCATTGCAGTCCTTGAATGGAAATCTCCACCAGCTTTGAAGGCATCCAACATGCTTTTACAGTCAGCCAGATGTGCAAGAATTCTAAGTTCCAGCTGTAATATAAATTTATATTCCAATCAATACATAAAATGACACGAAAAAGGAAGACAGTTGAATTAACTTACCTGCCCATAATCTGCAACAACAAGGGAATTTCCGGGGGCAGCTATAAAGGCCTGACGTATCTTATACCGGTCCTTCTCTAGAGCAGGTTGATTCTGATTTAAAATTACAAAAAAAAAATGTTAAAATCATAAAGTTCCCATCCCAATCTGGCAGGCAAGAGAATGATATGCAGAGAAATAACAAAATTATCTTTTTTATTTTCTTCATGTTTTATTATGACAACTTTGTGGAGGAAATGACCACACTTATGTGGTAGAAAAGTAGAACTAACTATTCTGTGATATGGATATTGCAATTAGAAGCTTTCTTTCTAAGAGGGCTTTAATGCCATATTCTATCTAAAGAAAAACATGGTCCACAGCATTTCATCTGAAGAAAATTCTGTTCTTGGCTGTCCAAGTAATACAGAAGTTATAGGCATGTATAGAACCTTGAGGTTCTAATTATTCAAAACCTTGCTAAATTAATGGCAGAGAACAAAATAAAAGAAAAAGGAACCTGCAAATTTGGTCTCCTGGCAGATAACCGCCCAGTCTCGGTATTAATATTCAATGAACAATGAACACGTTCACTCTTGCCTGACACATTACTCCCCTGTGGTAAAGGGATCATTCTCATTATAAAATATTCCAAGAATTTTAAGGTACAAAATTAATCAAGGGCAAGGAAATAATAGCTGAAGTTAAGGAAGAAATTAAAGCAATGCCTTGCTGATTTTCATGACTTATTCAGACAAAGAGAGGAATTGTGCTTCAAAGACAAAAGCTGTTAAACAAAATTCTGCTTTTCTTTCAGCCAAACAAATATTCACAATAATGTACTGCAGGTACAAGACCACTTAGCACATATTTTGAGTTTTGTAACTGCCTTTATCATCTACCCTTTAGGTTTTAGCTCTTTACAACACACATAATATTATAATTGACAGGAAAAGACAGGGTACATTGATGTTGTCACCCTTATAGTAATATTGCTAGACGTAATGCATCACATTTTGGACATATGCACAGCCCTCATCATTCAATAGAAAGTTGGACAAATAAGCCCCAGCATAAGTCCTCAATGAAAAAATAAATGAAACTAGAGAGGAAAAATAAACCAGGCTGAATAGTAAACTATAAAAGCTGATCAACAAGTGTGACCAATTAAATGAGATATCAAAATCACCTGCAAGGGGAGAATGAAATTGGATATTAAAGAGTCAATAGAGCAAACTTCACATAATGAAGCGATGGCATGGCATGCCTCCCTCCCCTTTTCCTCATCCTCAAATGCTGCAAAAGCGGTTCCATATGCAGATGTATCAACATCAGTCATTTTTTCAGGAGAATTATCGATATCACCAATATCACCATCATTGGTATCATCTGTGAAATCATATTCTGCAGAAACCTTCCCAGCTAAGGTCTTCAAAGCATCACCACTAACGGAGGGCCAACCAGTGGCAGTGTAAATCTCAGCAGGGAGCTTAACACCCAGGCTACACAGCTTAATACTGCGAAACTTAGTGGGAGACTTTTTGCCTTCTTCAATCACTTTATCGACATTGGGAACTCTAAGAGTTTTCTCATCAGGAAGACTCACATTTGGATCCTTACTGTATCAAGTAATAAACAAGTTAATTTTTGAGAACTTTACTTTCAAAATTTTCAACAGACTCTATATGTGTGTGTCCCCCCCCAACAACAACACACACTTCTTTTGGATAATGAAGAGTGATGGTTGATTTATTGATGCTATAATACTTCAATAAATTACAGGAAATTAATATTCATAAGAAACATCAAGTTCTGCATTTCTTGCGCTGCACCCATGCAACCAGCAATAACAGTTTGTAAGGACTTAACAGCAAGAAATTTGAAATCAGAAATGCAATTACAATATTAACTGTCTTTCTGATTTAGGATATGATAAAATGTATCTCGCCCACTTATATTCAATATAATGCCTAAATTTCAATGCTATGCACTGATCAAATATTGATAAGGAACTAGTGTTCTTGTACACAAAATATAAAATTCATACCGGTTAAGGATCCCACCATAAAGAAGCTGGCGGAGCTGACTATCACTTCCCACATTCATATACTTGGCATCAGCACAATATCTAGATGCCCAGGTGCGAAACCTATTAGCAATAATCTCTTGCTCTGCTTTAGCAACCTTCTCTATCTGAGCAAGATGCATCCGATCAACCAACATACCCTCACGTTCCATTTTAACAAGAAGCTCACCAAATGGTCGCCAGTACTCTTCGTAGAAGTGATACATGGACTTTCCAGAAACTGGTTTATCATTAAATACCCAAGACATGCTCGATAGTTTGTTTTTCAAGCTCTCATAAAGTCTCAGTGTGCTTATTGCATCTAAGGCAGAATAACAAATCCATAATTTGCGTTCTTGCCGCTGTAGCTCTTCAACAGGGGCAATGGTGATAATTTTGCCCTCAGATCCATCTTTTTTCAATTTTTTCTTGCCAAAAATGGTTTTCATTGATGTTTTACCAATCAATTCCTTTTCTTCTTTGCGCCATTTGGTCCTCTGCATAATGTTTCTATCACCTGTAAGTGCTTCAAGAGAATAACCACCAGATGTTCGTCTTGATGAGTCCCACAACCGTGCCATATGAATTGTGTCAGCATGAAATCCAGAAACCTCAAGCCCATAGTTCTTAATAACATGATTATCAAAGCTATAATTGTGCCACACCTATAGAAAACGCAAGTGAATATATCAATATCAAGTTTGTTTCAGGACTAATGATGATGCAGTGCTCCAATGGACTAGGCAATTACTAGCAATAAAATGGTGAAGCAGATCAGGAGAAACACAAGGAAGAAAGAGAAATTAGTCAGTGCAAGGCATACTTCACCTTTTTGATAGATTGATCTTCGAAAAATGGAGCAAATTCCTTCAGAAGATCCCTGCCACCACCATCTAGAACATCTACCCAGATACAGGACTTCCCATTTCCAAAATCTGCATCTGCTCCAGAATAAATACTGAAACATGTTATCTCACCATGATCAACAGGAGTCTCTTTCTTCACATCAATATTAGATACCTGCAAAGACTCTACATCAGAAAATAGGCAGTAGCTCATTTACAACCAAACTGGATAGTGCTTGGAGAGAAAGCGAGCTCCCTACAGCATGCACACAGCACATACATAAGAAAATGGTAAAAGGGATGTATACCAAGCAGAATTTATACCTCAGTATCGCATGCATGAACAAGATGCCTGTATTGAGTTGTAAGCATCAGAACAACTTCCTTTGCAACAGAGATATTATCTACAACAAGAACCTGGTCATAAATCCCAGCAAGCTGTTTGTGAATATCTTCTCGAAAAACTACATGAGTTTCTTCATTACTAGCAACCCTATTTTCATCGGCTTGGTCCCTTCTGGTTACATTAGGATCCATATGTCCTGTGTCTTGGTTGTCATCTAAAACTGCCCCTTGCAACAAGCCATTACTTAAGGCTTCTGTTTCAGTTGAACCTTTCAACTGTTTGGAACCATTTATTTTATTGGCAGATATATTGTTGGCACTAGAAATTTGTTTACTTCTAGTTGGATGGCACGGAAAATGATCCTTGGAAAGAAAATTACTACCTCCAACGGCTCCAATGCCTTGGCGGTCATCCAAGGCCAGCCCTGCCAATGATCTATTACTTGAAACTTCAGTCCTAGTTAAACCTTTCAGCTGCTTGGAACCATTTATTTCATCAGTAGCTATATTGTTGTCTCTGGACATTGGTTTATTACTGGTTGGTTGGGGTAGACAATGACTCTCAAAAGGAGAAATATTGTTTCCACTATTTCCAGAAACCGATTCTTCTTTATTAGTTGTTCTAAACAGTGAGCCAGTAAGCTTCAGATTCAAGTATCGTTGGTCATTGGAAGAAGAACTACTACCTTTAAAACTCTCCTTTGTCATCTCCTTACTTTCCCTCATCCTGAGGGCTTCGTTTGCCCATGAATTCTCAGTGTTGGGTATGCTAGTACTTTTGGGTGTAACCATAAAAGCATTTACTTGAGAAGATGTCACCATAGACTTTCCATAACTTGCTGGCCTTTCATTGTTTCTCTGGTCAACACTCACTCCTTCACACTCATTGTCAGAAAGACACTGATCTGGGTCAGGATGCACCATCCTAGCATATTCAGAAGCAGCGACCTTAAGTCTCATATGTTTGGGATGATGGCAATGAGAGGAACTACTTGACATGGTTGCTTTAAGAAAAGCATAGTGAACACTCTGCATTGTGCACATTTCTCGCCTACAACGTAAAGAAAAGCAAAAAAGAGCAGAAATACGGATTAATTCGAATTAAGCATTTATTCTAGCATGTCAGCTATTTAAAAATAAACAATAACAGGAAAAAGATTCCAGACTTCATGCATATCACAAATAGCACTCCAATCAGCAGAATAACATCAACATATAGAGTTCCTTGGCTCTACTTCATTTGTCATTTCCTTAAAGAAACTCACATTCTAGAGGACTCAGGCACTACCAAATTTTCATTCCAATTTCTTATGCATATCTTATCTCACAGTTTACCATCACATTCCATCATTAACCCCAAAACTCTCTAAAAGAGGAAACAGCAGCTATGACATAATCTAAAACAACCCAGATAAAGTGTAAAAAGCCAAAAACAACAGAAAAAACATGGCAGAAAATACACACAAAAGCAATAAAAATGGCACCTTTCACCCGTCGATAACCCAAAGCCCTCTAAAACAGGCAAAAACAGCTAATGAAATGAAAAATAATAATAAAAAAGATATATTCTTCAAAAAGACAAATGGATATCAATAGTCTAAGAACCAGGTAAAAGACCCCCTCCCCCCCCAAAAAAAAACCAAAAAATCAGCAAAAAAAAAGGGAATTAAAGAGTAAAACCTGTGCAAGGCTCTAGAAGAAGCGAAAAAGAAGTGCCTCGAACTAGACCGGGAAACCCAAGAAGAAGAAGGGCAAAATGGTCGACCAAAAGGGGTAGCAGCAGTTTGTGAAGTAGAAGACAAAAACCCCATAGCAGTCATGATGTCTGCAAGTTTAGCTAGCTTGCTGCTAGTGTTGTTTACCATACAAGAAGCCGTTTTGTTTGCTTGTTGTTGGTGTCTTGGAGTGGCAAAGACGGTAAATTTCTGGGTCTTGGAGGGGCAAGATATGGGGGGGTCTTGGTGGGTTTCTCACAAGTGGGAGAGACAGAAACGAAGGGAAGAAGAGGGAAAGAGATGAAATGCCTAAAACCCTTTTTTTGAGAGGGTAAATAAAAACCCTCCACATGCCACAGCCTCATAGTCCAAACTAAACCATGACACTAACGGACCATTGTTATTATTTTTTTTCTTTTATGGCTGGTATTTTGGCAAATGTTTGTCCTTTTTTGTAATTTTATTGCTGAATTAGGGATTTGGATATTGAAAATTTTCATATTCCCGTTATTTTTTGGATGAGACAATTTTAAAAAATTAAAAAATTGAACATCCATTTATCATAGTTCTTTTGGGAGATAATTAAATTATAAGTTTTATTAATATTTAAATTTATATCTTATTTATGCACAATAAAAGACAATTAAGAATGTGAAATTGATGTTATTAAATATATTTATCGAACATTACGTAAATAAATAAAAAGATGAATAAAATTTTCTAAATCATTTCTTTCATTCTAAGTTACCTCATACAAAAATGAAGGGAACAATTTTTACAAATTTTCAGCTAATGAAACCAGAAAGGAAACAAAAACAAAGTTGAATGGTAATGAGGTTGGTTGGACATTGCAGCCTAGGCAAGAACATTGTAAAGCTCCTTGAAATTGAAAGGTGCCATGATCATGAGCTCTATCAGCACATTTTACTTTCCCTAGTAGCCATTAGAAAACAGACCTTGAAAGGATTTAAAAAAAAAAAAAATGAGATTTGAGTTTGACTCCAAGGATTGTAGCTCAGCTGCTGCAACATGAAATGAAAGAGTTTGATATGCTCCATTAACCCTCTTCTTGTACCTTCATTTTATTCTGAGGTTTTCGATATCTCCATCACTTTGCCTATGTCAGGAGAAATTGATTTCTTGTCTGTCAACTATTCTTCCCTTCTTCTGGTTCATTGCTTGTAGTTAAGTACTCAAGAGCTGTCACAACATCACTCATTATAGGTCGGGCAGTAGCTTCTTCCTGCAGACACATTGCTGCAACAGCAAGTGCTTGGTGGAGATTCTTAATGGGATATTTTCCATCCAGCAATGGATCAGCGATTGATGAGAAATTTCTTCTATCTTTGAATAAGGGTGTTGCCTGCAAATGGCGGTATAATCAGTGTACAAAGCGATATGGTTTCATGATTGTTTAGAAGAATAAAACAATCCACACTTACCCAAGTGACAAGATTCTGTTCTTCTGTTGGTCTTGAATTGTCTATTACTCTTCTTCCTGTGATTATCTCCAAAAACACAACTACAAAGCTGTAAACATCGGATATTGTAGTCAACTTGCCTATTAGTGCATACTCAGGTGCACAGTAGCCATAGGTTCCCATAACCCTAGTGGATACATTTGACTTATCTCCAGTTAGACCAAGCTTTGCAAGTCCAAAATCTGAGAGCTTTGGATTGAAATCCTGGTCCAGTAATATGTTTGATGCTTTAAAGTCTTGGTATATCACCGGGGGATCAGCTGTTTCATGCAAGTATTCAAGGCCTTTAGCAGCACCTCCTGCAGCTTTTATCCTGTTATTCCAATCCAAGGGCTTCTTGTCTGGAGGTAAATCTGAAAGGCAAAGTTACAAACAACCAAGTATGTTCACCAAAACAATAAAAATGGACGATCTAAAACTGCAAGCAAGAAAATTGCATTAATGAAACATTTCAATTATCAGAATCTGATGCAAGAAGGCATTTTCAGTTAAAAAGTTTAAGTTTTGAATCACATCAGCCATTTGAGTCTAAAGTTGTGTGCTAGTGTTATGTCAGTAATGCAAATAACTAAAAAATGTCAAAAATACCTAGAAGGTGATCCTCCAAGGAGCCATGAGCCATGAATTCATAGAACAAAATCCTTTGATCCCCTTCGGCACAATATCCAACCAAATTAACAAGGTTAGAATGGTGAGGTAGACTCAACATCAAAACCTCAACCAAGAACTCTCCATTTCCTTGATATCCATTCGTGTCAAGTTGCTTGACAGCAACAACCTGAGTATGATGGAACAACAATATGAAAGCTACTAACCGAATATCATGAAAACTATATAGTTTTTTTGTTAAAACCTCTTTTGAGGAACAAAGAGATAAGATTTCAAATAGTACTTGATTTGGGTTTTCAACATGCCCTTTTTAGATCCTCCCAAAACCCCCTTCTCCAAGCTGATTGTCAGGGTTGAAGTTATTAGTAGCAGTGCGTAGCTTATGGTAGTTAAATATCTTAGCAGTTATATTGCCTTTTCCCCTTTTTGTTATTTGTTGGGTAATGTATCTCTTTTTGCTGCTATCTGCAAAAGAGAAAATTTTGTTCAAACATGAATCAATCACCAGAAGTTTTCAACCAAAAGATAAAAAACTTTGTTGTGGCCAAGTCATAGCAAGGTTTCAAAGGATTAACCTTTGTCATCTCTGTACCATAACCAAAATCTAAAATCAACATAATGATTATTGCAAGAACAATGGAAGCCTTTGTCATGATGATATGAGGAATGAAGTTGATCATGGCTTGAGAATGGTTGACATCTGTTCCATTTCCAATGCGCAATTCATCAATTAGATTGTTTTCGTGAGTTTAAAAGAATCTAGAGAATTGAAGCACACCATCTTTAAACTAACATAGTTCTGCCATTTCATGAATTGAATAAAAAAATAGGGTCAACAACTATATATGCAAAAATATGCTCCTCCATTACATGTTGATGGACGACAAAACAAAGATATGGAACCATTTTTTATACAAGAAATATATAAAAAGGGAAGGGTATCAACAAAACTAAAGAAAATAAAAAATGATGCATATTCTGAAATCCAATCAGGGTTTTTGTAGAATTAAAGACGATCTACAGGTTGAAAATTGTACCATTCTTGAATGAAATATTGGCAAATGAAGCCATAATTTTTGTGTCATGGTATTCCTTGATGCTCTTCTTTAATGACTTTCTGTTTAGTTTTCTCTTCTGACATGCAACATGAAAAACAGTTCATTTTGGTCTTGTCAGGACAACAATCAAATTCTAGAACCAAATTTATAATATGGCTCAAGTATTAAGAAAATTGATAGCTGAGCTCTGGAAAACTTTAACTCCTGAAGGAAACCAAATTCTATCTGGCCCTTTAGGAGGGCACAAGGAAAATTTTCTCACAATGTTTGTTTTGCTTCTACTCTGTCCAAATCCATTGAGCTAGATAGCCAAAAATAACTTAGATTTGCTAAACATGGAAGCAGACAGATTTTTTTGCATTTCTTAACTGCCTCTAACATTGTCAGAATTTCTCAAGGCTAAGTGATTTTCTATACTTCATTTTATTTAATTCTTATTCTGCCACTTGTCAGGTCAGTTGCAAAAACAAATTTCATGAGCTAACTACAATATGATCAGGGATATTCTAAACTCGATTTGATACATTCAAGATTTTACCCTAAGAGTGCAAGAACTTAGTATTTTAGATAATTTTCCTTTTTTCTTCCTTTCTCTTTCTTTCCTGCTAAACAGAGTGTTAGATAACTGCCTATTTTACCTATGCTAATAAGCAAGAAACTGTGGCAAATCCAAACAGCTAATTTTTGTCTTCCCTTAATCCTGCTTCAGTACATTGTTTTTACGATCTGTTTCATATAACCAAAAATCAAGTTCTAAATAAAACTGAGAGACCTAAATAGAAGGCAGCAAAGAAGATTTCATGAAATGAGGCCATTGTTAAAAGAACCATCCATCATTAATTGTATTTCATTTTAGTATAGCACTGTTAAAGGACAGCATGTGAAACCAGATTGAGGAACTTGATTTACATGAAACTGAATCAATGAGGGAGATAATAAAGTTTTACATAATGTAACTAATGATAGAAGCTGAGAGATGTATTACATCTCACTTAAAACATCTATAGGAGCCCAATTGACAAATACTACCTATGCAAATTAACCAGGGTTAAACTATATATATATATATATATGTATGTATGTATGTATGTATGTATCATATGTATACATACATACATATATATATATGCTGAATCAAATACAAAGGTCATTTATATACATATGTATGCATAAATATATATATATATATTTATGTATATATATGTATATATATGTATATATGCTGAATCAAATATAAAGGTTAGCTATGGCCCAGATTTTGTTTAGCTGCCTTCTTTGGTTGGATTTCTTTCAAGTTTGCCTGCTACTTTTTCAGCAACTTCTCTCTCTATCCTAGAAACCCGAGCTTCAAGTCCGGATGCAATCATGTAGACTGCCATGGACCTGCTTTCACTATTCCTGCTGATGTTCTCTTTACTATATAGTGGAAACTCCAATTCACTCTCATTTGCTTCTCCCATCACTCTTGCTGATCCTCCATTCTGAGCATTGATATATATGGCCTTTTGCGTTGGTGTCATAAACAGCCCCTTCTTTATAGATCCTCCATAATCAGCCACTGAAGATGAGAGACCTTGAGCCTTAGCCAGAGAGCATTTGTCATGACAAAATGGTCTAGTGGTAATACTAGCTTTCTTGTTAGACACTTCCAATGCTTCAGGTTTTACTTCATGAACAGAAGGCTCAGGTTTCACACTATTATTCAATTTGGGGGGGAAACCAGGAGGAACGCAGGCATCATTCTCCCCCTTTCTTGCTTTCACCCATGGAATTCGTTTTGGCCTCTTCCTTGAACTCCTTTTTCTTCGCACTATACCCTTTATCGCATCTTGCTGAACCACCATTGACAGCTTCTTCCACCACTCCAAGTATCGGACGGTAATGCCAGACTCAAAGAAACGAGATCGAATATACAATTTTCTATCATTGATTGGCCTCAGGTAATTGTTCCAAGCAATTTCCAGAGTCTTATTAGGCCGAGCAACGTGACAAGGTACATCTTGATCATTTCCAAACTGCATTGCTACTCCATGTGGCAGGTACTGCTGTATACATCCTGATCCTAACCCAACTAACTCAGAAGGCCTCAAACATAGAGCAACAGATATTAAATCTTTACTCAAGCTTTGATCAACTGATATTCACTCTTCCTTCTCCTTGTAAAATTCATGACTCTGCTGGTAATTAACAACTTTAGCATAAGGCCTCCAAAGAAAAGTCTCGCC